TCTGCCTCCGATACCGAAACTAGCGAAGAAAAGTAAGAACCACTTTGAACTGCTCAACATTTACAACCAACACATTAGAAGCATGGGCAACGGTGAGTTATGTTAATACCTTATCTGGTTATTTGTGATTGTGATTATGTATATCTGAGGTCATTTTGAGTTAAGATATACTTTTGGATGTCTTCATACTATCAATGGCTATACTAAAAGTAGCTGTTATTGCAAGATTAGCGGAAATATAATAAGTTAGAACAATATATAAAGGGACTATATATGTAGCAAAAAATGTGTCTAATACAGGTATTCACATGGGTATTCACAGTACATATGCATCATCACAGTTGATGTCAGCAAACTGCATCCAAGAATTAAAAACTTTACTCGGGTTAACAAGTTCATTGAACATATTCTATTGATCCGGCGTAATCGACCAGTGCCTTCAAGGCCACTGCTGATTAATGTAACTTGGATAAATTAATAAAAATTATACAAATGTTAAGATTTTAACTAATGAGTCATTCGTAAAAAACATCTGTAATATAAGTCAGACGGCTAACAATAGAACTTGTACATAACAATAATTAACTTCTTGATCAGCATTGTACATGTTAGTAAATTTACGGAAAGTAAATAAATATACGTCTTATAACACTTAAAACATATATTTACGCTTATACTGCTACTCACAAGACGGTAAATAAACAATACCCCCGCCGCAGCAAACCTGCAGACTAAGCTAATTTCCATTTGACTGAATGGATTTACACTGAAATGTCTACTTAAAAATATAACATTTATTCCCGATTTAAATAGAATTACTTTAACAAGTACTTAGGTTTGCTGCTTCAGGGAGGGTAAAATTTTTTTTATGTTAATAGTTAGTAAGAAATAAAAACATTTTCCAAATTTGATCAAATTATGTTCATAAACAAGCAAACTACAACAGTTTACTTATTCTCAATAACAATAACATGGGAATTTTAAATTTAAAATTTTTTGGAATTTTCTCCGTAACCATTAGGCGCATTATAACGCTTCAATATAATAAATTGTTTTTTTTTTTAAGCTCTACAAAATGATTTGGCAATAAATTGCTAAATTTTATGTTTTTTGGGTCGAAAATGGGAAAAACCTATTTTTACCCCATAAAACCCTCCGTAAACCCCCGTTCCCATGGTCCGATTTTGCTGAATCGCGAACTCGTTCGAATAAACGTAGGTTTACACGTTTGTAACAAATTTCATCAAAATAGGATCATTTTTGCTCGAGTTGTCGTGATAACGGACACATATATATATGTACTATCTCCAACCCGCGGGCTTTGCCCCGTTTAACTTCTTAATTTTCAAAATTTTCTCGTTCACATGGCTCAATCACGTCCTGGTTGAAGTTCGTTCGCTTTGGCCTCTAGGAACCTCAAAACGAAAAAAAATCGGTCCCGAATCCAGGCATTGACTATATAACACTAGTGTTATATAGTCAATGGTCCAGGTCTAACCATGAGTACTACGGGTACTACGGTAATAGCTTATCCCTATATGGGAAATTCGCTAATATTCCCTATATGGTAAATTCGCTAAAAGATGGTAAGTGGTGATCGATTTCGATTGGACACTCCAATCATCATCAGACCCAATAGGCGAATCAAACAAAGGGGTGCTTTTGGTGGCATTCGCCTATTGGGTCTGATAATGATTGGAGTGTCCAATCGAAATCGATCACCACTTACCATCTGTTTTGTATATTTACCGTCTTGTGAGTAACAGTATAAGCGTAAATATATGTTTTAAGTGTTATAAGACGTATCTTTATTTACTTTCCATAACAATAACTACAACATGCTTTAATATATGGTCTGATTTTACAGGAGACAGCCTTAAGATAGGAGACATCAGCCATTTGTACATGACTTGTCCCCCCCAACCAACGTTGCAGAATGGATCTGTTTGAGTTGTAAGTACAACAAAAACTTATATTCAGGAGTAAATATTCTGTAACTTTGGGCATTAGACAATATACAATAACAACAATTGTGTAATAGGGAACTGTCTTGCTAACTATTATACATCTAACGAACTAGCTCTTTCATGTTTTATACTGATTAAAAGATCTCACGGTCTAGTATTGAGCATAGAATTCCTTATGTAGTAATTAATTACTTCTATTTTATAAATATACATTACACTACACATGCAACAGGTGTTCTTTATAGGCCTATCATTGTGACAACATTGAGGTATTTACCACATACTTTATTTAAAATGGTGTCAACTGATGACATTAATTTACAGTTAATTCTGGTCCTCAAAAATCAATGAAATTCATTATTTTCAATGAAAGCAGGAAAAATCTTTTCCCAATTTTCAACACGGAAAAATACTCAACCACTGGCTAAAAAACCATCTCAACGGTTCTTTATGTTTAATTTACACCGGTCACTAATTTGTTCCAGGTGTTACGAAGGGTCTACAAGAGAGGATCTGATTCATTTGAATCGCTGTGGTCTGGAGATTATTCACAACTACATATTGAAAACATTGTAGTGACAGAATGTTCACACTTCAATAATATTTATTTACTTTTATAATTTTAAAATTTGTTGTGTTTAAATTAAAAATCAATAGTTTTCATGTAGTTGACTTTTATTCACAATTAGAATTAATACACAAATCATCACAAGAAATGTACCGTTATAAATAATTAAATGTGGATTGAAACAGCTATATAACAGTTCCATTGGGGCACCTTATTTTCTAGGCAACATCAGAAAAAATTAATTAAAAAGTAAGGGTATCAAATAGCATTGGTGAAATGAGTAAATAACGGCAATATCAATATTTTGATGGAATAAATATCATTAGTTCCCCACATAAATATTTGTCCTGTATCAATAAAAGGTCGATATATATATATATATATTGTTGTCAATATCGATAACACTAGATCGATAGCCAAAAACTAGTTTCTATTGTGAGTCTAAACAAAATGAGCAGTGACAATATTATGACAAAAGAATTTCCCCTACACCCCTACCCATAGTTAATAATTAATTAAGGTAATATAAAAACTCGTAATTGATAACAAATACTTGTGTCAGTTAGTCTATGGTGATATAAGTAAACTTAACATAGTCTGCTGATAAATACAGGCCAAACCATTATATTTACTTTACGTTCTTTGTTTGCAGTAACCTTGTATATAGGTGCAAGTTACTATATCACATGATGTGCTTAGATTAATATCTTATATACTAATAAACTTTTGCAAACCTTAGACAGCGAGCCTGACCATACTAATGGACAGAATTACACCGCGGTTGGTGCCAAATGAAAGATATTTACCTGTAGATGTGCAGAATCCCTTTATATATTACTATAGGCTAAAAATAGGCATGATATTGAAATTAAAAAAAAAAAACATTAACATGGGTCTTACGGGTTCACGAGGTGATGACGAATTAACAACAAAATATAAAAGCACGCGTTTCTATTGACCCGTAATATCGCCGTCAATAGATGCTTCGTCACTATTCTGCCCCCTGGAAGACGCTGAAACGTTCCTGAGATACTACATTGATACCGTAGTATCCGTGAACATGTCCTCTATTAAGTTTTTATAGTAGAATCGCTGCACGCGTTTCTATTGACCCGTAATATCGCCGTCAATAGATTTCGCGTGAGCGCTTCGTCACTATTCTGCCCCCTGGAAGACGCTGAAACGTTCCTGATATACTACATTGATACCGTAGTATCCGTGAACATGTCATCTTTCAAGTGTTTGTAGTGGAATCGCTGCACGCGTTTCTATTGACCCGTAATATCGCCGTCAATAGATTTCGCGTGAGCGCTTTGTCACTATTCTACCCCCTGGAAGACGCTGAATCGTTCCTGAGATACAACATTGGGTATCAATGAATACCGAGGTATGCGTGAACATGACCTCTATCAAGTATAGCCTAAAGTAGTATCTGGCGTCGCATTACTATTGACCCATCTTACACCCACCAATAGATAGTAGGCGAGCGCGTCGTCACGTCTATGGTCCTTAATAGACGCTGAATCGTTCATGAGATACTACATTGATACTGTGGTATGCGTGAACATGTCCTCAATCAAGTGTTCATAGTGGAAGTTTACAGTAATATATTATTTGTTTGACCTGATTTTTGTCTCACTGTTTGGTTACAAATCTAGTGGACGAGTTATGGTGTATAATTATATAGTATTTATTGGTTTTACGTACTTTTAAATGACAGTATACTCAAATAACAAGAAACGAATTGTAAACAAAACACAACCTATACAGTAAACCTGACAAAAATAAAATTGGCTTCGTAATAATTTGATGCGTGTATAGAATTAAATAAACTATTATTAAAGGAAATGGTCATTACAATACATAAATACTAAAAAAAAAAACAACTAAAACTAACTAATGAAACATATCAATAATTCCAATAATCATCACTACTGACGGAATGACATTTTCAAACAAATTGCATCTCTCTCTCTCTTCCTCCCCTCCCCCCACCCGCGAGCTCAACAGTTACAGTTCAATGCCCACAACCTCTCCTCTCCCCCCCCCAAACACAAACACAGGCGCGCGCGCTGCCCGCGCTCCACAGTACACACACACACATGCACTAGTTATTGACGAAGTTATTGGCAGCTTCACAGAAGTGAATTAAATAACCTAATTACAATCCTGAAAAACAACACCATCATAAAAACCTCTCTAACAATACTGCCAGTGTTCTTCTGATAGCAATCAATCAATTGTGTTAAGTTGGATGAATTTTGTCAATTAGTATGTAGTGAGGGAAGGACGAGAGAATGTTAGCCAGCACAGAAGGTCACACCACTAAATGCTGGTGATAATTAATTAACCTAAAGGCAATTAGGCTGATTGCTGAGATGGGTAAATGGGTAAGGTACTTGAGCGCTCGTCCCTCTAATTGACACAATATTTACTAACATTCGTTGATCGCAAGTAAGACGCACCTCTCCACTATTCGTTGTCTAGCCTCGTGTACTCTCGACACCCCGTCCGGCATCGGTAGCAACGTCTGTCCGTGGATTTGTCCTCGAACTTTGTACACGGTATTCTTCAACTCAATCACGTGTTTCTTGACATCTTCCACCACAACGGCCGGCCAACCTTTGTGATTGGCCGGATTGCAGAATATCGGAACAAACACCTGCACAAACAATCAAAGTTAGTAAAGCAGCTAATAATTACATTGAATCAGAGATACGAATAATGTATTTTACCTGAGTACGAGTCAAGGATGAGTTTGGAATGAAGTGAAATTACTCGTGCAACTTTTTTACTTAGTTTAGCAGCTTCATACTATTTAATTACAGCCTAATGATAAAGGGCAGTAATGTCCAGTTTTTAACTACTAAAAACCTACGGACATTTTCCTGGCTATTAGAAGACGAGCACTCATAACTACCCACCTGTAGGCTATACCTTGCTAATTTATACAACATTATGAAGAGGTTTCAAAACATCTAACAGTAAATATAAGTTTAACTTACTGGATGGCTAAATTATTCCAGCTGCAATGTTTTTTTATTCTTACAAACTCAATGAATGTTGTAGCCAAGCACGTAATTGTGTTCTTGATGAGTAGGCTACACAATAATAAATAGGCTACAATTTTTGCTGTAACAGAATAAACTGGAATCCTAAACCAAGGAATCAATCTTACCTCCTCTACCAAGACAGCGAGGTCGTCAACGGGTCGAGGTGAAATATCTCCGAAGATGAGGGCCTTGCGAATGTTCTCTGCTGTGATTGGTTCTGGCTTCACCCGAGCAAAGTAAGATGACTTAGTTTTGCCCGAAGTAGGGAACGTAAGGCTTGGGAGCAGCGTACCTGCACTAGTCAGTGTCACTAACAGCACTTTGTGCTCTGGCTTTTCCAAAAAGTCCATTATTATCGTCTGGAAAAGTTAATTTTCTGTTAATTTTTTCCCATTAAAATATTCATTTTTAAATCTATAGGCTATGCATGTAGATAGGCCTAATGTATTTTTGATTTCAAAAAACTTTCCCTATAGTAAAGAAGCTACAACTGTAGCTGGAATGGTAAGACCTACACTCGGGACTGATTTACTTTTTCGTTTGTCATCACTTGCATTGTATGTCCTCAGAAGCAAAACAAAAAAACCCCGCTTTTCTTTTAAATTCATATTGTGCATAAAATTCATAACCTGAGTCCATAATCATGATAACTTACACAATACAAAAGTTCACATGTAGCATAGGCTAAGTTATGTAGGCCATTAACTTAGAATATATTTTAATCTCAATTTAAACTTTTGTCAGTTGTAAATTTAATACAAAAAAATGGTAGGCTATTGACATTTAACACAGCAAGTAGGCCTTGTTATAATTTATAAATATGCCCTTACATAATATAAATATGCACATATTGTGCAGTAAGTAAATCAATAAACTTTATGAAAAACCTCAAACCTTGTAGGTATCGGTGTTCATCATTTTCTGCCATTTGTCAACTTTAAACTTTGTTGTCTTACTCAAATAAGTATAAATGAAGAGCAACCTTGGATCGCTTTCGACTGCATCTTCGTCTAACGGATCACTACTCATGATGACTTCACCTGGAAAATTCTCAAACTTTGTGAACTTTCTTTTGGTCAGGGACACTTGTAAAACTAATCCTGGACACATACCTATTCAAGCAATTACCATAGCAAAGCAGAAGTAGATATGTACACCTAAGTTAGTGGTTAGATAGATTATAGAAAATATTTTAGATAGGCCTATAAATAAATTAAACTTATAAAATATTCTAAACAAAGGAATCAAACTAACAAAAAGGTACCTTACTTCTAATTTTACAACCTATACCAGCTTACAACCTTAAAAAGTTATACTGTCACTGTCACCAAGTCTTAAAATAAGTCTGGTCAAGTAATAAGTCTTCTATCACTGCTCTACAACTTATATTTTTTTAACTTGCCCTAGGCCTATTATTTGACTTTAGATGATGTGATAGGCAAGTGTTTGTAAAATTATAGAAAGTAAGAAATTACTTAAAGACATAGAAAAGTTCGTTTAGTTTAGTGTTACCTGTAAAACTGGTGCTAAGTTTTTATATCAGATTACTAAAAATGGTTGTGTTTTAATGTTTTATCATCTAATTTCACATCATTTAAAAGATTTCACCGCCACAACAGAATTATTACTCTAGTCGGTCTGTGTTGTCATGGCAACGCACAAAGAAAAGAACAAAAACAATCCACTGGCAGGAAAGAGGATAGTGGGGAAACCACCGTAGATAAACCATTGATTATACATCTTGAGGAAATTTATAATCAATGACGAAACATACTCCCAACTCCCATGAAACCACGAATACTATAACAGAAACGTTATGGATTATAAACATAGGAACTGTCTAAACCATGTTAATGTTATTAGTATAGGATTCGGGCCTGTTACGTCATTTGTTTATGATCCATACCACTTTCTGTCTTCTGTTATAATATTCGTGGTGGAAACTAAGGAAAGAGAAAGCTAGTTTTAATTTATTACCATAAAATATATCCAGCAATATCTTATAATCAACGCTGACACTGTTTTACAACTAGATTCAAATTTTTAATGAAAATATCAGTTTTATACCTTTGTACCATGTATCCATCGATGATCAGTAGTGACTGGATAGATTTCGTCAAAGAAAAAAACATTTAAAAACATTTTCATACAGACCAAGTCACTAAATTTATGAAACCAAAACATTCGCTTCCCTTTGACTTTGACTTACAAATAAGTCAAATAAAAACAATATTACAAGTCTGGTTACAATAAATTATAGTAGCGATAAAGTACAGTATTAATTATGGGCCATTTAATGAGTCCCTTGCTGTCATTTAGGATCCCTTGCTTTTATTGAATTATATTATTATACTTTTGCTAATGATTAAGGAATATGCACAGGTCGTTAGCCCCTATTTTGAGACTCTGTTAATAGGTCACCACCACCATGACAATCCACCACCTCGGTGTTTCGGCCAGAGGTGAAAATCCACCAGACCACCACCACAAAAATACTGAGGTGGTGGGTTGACATCCCACTACCACGCATTTAACCAAGGTAATGGATTGTCATGCAAACTCACGTTTATGTGCTACCCCGACAAGGAGCCACCATGTTAACCCCCACCACCTCAAACCTCTACTTCTTGTTGTTGGCAGGTTGTTTTGGTGGCACCTCTTGACGCACTCCCTTGCTAAGCAGTCTACTCAATTAAAACCCTCCGATACTCAAACACAGACTAGGAAATTATTTTTCCCCTTCCGAATAAATATAAAATATTGTAAAATGCTCAATCAATGAATAAAATATTCATAATGCCGTGATTGTTTAGCAATATATCATCACGTTATGGCATTTCCTTTTAGTTTATGGAATTATTTTGATGTTAATCTGTAATATGTCAACCCTGTGCAATCCTACTATCAGTGGAGTTTTAAATCTATGCCTACGATGTCAAGTAGCTAATTATTTTTATGTAGTATCGCATTAAATGTCTACATCTTCCAAATGTCTGTTGGCTAACCTGATTAATAATTATAGTTACAATGGAGTCAACTGGAGAAGGCTGGAGGGGCTGATTTCGTTCGGATAGAAGTGTCATTTCAGTGTTTATGAAGAAATTCGGGGTTTCTGCCAAAAATGGCCTGTCGCAGGCCAGTTTATTCTGTTTCGAGCGAGTCCCTTTCATCAAATTTAAGTAATGACCCCTTAAGAGAATTATTTGAAGCTTGCAAAGTAGGGGACATTAACAGAGTGAAGAAATTAGTTACGCCTCAGACAGTCAATGCAAGGGATACAGCTGGAAGAAAGTCGACTCCATTGCATTTTGCAGCTGGTAAGGAAGGAAACATAATTTTGGAAGTTTATCCATTGGCAATACAATACAACGCCTATTAGGGCTAACTAGTGTTACTTTCCTATAGGCTAATCGTTAATGATTCTTTACTAAGATGTAGGATGGATAAAAAATAACTATTTTGAAGATTTACTTTATTGGGCTTAACTTAGTGCTTTGTTCCTAGTTTTACCACAGTTGAATCGTTGAATGGTAGAAATTCAGTTTCCTGAACTCACCTAAAAGCACTTCCTGAAATGTGAAAAATTGAACAATAACCCATATGGTACCTACAACTTGTTAGCTTATTTGTCTAGGCAGGCTAGGCCTTACACATGTTTATTCAGCTTAGGATAGGAAACATAGGCCTAGAATGTGTTCAATTTTTAACTCAATGTCAATTATTTAGGTTATGGTCGAAGGGATGTAGTTGAGTTCCTTCTCTCCGCCGGAGCATCAATCCAAGCTCGAGACGATGGTGGTCTTCATCCACTTCACAACGCCTGTTCCTTCGGCCATGCGGATGTAGTACGGTTACTTCTAGAAGCTGGAGCCAACCCTAACACTAGAGACAACTGGAACTACACTCCGCTACATGAGGCAGCCATAAAGGGCAAAGTAGACGTATGCATTGCGCTGCTCCAGCACGGGGCAGATCCCAGTATCCGTAACACAGAAGGAAAGACAGCCGTGGAGGTAGCTGAGGTAGGTCCTCGCGCCGTGCTGACGGGCGAGCACCGCAAGGAGGAGCTGTTAGAGGCAGCACGTGCTGGCGCAGAGGATAGGCTGGTGGCGCTGCTCACACCCCTCAATGTCAACTGTCACGCTAGCGACGGCCGACGTTCAACTCCATTGCACTTAGCAGCTGGTTATAACAGACATCGTGTTGTGCAGCTGTTGCTTCAACATGGGGCAGATGTGCATGCTAAGGATAAAGGGTGAGATTTATTTTAGATTGATTTAGGCCTAATCTGCATTTACATAACTAGTGGATCTTCCCTTTAAAATTCCAAAATTATGTGGTTTTTATCCCTTTTTGTGACTTAATATTATTAACAAATTTGAGTTTTAACTCTAATTTTGTGTTTGTTTACCTCTGCTATTTCCTTGTTTTGTAAATTTTGGCCATGGATGTAACAGTGCAAACTAAATTTAATAGTAAAAAATGTTACCGTCAGGTGTTATAAAGGTTAGTTATACTCCAAAATCAACTAGGTTAAAGTCTTGTCAGTCAATTCAACATTTTAAAAGATATTTAGTCCTACCCAAGACCTAACAATCAAATATTTGCTATGAGCTTTCTTATCTCCTTGCCCATGGGCATTTCATTACATCTCCCTTTCTTTAAAAGACACAGCAAAAACACAGAACTAACAAATTATGTTGCAATGGTCCCAAATCTGCTGCCTGAGGGACACCAAACTCCGTAAATAATAAAAATCTTATACATTAGGAACATAAGTGACTTATTCTTCATGTACAGCTGAGACATTAGTTATCCTATGTGTCTACAGTGGTCTGGTGCCGCTACACAACGCCTGTTCCTACGGCCATTTTGAGGTGACGGAAATGTTGATCAAGCACGGCGCCAACGTCAACGCGATGGATCTCTGGCAGTTCACGCCGCTACACGAGGCGGCCAGCAAGTCTCGTGTGGAAGTTTGCAGTTTGCTGCTCAGTCAGGGTGCCGATCCGACGTTGCTAAACTGTCACAGTAAAAGCGCTGTCGACGTTGCACCGACGCGCGACCTGCAGGATCGGCTGTCTTGTAAGTACTGAGATACATCTTCAACACATTTCCTAGGTACCGGTATCAGAAACCTAATGATATTTCCTTGCCAATTGTCTCTAATTTTAAGTTAAACTTTTTGTAGTAGACTTTGTCTTTGCAAAAATTACTATTTTTAATCACTGATAGGCCTATATTTATAATTTGCAAAATTTTTAAGATTCATAGCTGCTCTCACTCTTTGTATTCCTTTTTAATTGTTATTGCTTTTCATGTTTCAGTTGAGTTCAAAGGCCACTGCCTTCTAGAGAGTTGTCGGCAAGCTGACCCTTCTCGTGTCAAGAAGTATCTCTCCAGTGACGTGGTCAACTTCAAACATCCCTACACGGGCGATACACCTTTGGTAGGTGGCGTGAACAGAATACTATGTGTTAGTTTAGTAGGTTTTATTGGTTAGATAGGCTGTGACTTTATTTACCCACATGTTAATTGCGTGAAATGCAAATTTGTGAATAATCTGTATCCGGTATGTGAGCATACAAGAAGAGAAAACTCATTTCATGGAATTATATTTGAAGTTATCAATGAGTTGAAGTTAAAAATTAAGCTGTTTTATTAAAATTGTGCAAAATTTTTTTTCCAAGAAATAATCAAATACCGGTATTTTTTTCTAGTAGGCTAAGTTTCCTAAAATGGCGCTTAGCAAACACACAAAAAGAAATGCTTATATAGGCACAAATATAGTAACTAAACATAACTGAAATTTGTTTACCATAGTAGGATTCCAATCTACTATATTGGTCAGAATAGAATACCAACTAGTTGGGCTATCGTGTAATGTGATTTTTGTGTGTATATAAAAGCCTCTGACTTTGACTTAATACTTTTATTTTTCAAATGAGCCATCTGTGCTCCACCCCTTTAAAAATTCAATAGGCCTGTGTCCTGATGTTACCGAAATACTGCTACTGATATTTTAGTTCTCGTTACTGGTACTTTTCTTAAGAACTAGTGATACTGAATATTGTGGTTAGGTTATTACTTAGCCTTGTATTCAAAACACTCAGGAGACTTATTTTATGTTTATTTTAAATGAGGGTTTTTAAACTAAAAAATGTTAGTCATTCTCATGTTCTATAAATGATACGTTTCATTCATTTAAGGTTGCAATTTAATTTAAACACCAGTCGTAATCATTAAATTTGACATTTACAATTACTTGTACTTGCAGCACTGTGCGGTGATGTCGCCGTACCCCAAGCGCAAGCAGGTGGTTGAGACGTTGATCAGGAAAGGGGCGCATCTCAACGAGAAGAACAAAGAGCTACTCACGCCTCTGCACATTGCCACCGACCTCTCCCATTACGACTTGATGGACACTCTGCTCAGACTGGGGGCGAAGGTCAACGCCCTCGACGCACTGGGACAGACCGGTGAGTGAGCAAGAGGGAACGGAACAAAGTATACTTCTATTATACATTATTACCACTTTTTCAATTTGAAAATGGTGTTTGTTTCACTCAAGTATCCACAGGACAACACTGGTTTACTTTTTCCAGCTTGGATTTTATTTGAAGTATCAAATTGCTTCAGTTCAGACTGGTAGGCACATCATCGGTTAAAGTTGACTGTCAAACTATGTTGATCAGAAGATGACTGCGTCCATTAACTGGTGACAATGACCCAAAGTTTCAGATGTGCTGTGGCAATTTATCTTCGGGACAAGCTACAACTCAATCGTATAGAATTCAGTCTCTGTTCTACCAAAAACAATTTTTTCAGTAGCTACTATTCAGTTTAATTTCAAGATAAGCCAAATCATTGCTTGCGAAATGAGTTCAACTAGCTTACATGAGAAAAGTGGCTTATAGATAAATGAATAACAGATATTTGGAAGGAAAACTGAAATTTAGGTAACCAGATGAGATGCCTCGCTTTCGCTTTCAATATTAGGATTCATTATAGAAAGGTTTATCTGTTCAAATCTGCTCAAATTTCTATGGGAATCTATGCTTGTAAAATGTGAAGTTTTACTATTTGATTAGTGATAGTTGTTTTGACTGTGCGTTGTTTGCAGCTCTACATCGGTGTGCGAGGGAAGACAACATCCAGGCGTGTCGGATCCTGTTGTCGTACTCTGTGGACACAACCATCGTCTCACTGCAAGGTTACACGGCTGTGCAAGTTGCTACTGATAACGTGCACAAAATACTGCAAGGTAAATAATGTTGAAAGATATTGATCGGTTCAGTTTGCATTTATTGTGTGTAGGTTGGTGCCTAGTCTTGTTACTATCAACCTTTTAGATATTAATAATTAATCTCTAATTAATAGCCAAAATACACATGGGATTTGGGTCCATAATCGATTCCGCTCAGGATTCAACTAGTAACCTTCGGATTAGAAGGCTGGCACTGCCACCGTTAGGCTACCCAGACAAAACTTCACAACACAATTAGCCTAAATTGAAATTTTACCCCTACAAAAATGGTTTTGTAAACTCCTTCTGAAAAAATACTCCTCATAGTGGTTAAATACAAAGTTTATTCCATTGTGAACTTTTTGTGCATTGTCAACTGTCTCGAACTAGTTTCTTGGGTAGGTTAGGTTTGTTCTTTCATTTTGTCTACCTACAAGCCAAATGCTCGTTCTCTATAACTATTTTCAATAAAATGACAACTGAGTCCAGTTTTGAACCTTCCCAATGCTAACGGGGTGAAATTGAATAGTTTTACACCAGTGTTGATTTGATGAAGACGGTTGCAAACTAACTCAAACTGTGACTGCAGAACCACCAGCAGTGTTGGACCTCGAGAGTCAGCTGTTGGAGTCTGCGAAGGCCGGAGATCTGGAGCAAGTTCAGAGGCTGTTGACTGCCTACCCTCACATCGTCAACTGTAGAGATCTGGACGGAAGGTATTGTAGACAATCTGTTATATATATATCCTCTTAGAAAAGGTTTAAATACCTGCTATAAAGCAATCCAATTTTGTTGTTAGCACAACTAGTTTCGGTGTCTGTGTGACACCATCATCAGGCTGCACAAGGACAGTTTTCTTTCTTCATCCGAAGAGCGTCATATTTACACAAAAATAAATAAACATTTAAAAACGACACAAACACGAATACGAGACATTTATGGTAACTGATCAGTTAAGAAAACAGACGACGCTAACCCGGCGGAGTTTGAGTCCAGACTGCAGGTGGTCAGTGCAGTGGTGTACGTCCGTTATCTTATCATCCCAGGTTGCGTCCTGTCAATCATTTTTCTAAATTTTTCTAAAGACAGATATAAACTTAACACATTGGAAGAGTTTGAGATATATAAGGCAGTAAAATCCGACCACCATAATGTACTAAATGACCAACAATTTTTCTCGTCTAATTTTATGTATGACACTGCCATCGGTTTACTAGAGAGGGGAGGTGTGATTGACAGGACGCAACCTGGGATGATAAGATAACGGACGTACACCACTGCACTGACCACCTGCAGTCTGGACTCAAACTCCGCCGGGTTAGCGTCGTCTGTTTTATTAACTGATCAGTTACCATAAATGTCTTTAATTCGTGTTTATGTCGTGTTTAAATGTTTATTTATTTTCGTGTAAATATGACACTCTTCGGATGAAGAAAGAAAACTGTCCTTGTGCAGCCTGATGATGGTGTCACACAGACACCGAAACTAGTTGTGCTAACAACAAAATTGGATCGCTTTATAGCAGGTATTTAAACCTTTTCTAATATTATTTGGCAATCCGGAGGCTAACAACTACAATGAAAATATATCCTCTTTTATGGTCCTTTTTGTCTAAAAGAAAACACTGGCGTACATGGGCGAAAAGATTTTTATTAGTAAATAGATGGCTTAATTTAAATTCAACTGTCATATTCTTGACCTAGGTTTCAGCATAGAGTATTTGTGCTATCAGTATGAAATCTAATCAGTGTTGTGGCTCGGATATAACTTGTCGAGGCTGGTTAACTTACATGTTTTTGCACCTGTGTCGTCGAACCGATCAATAAATGTTAAACTGTTTATTCGTGTTCGTGCCATGTGGACTGTAACTTATGTAGTTTTAACCCGAGGACATACAACACTGGTGCTTGATGATGGCACAATTACTATGTGCTGTAACCTAGGTTGAAGAATGTGACTACAGTTGAATTGGATGACTGAAGGTAGTTAAATCAATATTAGTGTCTTAACCAGTTCTGGAGCAACATCCACATCTCATGGTTTAAAATCTATACTATTATAAAAAAGAGGTGGTTGCTGTATGTGTGTATGGGAAAAGTAAACTCGAAAAATACTGGTCGGATTGGGCTGAAATTTGGCATGATGATAGCTCACATTCCCGATTAACATATAGGCATATTCTTATTTCAAAAATCCTTTCGGGCTCCGCCCCAGTGGCTCTGGAGTTTACCATGTTAACCTTATGAGAAATGGAATTATTGAATCTTAACAGCTGTTTCAATTAAACAAGTTGGTTCTGTTCTATGATGTTCAATAGCATTAAAGTTACAAGGATTACCAACAGGGTGCAGCACTATTATTTCTTTTACATTTATGACAACAGCTAATTTGCAACCAAAAGGTGAGTGAGCGTAGCGAACGAACTTCAACTTGGAGGCGAGTTAGCGTAGCGAACGAGCTAACCTGAAGGCAAGTGAGCGCAGCGAACGAGCTCCAACCTAAAGGTGAGTGAGCGTAGCGAACGAGCTCCAACCTAAAGGTGAGTGAGCGTAGCGAACAAACTTCAACCAGGACGTGATTGAGCCATGCGAACGAGATAATCTTGAAAATTAAGAAGTTAAACGGGGCAAAGCCCGCGGGTTACAGCTAGTACTTTTTAAAAACTCCCTGAAGAATACAAAATCAAAACCCAGCCAAAATCTTATCAAAGCAGCCTTGCTGATTTTCTTCAAGACGTATAGCTTGCATTATCTAAGCTAAAATGCAATTTTATCCAATTGAGTAGTGTAGCATTTTCTTTTTTTATGTATGTTGACTCAGTCTTATTATCTTTCACTAAATACTTATTTATCAGCTAAGTTTTAATTAAATGTAAGTTATGAAAATTTCACCGCTTGCTTAATACAAGATGGTTGTATGTCTTAAAAACTTTTGTACATTTTAAATGTTTTTTTGGTTTTAGACACTCGACTCCGTTACATTTTGCTGCCGGATACAACCGAGTCTCAGTCGTAGAGTATCTTCTCGCTCATGGAGCCGATGTCCATTCAAAGGATAAAGGGTAAGTTCCAGACGTTTGATTTATATTTAGTGATAATTTATCTGTCTTGGGACATTTTTATGTCAAATGTATAAAACAAAGTTATCATGTGTCAAAGATATTTGCCGATCTCTTCCATTTACTTCCAATGTGTCTGACTCTGCCAACTCTTCTTAAAACTATCCTAAGTTAATAAACATCCTTAACATATGGGCCGTGCAACCTCCAAATTTAAAGTAGGTAGTGAAAAAAAATCTGAGTTAGTGATATTTTGTTAAACTTTGTACAACTAAATCTAGACTTCTACTGGACCGATTCTGTTAATTAAGGGGTCACTAACTGAGCTATATTGGATTTTAGAGTCAAATAGTCTTGGTCCTTACTGAACTTTCAGTTTAATTACACGCTAATAAGAACAAATAGTAAATATTTTGTGCTATTGCATAATCTATACAAAAATATTTCAGAAGTTTCAAGTAGCCTAAGTTTTAAGGTTCAATTTATGATATTTTACAATATTTATACAATATCGATGTATTTTTTCAGTGGCCTAGTTCCTTTGCACAACGCATGTTCCTACGGGCATTACGAGGTGACGGAGATGTTGGTAAAGAACGGGGCCAACGTCAACGTCGCAGATCTGTGGAAGTTCACTCCACTTCATGAAGCAGCGGCCAAGGGGAAATACGACATTGTCAGACTTCTTCTTCAGGTATCCAATCAACTCTTTATTTGGAGTAAGCATGAAGACATATGTTTCATGCTTACTCTTAAATCTTGATTATCAATTATCTTTAGATATCATTGGTCAATTTGCTAATGTGAAGATAACCTACAAATATGTTAAATTGTTATTAAAAGTTCAGATTTAAGAACAATTGATATTTTTCAGCACGGAGCCGACCCGAACAAAAAGAACCGTGACGGAGCGACGCCGCTGGAACTGGTGCGCGAGGGAGACCAAGACGTAGCGGACTTGCTGCGTGGCAATGCAGCGCTGCTTGACGCGGCCAAGAAAGGCAACTTGGCGCGAGTCCAGCGACTACTGACGGCAGACAACATCAACTGTCGCGACACGCAGGGACGCAACTCCACACCACTGCATCTGGCTGGTGAGTGAGATATGACTGAGTCTGAGGTTGATTGATAGTTAGAATGGATACACAACTCGTCGCTCACAAGACGAAGGGGCGTAAGTACATATGGTAAACCTATGTACTATTGTACCTTTTTCTTGCAAGTGTCAAACTGACTTGCCTAAGAAAAGAGTTTGAAACTGTTGACAGCACCCAAAAATGACAAAACAAAATTAATTTGGAATTTCACCCTTTTAATGGTGCTTTTTCAGAAAGAAGAACAACATTAAAGAGTTTACATCCTAAGAAACTCCCTGTAAGGGAGAATTACTAAAATAATTGTGTTGTGAACTTTTTGTGGGCTGTCATCTGCCTGGAACTCTTTTCTTGGGTAAGTTTGTTGTACATTCATTAAATCTTCCTAAGTGTAGGCCTATAATGTATTTCCAACCCAAGTGCTTTTTCTTTCAAAAACTTAATCCTAGGTTAACTCAATATCGTGATGTTTTCAAGAGAATTGGAATTGAAACTTTGCAAAAATGATTCTAGACAAAATGTTATTCAAGAGCACGCAGACTTGTAGAGGAGATAAAAAGTTTTGTATTTTTCTATATAATTGTTTAATGTCTTTAAAAGGGAACGGTGGCCGAATCCAAAATGGTTTCCGGATCCACAATCGCACTTGCTCAGGATCCCGATCGAACCAGCTCAATAACAAATAACAGTCTCACAGTATGTTTAACATGTGTTACAGCTGGCTACAACAACGTAGAGGTGGCCGAGCTGTTGTTGGAGAGAGGCGCTGACGTCAACGCCCAAGACAAGGGTGGATTGATCCCTCTGCACAACGCCAGCAGCTACGGACATCTGGACATTGCGGCTCTGCTGATCAAGTACAACACGGTGGTCAACGCCACGGACAAGTGGGGCTTCACTCCGCTACACGAGGCGGCTCAGAAGGGACGAACACAGCTCAGCGCTCTGCTGGTGAGTTTGGTGACGTAGTTGGGTCAAGTTGAAATTCTCTGAACTCATTACATCTTTGCAAGTGTAATGCACACAGGAGTTTCATCGAGATGAGTTACAGTAAAGCCCTTTTTAACTGCATCCTGTTAAATCAATACCCAGGTTAACAGAAAAAATAATAAAGAATTAAATAAATAGAAACATTTTAGCTAGGCAACGAGAACTGTCAGCCGTAGGTAAGTAAACAGCCAGCTGTAATGAAGCAGACGACGACTCAGTTCTTACACCAAGATAAAGATAAAGTTCAGAAAGTATTGATGATTATTTTAAAACATTAGTGTATTAAAGGAAGTCTGTTGTAGACATCTCTTTGAACCAAAATAGCCTTTGAATTCCGATGATTGATTAGGCCTACCAAAAAAAAAAAAATAGGTTATGAAAGTCCCTTTATTTCAGTCATAGTTTTCATAGTATAGCCTATACTATAGTAAAACCTATAAGAACTAAAATTACCAAGAAGAAGAATATTAAAAGTAAAATTAAGTTACTGTTCTCTATAGGCCTACCTACTTTAAAACTTAAATCTGGTCAGTATCAGATGATTTTTAACAAACAAAAATTAACTAGCGATTTTCGTTTTATTGACTTAATTGTTTCTAAAAACTTTCGCTCATGCTTGAATAATTTTGCCTTTTTTTTGTCAACAGTTGGCGCACGGTGCCGACCCGTTCCTAAAGAACCAGGAAGGACAAGCTCCTATAGACCTGGCCAGTGCGGAGGACGTTCGCTCTTTGCTGCAAGACGCTATGGCTGCTCACCCGTCGCCCTCGTGTCCCGCACCCCCTGCACCTCCTCCCTCCCTGCCTCCCGCGGCTGACACTGTTATCATGCCGTCTGGCGCGTCCATGGAACTCAGTACCCCGGTGCCACCCGCCGCTGCCACTGCTGATGCCACCGACGTCGTAGTGGATGTGGCCGCACCTCCCGATGTTACTACGCTCGCTGGCTTCTTATCAAAGTAGGTTTCGGGGTCAATGCTATTTACTGAGTTGTGTTGAATCATAATGTATTGTTTTCACATTTTTAAGAATGTAATGAGCAAATGAAAAGTCTCGTAATTAGGAAACGTGAAGATTTATCTGATAATTGTAAAAGAAATTTTAAACTATGTTTGCAGGCTTACTTTTTATTGGTAGAAGGTATCGAAAATTAAATTTTTACAAGAGTTGGTTCTTTGACATTGTATCTAAATATTTTATTTTACTGGTAATCATAAAAAGGGATCATTATTGACTATTTTCTACAATATTTATTTTTTTTCATATAGAGTTTTGGTCAGTATTTTCCCACTGAGGTTGGCACTGAGGTGTTTTGTTGTTTAATAGTCTTTGTTTTAATATAAGTGAGTTGACCATTGGATTAATCAAGTAGCCTATTGTCGGGACCACGTAAGTTTGCGGTTGAGGGAGGAGCCTAATTACCATATGGTTTTGAATGACCGAATGAGGTTGCCAAATCTAATAATACCAGCTGATTTGAAAATATTAGTGTATTTTAATTAGTGTTGTTAACGGGCGATGTGGCATTGTCGCACTAGCCTTGTCTTGTGATTGGCTGCCACCAACTGCAAACTTACGTGGTCCCGATAATAAGTATAGTTTCTTTAAACCCAACCTTTTTCAGATAATCTGTTTTAGTGTGTTGTTTTGTTTCAGTAAGAAATAATTTATAAGTCTTGACATTTTAACATCTCACTAATTCTGAACATCAAGAATTACGCCAACTTTTATTGTATCTTGTAATATATTTTTTTATTTTCCTTTCAGCCTCTGTCTTGAGCACCTGTTGGAGTTGTTTGAGCGAGAGCAGATCACGTTGGATATTTTGTCCGAGATGAGCCACGAAGATCTGAAGCAGATCGGCATCACGGCGTACGGACATCGGCACAAGCTAATTAAAGCAATTGACAAGCTGGCAGCCACTCCTGGTATGTGCTTGTTAACATTGCTTAAAGCTTGACGATTCGCCAGGTTGTGTTTTATAGATGTTATACTTTTTAGTCGTACTTATTCCATTAATTATTACGTTGAAAAACTTTGTAGATATGGACGTGATACCGATTTTACTGGTAGTATTGAGGGATATAAATTCTCTGTTGGTGACTTTGGATTTAATATTGATTTTAGAATCTTCAGTGATTGCACCGAAACCAAGATCGTCACGATTGCTTCAATGCCTCTAGATTCCCATTCAGAATAGATGCTGAAACTATTATCACGTTAGAAAAAAGGGGATGATAATTTCCCAAATTTTCGGGTCTCTAATAAATTGTTATTTTTTATGTATTTTTTTTACAAATTCAAAGTAAATGAATCTACATGAGTGACTAAGGAAGCCTTTTTAGGTTGGATGTCCAAAAAAGCTTTTCACAGTTGTATTTAACTTTCAATTTGTAATGCATCACCAATTATATCTGTTTTTTTCCTGCAGGAGTGTTGGGAGGACTGTCCAAGAACCCTGGCACTCTGTTGGTAGACCTGCTGGCCGAAGACAAGGAGTTTATAGCCGTGGAGGAGGAGATGCAGTCAACAGTGAGGGAACATCGGGACAGCGGACAGAGCGGAGGAGTGTTCAACCGGTACAACATCATCAGGGTACGTAACTCGGACACTTACGAGCTAAACCTAACATCAACGCACTCTTCTTTACTTTGCGATGGATAGGTTGAAGAGCAGGTTACCTTACGATGGCTAATCTTATGTGTAGAAAATATAATGATAGAATATTCTCAAAATGTGTCAATGTATATGTTGCCGTCGGAAGTAACCTATTTTATCTGTATGAAATGACAAAAGTTAATATACAAAATGTTTAAGTTCAAATTTTTTGGGGCGTTCCATGTGTGACTAGTTGGGGTTGAAATCAATAAACTGAAAAACTGGCTTCAAAATATAGTGTGGTTTTTGGAATAAGACTTAAATACTGTTTGTTAATGTAAATACCTGATGTTCCCTCGATATTCCGATGTTCGTCTTGAACCAGAATGTAGAAAGGGAATTATTTTGTCTTGTCAAGATTTGCACAAACCTCCAACCATAAGCCACTTCATGATTGTAAATTTTTACCACAGATCCAGAAGGTACAGAACCGCAAGCTGTGGGAGCGATACAGCCATCGCAGACAGGAAGTGGCCGAGGAGAACAACAATGTTCCCAACGAGCGGATGTTGTTCCACGGATCACCGTTCATCAACGCTATCGTTCAGAAAGGCTTTGATGAGCGACACGCTTACATCGGCGGAATGTTTGGGGCGGGTGAGTCCAAAGTACACTAGAAGATAATGTCTTCCATTTATTTTTACTTAGTAAAATACTTACTGTATTTTTACTACTTGACTCAAAAGAAACAAATTAACATTCAAAGTAATCAACAACCATTTAAGTTATAAATATTATTAAATGTAAGAAGGGTGTAGTAGTTGTCATTATTGTCATTTTTTTCTCTAGGGATATATTTCGCAGAGCACTCTTCCAAGAGCAACCAATATGTTTACGGCATAGGAGGAGGCACTGGATGTACAATGCACAAAGATAGGTCTTGTTATACATGTCACAGGTATGTAAATAGGTGTTTATTTCCAATCGCTTCAACTATAATGGCTTAGTGTTAACACCATATTATTAGTGCGATGAGCCGTATTGTGTCGATAAGCTTTTAAAAATTGGTGCTTTACGCAACCATTCTATAGTGGTTACAATGCAATTACTCTGTAGGTCAATTACTAGGCCAAACATTAATAGAAATCTAATCGTTTATTTATATTCTAAAAGATAGTTTTAAAGCACCACAAAAAGGATATCTTTGATGTTCATTTTTGTCGATGGTAACATTATTGCGCACATGGTCCATTATGATCAGCTAAGTTTTCACGACAATTCATCTGAGGACGGGTTTTTGAAATATTGGAGAAGTAGGTTTTGTATGTTTGTTGTCATGTTTCAGACACCTGCTGTTGTGTCGGGTGACGCTAGGCAAGTCGTTCCTACAGTTCAACGCTATGAAGATGGCCCACGCACCCCCGGGTCACCACTCGGTGCTGGGTCGGCCCAGCTGTGGTGGCCTCAACTTTCCTGAGTTTGTCGTCTACAGAGGAGAACAGGTAACCTATGCCGATGTGCCTACAAAGCAAATGAGGCCCCTCGAAAAAAATTTGCAAGAAAAACTCTAGTGTATAAATGTTTTCCCTTATAAATAATGAAAAATAGTTTCTGTTTTAATTTGAAGTATATTTTTTGCTTAGTTTTTACTTGGTATAGCTAAAAGTTACTCAGCAGACGCTTGCAGTCTACGTTTGGGGATTTCCGCTATGCAAGATGATTGAGAACTGTCTAAAAAAAGTTGTTAGAATATCAGTCATACCACTAAAATAGAGTCCAAAGCTATAGGGTATACAACGTAACAAAGAAATGAAATCAATACAATTTTGCTTCTTTGTCCATGGTAAGTTGGTGACTAAGTTGGTAGCGCTACTAACTTCATATCCATGGCAGCGTTGTTGTGGTTTTGGGTCCTGTTAACGGCTACTACATAAGGATACATTCCACGCACAGGCTCAAGGCGTATGTGGACAGAGAAATACTAGGTTAAAAGAGCCTAAGAGGCCCGAACCCTCTTAACATTTTTTATAGGACTTCAGTCAGTAGATTGATGAGAGCTGTTAAAGTTTGTATTTAACGTTCATTTTTGTACGTATATAATTTTCCCAGTTAAGATTGCTAAACTATGTCCTTAACTAAAATGTTCCTCTATGATTTAACTATCCTCTATGGCATGTAAAAAAAAAAATATCTGTTACATCTTTATTTTTTGTTGCAGGCTTATCCAGAATATTTGATCACGTATCAAATAGTAAAGCCCGAAGATACCTCCGACGTCAGATGAACCTGGACATTCCTTTTTTGTGATATTCTAACAAACTGGTTGTGAATATTTCCATCGTTTGGAATAAGCTCAATATTTCTTTAATAATTGTTACATAGTATTTTTTAATGTGGACTGAGATGTGTGTCGTACTTTACGTTCTGTGGTAAATGTGAGACACTGTTTCAAGTGTTATTTAATGTATATGTTGTAGGTACTATAACACGGACTCATACGTTTAAATTGTGTTTTATTTATTTCCATGTGTCCTGTATCCATTTAAGTGTAGGCCTATACAAAATATTCTTCAGGATAGTTCAATTTACCTGATTTTATGGGAGATGAGAAATCGTACTTAAGAAGCTTTGACAGGCAGTTATCCAATAATGAGTGTTTAAAAACTTTCAAATTTAAAGGCTTAGGAAAAAATATCAACACCTTATCAAGACTCCCTTCAATGAAAGTTTATTCCATAATAATATAACAAAGCCCGAGAATCGGCTGATCTCAGACTGGTCATACATACTAGGTAAGATTTTTTTTTTATGTCACTGATTTATGTATCCAGAAATTTAGCTAAATCATTGCTCAATATCTACCCATCTACCGAAATACTCATGCTTTGATTCCTCTTTGGGACATCCTGACTGCATATTGGCCTCTTGTACATTGGATTTCTATAGTCTCTTGTGTGATACTTTATTGGGTGCTCAGAACCATTTACATATCGATGATGTGTAAAAGTCCATTTCTGTTGGAGAAGTGAAGTCATAGAACTGCTCTTATGTATTTTCCTCAGAATGCCACACCCACACTCTTAACCTGGCATTGGTATCCAGTCTAGAATGCCTCACTTGGTTCCTCAAGACCCTCTTAAGTTAATTTGGGAAGACTGTAATAGAAAGAAAATGTAAATGTTTAGGTACTTAAGAGGAGAGGGCAATACCAAAACAATCACCAAGTCTAGAATCAAAACTTGTCCTTATAGTTTCACAACCTTTTTCAGTGGCAAAACGCATCCAATACAATACATCTTATCAGCTTAGAAAAATTATATTTAACAATAATTATTAGATGGATAAAAATACTAATTATTCACAATAAATTCAATTTGTTGATTTTATATATCCACAAAATAAAGAGTGATTTACCTACCTTAATTAAGTTACAATTAACATAAAAGTTACCTACCCTATTTAAAATCCATTTTCATAAACTGGATCATTGAAAGTGGACTCTGGAAATAAATTAAACGCCAGGGGAGCGAACCCCCAAATGAAATTGAAATCTCCAAACTACCTTTTTAATTACCATTCCTCTGGCTAGATCAAAAGCTAAGCTTTAAAATTACAAATAAATGGTAAAAAATCTGTTCATTAAGACAGGAGAACAAGAGGTGTTACAGATAAACCCGTACATAGATAGATTCTTGATTTGTATTATTTTTGTACAAAGGTTTACAAAATTTCAATTTTGGTAATGACAAAAGAGTTTTTCTAAGTGGTTTTTTGTTTCTTTAATCTATTTAACAATAACTAACTAACAACAAGTAACTAGAAATAATAAATTATTATAACTACCTAATTTGTTTTATGGCTAACTTTCTATTAATAATTAATTGATTCTACTAAAATGCGTAATCATGATCATTGAAGAAGCGAGAAACTACTTAATCTTCATACCTTGCCAAGCAGCTACATGACTAATAACCTAAACCTAGACTTTTTAACCGTTTCACTAAGTAAGAATCGATTCAATGTTTTCGGAAATAAATATCGTTATTGTTTAATCGAATGAGCAACTCGGAATTGTTATCCCGAAAACGGGATTTTTAAACAATGCGCGGGATTAATATAGAAAGAGGGATATAACGGGATTTTCATACATGTAAAGCGGGATTTTTTACAATGTACTTTATCCCCCAATACTAATAAATGGCGGGAAACGTCTGGTAATTCTCTCTGGTAAATTGGTAACAATAATGCTGATTGTAGTTTCGTAGTTTGCCACTTGAGGCAGCACATAACAACTGTGTTGTACAATGACAGCAGCTGCACTCTTTCGGGCCAAAACAAAACCATTAATGGTTAGTGTTAGTTCAATAGTTTGCCGCTTGGGGCAGCATCTGTCTGTGCCGTGGTGTTTGTAAAGCGGGATTTTTAGACTATGGTCGGGATTAAAACTGGTTTCGGGATAAAAAATTTTCTCTACCCGGTTACCGGGATTTTTGTCTCGGTCGTGTGGTAGTTGTGGAATTGCAATCGAATCACTGCTCTCCTCAGCTGTCAGCTGAGCAGCTTGAGCTTACATCGAATGATCGAATCGAATCGAGTAAAAAAAAACCTTAACCTCAAATTCTCATGTCCGTCGTCCGTCCCAAACACTAAACACACGAAGCACGATAAACCCAAAACAAGGTTTTTCACCGTCGTGAAGTTAGCGGCTCTTTTCATCGGCGCTTTTTCGGTTTGTAATAGATGTGGGTTGGTACGCCTGCGGACGCCACAAACGTGTTTTGCAGGGATGTCGGAAACACAAATCAATGACAATACGATGCGAAATGATGTTTTTATATTTATATAATGTCAATAATACATTGATAAAACGTGTATACAAGTTAAAACTAATTAATTGACGTATTTTAAAAGGCATATTTGAGACCTTGCTCTTCATTATACGTAGCTAAGGCTTAACATAACGCGAACAATTAAAACTCCGAACATAAAAAGTGCATAATCTTTTTTCCCAAGCCCACCACATCAACTTTGAGCTATTCTAATGGTAATACACAATGTGTAGAATACTCAGTGTAAATTTGATTGAGGCAGTCCAGTGAATTACGAAGCTATAAGGCAAAATCTATATGGTTGATAGGAACTCGCATCAGGAAAAAGTGCACAATCTTTTTCCTTAGTCCATCACATCAACTTTGATGTATTCTAATGGTAATATACAATGTGTAGAATACTCAGTATACATATGATTGCGGCAGTCCAGTGAATTACGAAGTTATATGGCAAAATGTATATGGTTGATAGGAACTCGCATCAGGAAAAGTGCACAATCTTTTTCCTAAGCCCATCACATCAACTTTGAGGTATTCTAATGGTAATATACAATGTGTAGAACACTCAGTATAAATATGATTGAGGCAGTCCAGTAAATTACGAAGTTATATGGCAAAATGTATATGGTTGATAGGAACTCGCATCAGGAAATGTGCACAATCTTTTTCCTAAGCCCATCACATCAACTTTGAGGTATTCTAATGGTAATATACAATGTTTAGAATAATCAGTATGAGTATGATTGCGGCAGTCCAGTGAATTACGAAGTTATAAGGCAAAATCTTTATGGTTGATAGGAATTTGCGTCAGGAAAAGTGCACAATCTTTTTCCTAAGCCCATAACATCAACTTTGAGGTATTCTAATGCTAATATACAATGTATAGAATAATCAGTATGAGTATGATTAAAACACGGCCTCCAAACGCCTTGGGGTTCGTCCGATAGGTTGAGTCATAATTGCTGTGCAGTGCTGCTGATATCGGCACAACTGTTAATAAGAACTGAATAACTGGCATAACTGAATAAGAATCTGTTACATAATCATATTATAATAACCTACAACTTTATAATATTTAAAATTGGATTTGTAGTGGTAGTCTGTATTATGCATTTGATTGCGGCGAAACCCCAAGTATTATATGTAGTTTGGAGACCGTGTTTTACATTTTAAACCAAATGTATTCGTAATAATATATTTTTTTCTTATAAGAAAATGCATCTAGTTAATATATAGCCGAGTAATTAAGGAATTACACTATTATTTATCGACAATCCATACGATTTTCGAAAAAAATAGCTGTACGATGTAGATTTTGTTGAACTTATTATTGTTATAACTTTGTTATTAGTTAAGATAAAACTTTTTACCCAATGACCTTTTCTATTGGTAATATTTTTTGGATTAAAACTACGTTTTAACCGATGTCCTATCTCCTACCGTTCTCGAACTACAGTCGTCTCGACGCATAGCCCGTTCCGCCATCTTTGCCCCCCTCCCCCCAAGTTCTCGACCACCTGAAAAGTAGGCGACATGCGTATTTTTTATCACCACAGTCCATATTACAACTACTGTATCAGCAAAGATATTTGATATTACTTCTTTGCGACACTCACAAATTAATTCTACTTTCGGTTAAAAAACTACACGAAAAGTCCATTTTTACATATTTTATACAATAACTTGTTTATTTATAGAGATACGACCTCGGACCCTATAACCATTATTGTTGTCCGTATTTTTAGAATTCTAACGACGTTTTAACCGATGTTCTATCTTTTACCGTTTTCGAACTATCAGCGTTTTAACGCATATAGCGCAAACCGCCATGTTTGCCCTCTCCCTCCCACCTTATCGACCACTTTTGAAATAGGCGACATACGTAATTTTGATCACCACAGTCCATATTACAATAATCAGCAATAACATTACGTACTACTTTCATGCATGCTCAAACCCCCTCAGCTCCTGGACTATAGGTATGTTGCCATGCCAACCGCCACGAGCCACGTGGACGTACAGTAGTTCAAACATGAACCAGTAGAGCGCGGCCCAGATCAGTCAGTCAGTGGCAATGGCAATATTTAAAAATATTATCCAACGGTCGTTTCAGAGCGATCTGTTGTGTTCTTGTTCTAATGTTCCATTGTGTGTGACTGAATCACTGGAATTGATCACTAACGTTGGCCAGGGTGCTATCGCAGCATTCAACCTTCACCCAAAAATGGTAGACAACAATTTCATTATTGAACCGTATGTTGTCGCCTTAAAAGCATGTATTGCTTGTAATGATTGGTAAGGATATATTTTGTATCCCGTTTCCAGTGATATGGGATACAAAATATGTCCTTACCAATAAAAGATATTAAAATAAAAATTAAACATAAAATTGGTCAGTCACCGTGTTGTTTATGATGTATTGAACTACTTTGAGATAAGTTCAATTCTTGATAAACTACTTGATTTTGATTTTTCATATACAGTAGTATCAATATTGAAGTTTACACATAGTACATTGAATTATATTTCAGTAACTTATTCCATATATATCAATATTTCCAAACGCAGCCTATTGCTACCGGCAAAAGTTACGTTTGCATTGTTTTCGTCAAAACCTTTTAAGTTAGTTTATATATTAGTTACTATTCTGAATCCTGAGCCCTAAACGTGGTTTTTATACGAAGTGATGTTGGTGTTCACTAACCTAAATAAAACGACTTGATTGAATTTAAATAAATTAATTAGTTTTGTTTTTATTTGATTACAGTTAAATACGAGTTTGATCGTACAGAGACTGGACAAATGTATTCAAATTGGGAAAACCGACAAATATTCTATTATTTTGTCATGATTGCAAAAACTGTAGTGACGAATAAATCAATGTGAACTTATATTTATAACCTTGTTACCGACCTCTTCTGATGGACTGAGAGCTAAGGAGGTCGTCTTTGGAAAACGCCGAAATATGTCTGGGGTTGTAAATTCTTGGCTAGCAGCTACGAAGGTCAACGAACGTCAAAGAGATGCCGCTGTCTCGGGTTTTCCTTAAGGGTTGGTTGTTAACAGGTGTTCGCACGGTGACACTATAGGGAGAGAAAGTAGGGACGGGAGCGAAACCATGTCGGTCAGCGCTAGATCAAAGCTGTGAGACGGCCCTGTCAGCCCATGTATTTCATACTTTTTTTGTAGTCTCGGGGAGAAATTCCAAGCCGGGCGTGGCGCCGTTTTCAATTTCAACACTTCCTTATGAAGCCCCTGACCTTGGTTGAATTAAATCTTTTTTCCCTACGCTAAGTTTGTTAGTTTATGGTAATATGTTATAAACAACAGACGAATAAGACGTTATACCATAATAATATTATGATGGACTACCATTAGACATTTAAGGCTTCCTTGAGTAAAGTAAACTCACTTACTTACCTCAATGAACCACACGATCACAGGCGAGAGGATAGATGTATGGGTATTCATCTATCCTATCGCCTGTGATCGTGTGGTTAGAGCATGATTATTGAATAGTTAGGTCAACCATATACATTTTGCCAGATAACTTCGTAATTTACTGGACTGCCTCAATCATATTTATACTGACTATTCTACACATTGTATATTACCATTAGAATACCTCAAAGTTGATGTGATGGACTTAGAAAAAAGATTGTGCTCTTTTCCTGACGCAAATTCCTATCAACCATATAGATTTTGCCTTATAGCTTCGTAATTCACTGGACTGCCTCAATCATACTCATACTGATTATTCTATACATTGTATATTTGCATTAGAATACCTCAAAGTTGATGTGATGGGCTTAGGAAAAAGATTGTGCACTTTTCCTGACGCAAATTCCTATCAACCATATAGATTTTGCCTTATAGCTTCGTAATTCACTGGACTGCTGCAATCATACTCATACTGATTATTCTATACATTGTATATTAGCATTAGAATACCTCAAAGTTGATGTGATGGGCTTAGGAAAAAGATTGTGCACTTTTTCTGACGCAAATTCCTATCAACCATATAGATTTTGCCATATAACTTCGTAATTCACAGGACTGCCGCAATCATACTCATACTGATTATTCTATACATTGTATATTAGCATTAGAATACCTCAAAGTTGATGTGATGGGCTTAGGAAAAAGATTGTGCACTTTTCCTGATGCGAGTTCCTATCAACCATATACATTTTGCCATATAACTTCGTAATTTACTGGACTGCCGCAATCATACTCATACTGATTATTCTAAACATTGTATATTACCATTAGAATACCTCAAAATTGATGTGATGGGCTTAGGAAAAAGATTGTGCACTTTTCCTGACGCAAATTCCTATCAACCATATAGATTTTGCCTTATAGCTTCGTAATTCACTGGACTGCCGCAATCATACTCATACTGATTATTCTATACATTGTATATTAGCATTAGAATACATCAAAGTTGATGTGATGGGCTTAGGAAAAAGATTGTGCACTTTTCCTGATGCGAGTTCCTATCAACCATATACATTTTGCCATATAACTTCGTAATTTACTGGACTGCCTCAATCATATTTATACTGAGTGTTCTACACATTGTATATTACCATTAGAATACCTCAAAGTTGATGTGATGGGCTTAGGAAAAAGATTGTGCACTTTTCCTGACGCAAATTCCTATCAACCATATAGATTTTGCCTTATAGCTTCGTAATTCACTGGACTGCCGCAATCATACTCATACTGATTATTCTATACATTGTATATTAGCATTAGAATACCTCAAAGTTGATGTGATGGGCTTAGGAAAAAGATTGTGCACTTTTCCTGATGCGAGTTCCTATCAACCATATACATTTTGCCATATAACTTCGTAATTCACTGGACTGCCGCAATCATATGTATACTGAGTATTCTACACATTGTGTATTACCATTAGAATAGCTCAAAGTTGATGTGATGGGCTTGGGAAAAAAAGATTATGCACTTTTTATGTTCGGAGTTTTAATTGTTCGCGTTATGTTAAGCCTTAGCTACGTATAATGTACAGTACGGTCTCAAATATGCCTTTTAAAATACGTCAATTAATTAGTTTTAACTTGTATACACGTTTTATCAATGTATTATTGACATTATATAAATATAAAAACATCATTTCGCATCGTATTGTCATTGATTTGTGTTTCCGACATCCCTGCAAAACACGTTTGTGGCGTCCGCAGGCGTACCAACCCACATCTATTACAAACCGAAAAAGCGCCGATGAAAAGAGCCGCTAACTTCACGACGGTTTGTTTTCACGTCTAGTGCCCAGTTTTTGTTTTTTTTTAGTTTGGGTTGAATTACTAACCTATATTTGAATACTCGTTATATTTTAACACATTATCTATCTACGTGCTATTTTTTTATTGAGTCATAACGGAAATTTTGATTTATTTCTATTTTTAACAGCGTATGAGTAAAACAAGTATGGTTAGGAAGAAAATTGATAACCGAATTAGGGTTTTGATCGAAAATGGAGTTACTTTGGGACATAGGACTATGTTTGTCGTCGTGGGAGACAAAGGAAAAGATCAGGTATTATATCTAGCCTATACTGCAGTTTTATTTAAATTAGATTTCAATCCCATCATTAACTAAATTATGTTTTACGCAGAGGATACGCGTCCGGTGGCAGTTACTGTCATAACCTAACCTAACGAACCAAACTTGCTGATAATTAAAAAATCAAATGAAGGTTCAATTCTCTTCATAACATAAAATTATAAATGCCAAAAAGTCTAACAAAAGATGTACAGTTAAGAAGAAATTACATTCAAAGCAAAATCTGTGACAAAAAGTTAAAGTAACCGATGGGTTTCGAACCAGGGACCCCTAGGATATCAGCCGAGCACTCTATCCACTACACCACGAACAACGCTGACCGAACATCGTATCGTTGTGGTAATGGCGTTCCGGGACCCCACAACCCGGTGACGTCACTACCGGACGCGTATCCTCTGTGTATTTTTTATTTTGAATCCAGACACCCTAACACATTAATTCGTTAAGGCGAAGTTAGTTAATAATGGTTTAGTGTAGGAATGAGCATCGATAGTCGATGTTTTTTACTTCGATGGTAGGTTAGGTACTGATATTTTTGTTACACCAATGTTTTTGGCCTAGTATTGAGATATCGATGTTTTCCATTAGTGGAGAGTACAAAAAGCAGACGAAAATCTATTTGTCCCGAAAACATCGATGTTTTCGCATCAAAGTTAATTTATCGGTAATTTGATGTTTGACCTATCGATGCTCATCCCTAGATTAGTGTTTAATGATGCGATGTATGAAAGCTATAACTTAGGCTTAATCTGAATAAGACCACAAATCAGTGAAGAAGATGTAGCCTACTTAAAGTGATGAAAAATTCAAGTGGGACTATAGTACGGTAGTATTAGTAGGCCTAGTATCAAAAATTACTTAAGTTACCCTACCTTTTCTTAAGATCAAGATCAAACTTAGAGAACCATCGTACTAAACTAACTTTTCAGGGGAGCTCTCTGACCATTCGGCTTTCAGGTTCTTTGATGCAAGCACAATAAGTACCAACACTTGTAAAAGATTGAGCAACTAATGGAATGTGCTTTATACAGCCCTAGTTTGGAATCGGTTCATTGTTTCATTGTCAGATGCCACGTCCTATTGGGTTGCGTCATGACAAGCAGGTCTCGTCAAACTGTAGCAGTATCTCATAGTGTGAAGGGTTAAGTTAGATGCTTAAATTTTAATCTAGGCCTAATGAAGAAACCCAGAAATTTGAATTTAAGTAGTGTGGCACTTGTGTGTACCTTAGTGGTTAAATAAAAAAATTGTTTTAGGTTGTTATTCTGCATCACATGCTGTCCAAGGCAACTGTAAAAGCAAGACCTTCTGTGCTGTGGTGTTACAAAAAGGAATTAGGATTTAGCAGGTTCGTAACTATGCCACTCTAAATAAATATTAAGAGTTGTTATACGGTACATTGCTTAGTTTGGTAACTCAACAATTCATAAAAATCATGCTGTAACTGAACTTATTTTTAAAATTTATCTTTGTTAAATTACCATCCAGACAACACATCATCAATCCCTACCATAGCAATCCTGTTATTTAATTTTTACTGTTTTTTTTTCTTAATCTAGTTTTAAGAAGAATAGTTTTTTTGCTACGGTAGAACCTCAATTAACCGTCACTTTTGGGACCGAGAGCGTGACGGTTAAACGAACGGACATAATAACAGAAATCCTGTTATGTATCAGTAAGTTGATTCAAAAGGTTTTGGAAAAAATTAAACCCTCTACAAGTGAATAATTGATATTATTTATATTTAAAATGCTTACATACAAGAGTAGTACAGAACTGTTATTTCATGTTGTACTTGTTCAATGTTCGTTCAGTGAAATAAAATCACATTTAAAAATAATCTAAGTACTGTGTAGTGGGGTGATGTATAACAGAGAGTGTTGGTTTAAAGGGTGACGGTTGATTGAGGTGATGGTGATACTGTATTAGGTTGTCTAGTCAAGTATTATTAATAAAGTAATCAGTTTAAAAGTGCCTAGATCCAGCCTATTTTAGTATAATTCTCTTGATTTTTTTCAGTAACCGGAAGAAACGCATGAAACAGCTCCAGAAAAAAGTCAAAACAGGTAAACTAAATGTTAATGAAGACGATCCTTTTGAATTGTTCGTTGCTTCTACCAACATCCGCTACTGCTACTATGCTGAAACTCAGAAGATTCTGGGAAATACTTACGGAATGTGTGTTTTACAGGTAAAGTCCATAAACATTTCACTTTTCATTCTTGCTAATCTCTAGAATCCTTCTGGTTCAGATCTGTTTGAATGGCCTCCTGTGAACAATTTGCATATATCTCTTTTGCTCAAAAGAAACTAGTCACAACTGCCTGTTTGTTCAGGGCTGTTTACTACAGAAATTTTCTTTGTAGGCCTAGTTTACTAAATAATTTTAAATACTTTACCAGAAGTTTTTAACCTATCTGAGTGGTTTAGCGCTCACCTAGTAATCAAAAGGTCGACAGTTTGTGTTTGAGTAGCTTTTGTGATTAGAAACTGGGCCCAGTTGTCTTTGATCATTGGGCTTTTAATAAGTGATTCTAACCAATAAAACAGCTGATTTAAAATCAGCAACAAAGCTACACAAATTATCTCACTTGGTTTTTCACTCACCTTGCATTCTTATTCAGCTTTTCATTTCAATATTCATTCTTATTGTTAGGCTGGTTTACGCTGTACAAAAAGTTAAAACATTTATGTGTTTAGTTCCAACAAGTGTGTGCAAATGGGATGGAGTTGACGGTACCATAAGTTATCTGTCTATCTTTTTTTGTTAACTTTTCTATCACAATTGGCTTCAGGACTTTGAAGCGCTCCAGCCGAACCTCTTGGCGCGTACTATTGAGACCGTGGAGGGTGGTGGTATTGTAGTGTTACTGCTTCGGTCCGTCTCATCACTCAAACAGCTGTACACCATGTCCATGGACGTGCACGAGAGATACCGGACAGAAGCTCACAAGGAAGTCGTTGCTCGATTCAACGAGAGGTGAGTTGATGTTGGTAAATTGATTAAACACGGCTTCTAAAGAAAGCAATCATTCAATTGGTCATTAAAGTAAAGGTACTGTTTGCTGTATCAGTATCTGTAGTTATTTTAGTTTTTACGCAACAGAATGAAATTACAGAAGAGAATATAGGGCAGGGGCGGACTGGGTACTCTATTAGGGCGTAAACCTTGACCAGCCCGAAGGCGCCAACCGGGGGTCTGGGGGGTATGGAATACCCCCCTGTACAGAGGGGGGTCCGGGGGTCCTCCCCCGGGGCATTTTTTAAAAATTATACCTGTAAACTCGCTTTTTTAGGCAATCTAGAGAGGCATTAACAGTGGAAAATCAGAAATCTGATAACTGACACTATTGATCAATGTTTGGTTTACAAAATTTAGACTATTTACCCACACGACTTGGTGCTATTCTGACAGTAAATAACTTATCCTAACAAAAATATAAATTCAAATGATTTTCTTAGGTTCTTTCGTATTATATTTGTGTATTTTCTTTGTTTTCCCTTGCATGGCTTGGCTGCATGCATACAATATAAATCATTTGCTTCCTGTTTACAGCCTGAACGTGCAACTGTTGTATTTTTTGGCACTGTAAATAACAGAAGTTATATATTTTAGATTTCTATGAAATTATTTTAACACAAACAATATGCTTTCACTGTGAACAAAACCAATTTATTGACTTAAACTTTTTAGCATTTACATTAAGACAAAACTGTAACCCTAAAGTAGGCCTACCTAACCTATTTCTACAAATAGCCTAGAGAGAACTACGAAGGTATTTTAGACTGGCTATCTGTAAGTAAAATAGGAAAGTTGACAAAATTAGTGCCATAGTGCATATTGAAATAATTAATTAATAGGCTGTAGCCACATATTAAAATACTGTTTACTGTTTAACCTTTACTGTGTAATGGTTAAGTTAACAAATACACTGTCACTAAATCTATTTAAATTTTGGAAAAGTACTGATTCTACAATACTGCTTTCGTTCATGTTTCCTGTGTAGGTAAAGAATATAAAAATTAATTGAAGCTTTCGACACAGAGACACAAATCAGACACTCACTAAAGAGGGACACATTTTAATTGGCAGCTCACACTCTTTATTTATTTATTACATGCACGGCAAACGCCATTCTACAAGAGAGTTGAGTTGATATTGATAAAAATTAAATATGACTTAAAGTGAAATAGTTATAGTGTGATCAATAATTAAATATTATAACAAATATGAATAATATTAAATTATCTTCACTAGTTGTTTACCACAGACGACATCGTGACACCGACCGATGTCGGATTTAGTCGCATAGTTACGAATACTAGAAAAATACCGGTATGGATCACAAACGTAAACAAATGATGTCGTTGGCCCGAATCCTATACTGAGCATTGAACATATGATTTGGCAGTTCCATTTAAGCAATGTAGGATAGGAATCTGAACTATTTTTCTCATACTGATTGTGTGACTGCCAAGTTAGGATCTTCACTATTTGTTCTTCGCAGACTTTCAAAATTTATGAGCAGAGATGTTTTGCTAACTGTATATTTTGCCCTCGTATATCCACATTTGTCCTATGCCGTTGGCATTTGGGGTTCTGAAAACGTTCACACCAAACAAATCTTTAGGATGCAGAAGAAAAGCCATCAGAGTCCTAGGTCATCTCAAGCCAAGACAATCATGTAAGCGCTTTTTTTCTGAAACGGGTCTTCTCACCTTTCCGTGTATTTACATTTTTCATACTCTGCTTTTTCTTAAGAAAAACTCTGAACTTTATCAGCATCTTATACCAAATTCAATATATAAAACAAGATCTACTAATACTTTGAACATCCCCAGACACAAAACTTCATTTTTTAAAAAGCAAATGTTTTACAATTCTGTCATTTTTTTAAATGCCCTCCCAAATGATCTCAGGAATGAAATGGACGTTCGTAAATTTAAGAGACAGCTTAAAGAGTTTTTAATTTGTAATTGTTTTTATAGTGTTAAGGATTTTGTTTGTTAGTGAAACAATGCAACAATGTTTATTTTATATTGTTTACCTATTGATTGTGACGCTTGCCAATGACTGTATTTGAGTTTAACGGCAATAAACATCATTTCATTTCATTTCATTTCAATGTTAAATAATGTTTATTTTCCGGCCAAAAACGTCATTTGTTTATGTTTATGATACATATCGGTATTTTTCTAGTACTCGTGGTCGCAGTGCAGTTTTTTTGGGTTCGGCGTAAAATGACGCTGGAAGAGGACAGCTGTTTTTAAGTAGCTCAGACCACAGAGTAAAGTAAGTGCCTTCCACTCGGAGTAGGCCTACACGTACGAGAGAGAAGAGCTGCTTTGCTCTCGCTTGTCGACAGTGTCTATTCAGGTCTCACACCCAACTTTATGTTTTGCTATTCACTGCTGAAACTTTTACTCTAAGTTTTTCCTCTAGCTTTCTAAAAAATACATCTCGTCTCATTTTTTATTTTTATGAATTTTTCCTTTAACGAGGGCGCAAATATTGGAATGTTGAGAAGGCGCATCGGCCCACTGGCCGGTGGGCCGGCGGGCCAGTCCGCCTCTGATATAGGGGTTTTATATTTATAGAGCAAACAATATACCGGTAGTATGTGGAACTTAACCATAATCTGGGTTTATTTATTAAAAAAAACCTGTTACACATCCACCCTAGATTATGGAGGCAAAAATTCAAACAAACCTATGGCTTATATAAATTTGGATCTCTTTAATTTATGTATTTACAGAATGCTATGCTAACTTGATGCAAATGTTTATTCAAAAATAAAAATATTTACTATTGTCTATTTATTCTAATCGTGCAGGTTCCTGTTGTCGCTGTCGTCCTGTGACCGCTGCCTGGTCGTGGATGACCAGCTGACAGTGTTGCCAATCTCGTCACATGTGTTGGATCTGGAGCCTGTCACCAGGGAAGACGTGGACACACAGTCTAGTCAGGAGTTGGCGACACTGAAGGAGAGTCTACGAGACACGCAGCCTGTCAGCGCTCTGCTCAACTGCTGCAAGACTTTGGACCAGGTACAGTATAAAGATGGGACGTAGGATTTAGAAAATACTGTTAAGATACGTATGTTTAAAGCGCAAGAGCCTAGAATATAAGGATTGTTGTTAGGATAGCATCATTTACCTAAATGAGTAAAATGTTACTGATTTTCCCAGGGTCGTACTAGGGATTATTGAATATATGTTTGATTATTGAATGAGCAATTTAACACTCGGCTACCCAGCCACTTAAAGCTTCCAAAAACAACAAAAATTAAATCAAATTAAATTAGGAAGAGAGCCTATGTAGACTTGAGTTGTCAAAAATATATGTTTTAATTTTAACAACAGATAAATTTAGGAAGAAACAACAAATTTGTAAACCAAGCAAAATATGTTTTGGCAATTAGTAATAGTGGATGATGAATTATTAAGAAGCCGTTATTATGGTGAGCCGAATTATTATGGTGAGCTCCGTTGAATTAAGGGAGAGCATATTAGTCTTTTTACCTGTTTAGTGCAGTATCGCAAGTCAGTGACATGTCATCAGTCGAGATAACGAATCGTCCCTTTTTCCTTTACAAGTTGACATAATTTTTCTACAGGGCAAAGCTGTATTGAAGTTCATCGAGGCAATATCAGAGAAGACGCTGAGGTCGACTGTGTCACTAACGGCTGCACGAGGACGAGGCAAGTCTGCCGCACTAGGGCTTTCCGTGGCCGCGGCAGTTGCCTTTGGTTACGCAAACATCTTTGTAACCTCCCCATCGCCTGAGAACCTCAAGACTTTTTTTGAATTTGTCTTCAAAGGTAAAATAGCTGTGTCCATTACGGATGTTACTCTTTATATTAATTTGGAGTGTATGTTTTTAACTAGAGATACCAGTACACCAGATTTCACACATCCAATCCCCAAGCAAATGCTCACAGAAATTATAGTCCCATAAGGGAATTGCGTATTTCAAAATTTTTCCAGAACGTAAAGCAAGAAAGCTTCCCTATACGCTTCAAGAACGATCTGGCGGACTAGATGCAGAGATCTTTACTTGATGAAATAGAGATGTTTCTTAAATCAAGTTTATTTTGATATTAAATTAAGTAATTTTAATATTTTTTATTTTTCATTGAAGATATATGTACACTCAATGACAAAATATCGATGCCTTCAGACTGTTTATTTGTTGTACTGCAGAAAAATCTCCGCAATTACAATTATGTAATATTTAGTTCTGTTGGTTTTTGTTGTGTTGTTATAGAATGTTTTTGTATTCAGGGTTCGATGCCCTCGCTTACCAAGAACACCTCGACTACAGCTTAGTTCAGTCTACGAACCCTGAGTACAACAAGGCTTTGGTTAGAGTGAACATCTTCAGGGACCATCGGCAAACGATACAGGTAAGACTGTCTTTTCAACACAGACCATTTTTTAACAGAAATATAAGTAATATTTCCTAGAATTTTGATTCAGTGAATTGTGGTTGTTAAATAAAATGTAGTATTGTTACAGTACATAGCACCGACAGACGCTCACTACTTGAGCCAAGCAGAACTTCTGGTGATAGACGAAGCAGCCGCTATCCCTCTGCCCTTCGTCAAAGCGATGCTTGGCCCCTATCTTGTGTTCCTCGCTTCCACCATCAACGGGTGAGTTTTTAAATTTATACTTAAACTACAATAATTTTAAATACAAAGTTACTCCTTGCTCTATGTAACCCCCTGTGTTTTCTTCAGCTATCTGGGAAAATGGTTTTCTAGTGCTGATTTTCTTACCAGTTCCCATAAGCTTTCTGTTTTGCCAAAATTTGTATGCTTGAACACAAAACCCTATTTTATGTCGCCTATTGTTGGTTTATCTAAAATCTATGATTTTTCCTAAACTTTAATAATTTACATGTTGATTGATTATCTGCAGATATGAAGGCACAGGCCGCAGTCTGTCATTGAAGCTTCTGCAGCAACTGCGCACCCAAGCAGCTCCCGTAGGTTCTGCAGCAATGAAGGCTAAAGACCAGTCCGCAGCAACCGGCCGTTGTCTCCATGAAGTAAGTTACTAATTTACAACACCAGACAGTTGTAGCACAATATACATAAACTCGTGTAGCTCCTCGTCCTTCAACAGAAGGGTTGGATAGCCTAGTTGATGCCTGGACCCGGGAATAACTAAACAAAATAGTCTGAATTTAGTTTATTCTTCACAAAGAGTTTACTTAATTGCAATCCATCACCAATAAACTTGACATATAATTTCTCCTTAAACCTAAACCAGATTGTATTTGGTTGTAAGTTGATGATTAAAACTAAACAAGACAGAAGGTATTGGAATTTATTGTGAGGATGCAGGCTTACCTGAACGGGAAAGAGTGAACCTGAACGGAAAAACCCAAAACTTATCAATGTATACAAAACATTGCAATAATAACACTACCACTGACTGAAATAGGTATTTAAAGGGAGATTTGTCTTTAACTCATTCCTTATTGGACTCTTTTTCCACTCATGTAAACCTGCTTCCACGAAAAGTCCTAAAAACCTAGACCCTTGTGTTCTATGTTACATCATTAACCTCTAAATCAGAAGTTGATACCAAAAGTGACACTGTACGTATATACCAACTCTTTGCATGTTTGCTGAGAAATGATTGTCTAGTTTCGTGCTAAGTTTGCAAAACATGACTGTCGATATTGACTCACATTGTCTTGTGATAGATCGTGCTGGAAGAACCTATCAGGTATCGGCCGGGAGACAGTGTAGAGAAGTGGCTTACCGATCTGTTGTGTCTGGACGCCACGTCTGTACGACTGCTGCAGTCAGGCACACCGCCTCCTGACCTTTGCGACCTCTATTATATCAACAGGTGGGTCTCCAACTAACCATTGACTTCCGCTTCTGATCATTTAACAGCTGAATAAAATTAATTGAACTTATATGATATTGATTCATGAAACTGAGCTGTGGTACGTGTAAACAGCTTCAATCTTCATTTTAAAAGAGCTGTTTAGCCTCCGGATTACTGTATTGTACTTAAAATGGTTTACGATACCTGTATATAGTAATCCTTTATTGCTGTTTTGGTTACTTGAAACCTTGAGGCCTTGGCGGTTCAGAAGATTCAAAACTAGTTGCCAAAACAGCAACAAAGGATATGCATGTATTCTAAACCATTTTGAGCCTCAATCTGCTAGATATAGAAATTTGGTTTCAGTTTCTTTCTTTTCTTTAAAGTAGACTGAAAGATTTTACTAATTTTTGTAGCTTGCCCTTGAACTGGCAAGACAAATATAATAGTGGTATAATTTACCTTTACTTTCGTCCCAGTCCAAATCTTGTTCTTTACTGCAACCTAGGTTTTGACTCTAGTTGCATCATGATCAGGCAGATGCCATTGTCGGGAATATCTAACTTCAACACAAGTCGGTTGCTTGGTCGTCCTCAGAGGGGTTCTGCATATGGACACACACAGTGTTCTCATAAATCACAAGTAGATATTCTCATGGATGGAAACACACCTGTATTATTTTATTTCACCTTCGCTGGAGCCAGCTGGAGAACACCCAATGAGAATAATACAGACCTTTTTCCGTCCAGGAGAGCATCTACTCATGACGAGATCCAAACGACCGACTTATTAAGTTTAATATTCTCGAAAAAGGCATCCATGGAATCATGCTGCAACCAGCGATAAAACCTTGGTTGTAGTATAGGACAACTATGAACTGGGACAAAAGTAAAGGTAAATTAAACCACTATAAATTTGAAAGATTTGAACACATTGAAACTAAAATTACACTGTCCCATCGACTGGGTTTTGTATTGCGGATGAAAACGGATACATAAACCAGTTTCTGCAGTAACGTTGCAATACATTAAGCTATAAGCTAGCTTTGAATTATTAACTTAAGTTCTTTCACTCTAAAGCTAAATTTGTTCACATACGGTAACTCTTATGTTCCAGGGATACATTATTTTGTTACCACAAAGCTTCCGAGGAATTCCTTCACAGGATAGTGTCACTCTTTGTGTCTTCACATTATAAGGTAGGCAAAGTCTGTCTGTCTTACATTAAACTTTATTTCACTCTTGAAATATTCAAATGGGAAATAGCAGATGGTGGTTATCTTGGTGGTGTAAGTTTTGTTAAAATCTTAACTAACAGATCTTTTAATTGTCCAGGACAGTTATCATAGATTAAAAAAAGACAGTGATTGTAAGGTAACTTGCAAAACTACTCATTACTAGGGTTATAAGGCCTAGTGAGTTAATTTCATTTTTGTACTGCTTTCCAATTTATCCATCTATCTTTTACACTTCTGAAGTGAATGAATCCAAGAGATTCCACTTAAGGCTACAAAGAAGTGTTATTATGCTAGGTTGTAAATCTGAGCCAGGTTTGGAAGCAACTGTGTGGAATCTATAAACTAATAAAACACCTAAAGCTGGGTTTTCCTAGACGCAGATGAGGAGCGCGGAGAAGCAATAAACATGGCCTTCCGCTCCGATACTAGGAAAACAGTAACATTAAATTACCTAAGACAAGAGGAGCCCGCGTTCCTCCGCTTCCGCGCCTAGGAAAACCTGGCTTAAAAGGTACACAGTACTAAGAGAAAAATTTGGACTCAAGTGTATTAATATCTTAAATCGAACCATACGACTTAAAGTTTTTTTGTTTATTGAGTTAGGATGGACTTTTTCCCATTCAAGTAAGCCTGCTTGAAATTGAATGCTGAACAATTACTCAAACCCAGGTCCTTGCACCCTATATTGTACCTTGTTGAATAACCTTGCTGAGTAAGAGTTAATTTTTCTCTAACAATTTAACGTTGAATGTTTCTGTGTACAGAACAGTCCCAACGACCTGCAGATGATGTCAGATGCTCCAGCCCATCATCTGTTCTGCCTGTTGGGTCCAATTCCAGCCGACTCCACTACTCTGCCAGAAGTTCTCTGTGTGATACAGGTACACTGAATTTTGGTGTTTATATTCAGATGTCGGTTAATTACTAAGAATTTTTTACATTTCTGAGTGCGTACAACTCGGGCACATTGGTTGATGAGTGTGGTCTCATAGATAGCCTCTGAGCCTCACCCTCACCTAACCTTTGAGCCTCTGAGGACATCAATTGGGGGGGGGGGGGGGAAGCGAGGCTAGGTACAGTGACCCATCAACAACCTGGCATAGGTACATGGGCATGTAGGGTCCAAAGAGACCATTATTAAATTTGAGAAGCTTAAGACCTTGACATTGTTTTGTTGTGAGTGGCAAGTATGTGAGTTCCATAATATGTCCTTCGATTCGTTGCTGCTTTCCAGTACTGTAGAGACGGTGGAGCTCAGAATTGCATGCGATTAATTAGTGTACATACTATACAATATATGTATAATACGTATAATTATTGTAATTTATGATTTGAATTCATATTTAAGTACCTGAACTGTGCGGTAGTTTAATATGAAGTTACATACATACTTTCAGGGTATATTTTTTTTGTGAAATGAAAAGTTTATTTGTATTTATTGGGGTAATGAACATAATAATTGATAATTGAAGAGTCCAGATTATTTTATTGAATGCTGAATTACCTAGGGACTGTATCTTTGTCAGCCTTTATAAATAAGGTTGGATTATCCACCCTGTTAGTGATAACACTATCAAAGCTTCAATGAATTCAGTAGACTAAAATACACTGTTGTCAGTTTATATTAGTGTGGTTGTAGTAGCTAAATGACACGTACAATTTTCTGTGGAAGGTGTGCCTCGAGGGTCAAGTATCACGATCGTCCGTCTCCCAAGGACTGTCTCAAGGCAAGCGTGCGTCCGGTGACTTGATCCCGTGGACGGTCGCACAGCAGTACCAGGACCAGGACTTCCCCTCTTTGGCCGGAGCAAGGGTCGTCAGGATAGCAACTCATCCGGACTACCAAAGTGTGCGTAATCTCATCTAAGTTAAACATGAACTGGTCTAATCTAATCTAGCTCAGCGGAGCCTGTCCCAGACAATTTGTACCAAAGCCAACCTCACTCAGCCTGACTTGAACAAACCTTACCTAAACCTACTCAAACTTTGAAGTTAAGAAAGACTTGCAATTTGATATAGCATCTTAAAACTTTGAGGATGGTTGTAGAGGATTTTGGAGTTGGACTTTGTACCCAAACTGTCTTTCTAAGAAACTGTTCTTGTGCTTAGGGGGTTGGATGGAGTTTCAGCTACAAATCTAAGAAAATCAATTATTTGTATAAGTATCAGTGAAAAAACCAACTCATTTAGCCCCTATGCCCTTTATATAATATAAGGGTACTTTGTTTTGTGAAATAATTTTGAAAAGATAGATCCTCTGAAATCCAAATCCACTGTTGGAGGAATAAATTTGGTGTGAATAAAACTGAACTTATCTATCAAGTTAATCTATTAGTAGTCAATATGAACGTTTTTTTATTTACATTTTTGTTGTTTCCTCTACAGATGGGATATGGGACTCGAGCACTGAATCTGCTCAAAGACTATTACGAGCTGAAGATCACGAGTCTTGACGAATCAGAGCTGCCGTCCGAACACATTGACAGTGTGCAAGATGAAGATGTCGGCCTGCTTGAAGAAACTATTGGTAATATCTTAAATACTTGTGTATCTTGAAATATGTGTGGTACTGGTATATGTTGAATTGTTTTTATTGTAAAGTTTTTATTTATCTTGAGGCTTGCCTAACTTCACTACATAATAATTAAATTGCCAAACAGTTGTTTTTAATATTCATTGCTACATAAATATAATTATTAATCATATCACTTACGCATGTAGTGTCTTCAACTTATCTTACCGTTTACGCTCAACCTTAAAGATTATCGTAATAAAAACTCCAGAGAAATAGCCTCAGAGACCATTGAATATATCTTAGATCAGTTCTTGGAAGTTTTGAACCAGTTATAGTGAATATTACAAATCTAGTCAAAGATGAGGATAAGATCTCTTTCCAAGCACTGGCTAGAAGTTTTTAAAAGTTCCTTCATCGCACCCTAGGACATTAGTCTCTAGCCTGGGACCGTTTTACACATTACTTCAGGCTAGGTGTAGAGGGTGATGATATTATAACACAGATACTATTGGAGGATTTGAATCCTTAAACATGAGACCATAGAGACCAAAGTCTCGCTTTCCACCACAAGCAGCATGCTCCCTGAACTTGATGTCCATTCTGGTAAATAATTACAAAGATATCATGTTCTGTAACTATTGTTTTTTTTTTTTTACAAAATCTGGTTTCTATTTTATGTGCGCCAGAACCACGCAAGTCCCTGCCTCCGTTACTGCTCAAGCTCAGTGAGCGGCCGCCCGAGAGACTCGATTACCTCGGAGTCTCATACGGACTTACGACCCCTCTGCTCAAGTTTTGGAAGAGAGCGGGATTCGTTCCAGTGTACCTCAGGTGACAGTGCTTTCCTTTTTCTTTTCAAATACTGAAGGTGAATTTGCTCTCAGCCTTTTTTTTGCAGAAAACTTGTTAATTTACACTATCAAGGAATTACTTAAGATATTGTAATGTATAATAGTTTTGTGGTAGTATTGACTATGATGATAATTTTATATTTTAACTGCAAAATGAAACTTCCCTGTTTTAGATCACTACTCTAACAAGAAGTCTATTGTGACAGACAGTTGAGGTAAAAAAAGGGTGGTGCAGTTAAACTATGTTTTTTTTAGCCTGTCAAAAATGTTAACATAAGAATAAAATCCCTAGTTCTATTAGTTTTTTAAGATCTTACTTAATTATTGATTAGGTTACTACATAATGGATTTCATCTCACAAAAAAACATTCTATCCAAAAAAAATTTTGTGGACGATTCCAGTTCTTCAATTCCACTTCAACAGTACCCTTTTTATGCAAATTGTAAAAGAAAACTCTCAGTATGTGTCTACAATCATCTTATGTTACAGACAGACTACAAACGAGCTGACGGGTGAACATAGCTGTATCATGCTAAGCACGTTACAACAGTCGCCGGCTCAGTGGCTTGCCGAGTATTGGCAGGATTTCCGACGCAGGTTCGTCTCTCTGCTAGCGTTCCAGTTCCGGACATTCCCCACGTCGCTGGCGCTCAGTGTAATCGTCAACAAGGCTGTCAGCGTAACACAGAAGAGTAAGTTGTTCAACATTACAACCAGTATAAAAAAGTGAATAGCAAGTATTCTTCACTGACCCAGTGGGAAACATCAGTTTGATACACAATGGGCCCCGGCTGTGATAGTGTCACTACTAACGTTCTTACAGATACGATAGCTTTGATTTTCTCTCTCAACTCAAATTGCATCCTATTATTTCAAGTCCTTCCTCCATACAAAAAAGTTAATTAGTGTTGGAAGACACATTTTAATACATTTCATTTCAATGTTTTAATTCAATCTTCATCAAAACGATCATTTCATAGTTTCGTGATTCTTAATCTAGTAATTTTTGAGTTGTTAGAGACTTAAAGTATATGAAGAAATTGAAACGTTGACATAAGAAAGCCAATAACGCGCTGGTAAACAATACAAGCCAATTGAGGAAACACCTCTTTATTAAAACTAGGGGAAACCCGTCGAAATCGACGGTTACTTTTAAGGCTTACGTTAATTCGTCTAACTGCGTTAAATTTGGTGAAATATACATATTTTAAGCATTTAGCATTCTTTAAAGAGTAATAAGTGTAAAAACAATAATGATATTAATTGCGTTAGTTTCCGACTCTGGTTGATCATTCAATGATCAAAATATTTCCCATACCGTACGTCATCGGAGTTATTATTAGTATGTTATATGACATCTCTTCCTTATCCTTTGGAAGAACATTTAAATAGTATTAAAATCGTATTGGTGGGTCTTTTGTAGTTAAACACTTCTGTGATTTCATCAGTGTAATATGATTTTATTTGAAAAGAAAATATTTTTTGGGAAGACATATTCTAACTTCAAAGGGAGGTATATCCGTTACAGTGTAAGATTGATTTTTCCTTCGTCACGTGGCATCAGTTCATATCGTACTTCTGTGCCAATGAATGAACCCTCTAGCATAGTTTTGAGAAATTGACTGTGGGGTTACTGTTAAAGCTGGAATTCCTTGACATGGGGTCTCAGCCTTATCAATAACATAAAGTTGTCAAAATAATCTCTCTACGGAATGTTAGGTGAAGTGGAATACTTGAAGTGAAGTTGGCGGCTTCATTGGCAACCAATAATGCAAATGACATAGCAATGGGACATTTCCAAAAGCAAAAATACTGTAAATTGGCTGTTACGTATATATTGACGTTTATATAATGTCAATCAACGTATCTTATAAAGGATTATGTGATCTAGTTTAAAAGGAATATGACCTTTCTGTCATGACAGTAGCTGCTTAAATCGTATTTTCTCTTTGTACCATATTTTACAGCCCAAATGTAGTGTTATTTTCAATAATGTTACCAACCCAGTGCGCCAAAGTCCTTAATATAGGCAGCTGGTAGGTGCAAATAATTTGTCAAGATGGGTACCATTTTAGGCAAGGTGTCTATGTTTGGATGTTATTAGACACGATAAGAGCAGATATTTCTACATAAATATTTGATATGTGTAGAATAATAATATGATAAAATGTAGGCATAAGTAGTGAAAAAGGCAGACACCAACCCATACAATATATATTAAGATAGTTCAATAACAAACAATTTAAGAATTGCTGTGAAATAAGGATTATCCACTGATTTCGTAATGGAACATTATAATGCAAAACATGATATGACATGATAAAGAGGAAAATCAATTTTAAAATCAGAAAATAACATTGCAAATACTTATTTGGTAGAATTCAGTAACTCCCAATAAATATGTGTTGTTTGAGATACAATTTAAAAAGGAACACTGGTCGAAAAAATGTTAGTAGGCTAGTTCTTTTGAATTTCAATCACGTTTTGTTTTTATTTGTCAGTAAAGATAAGCATTTTCTTCCGGCACAAGTGGACGTTTTATTTTAAAAGAAAAGATGGTTGTGGTTGTCTTCTTTTAGGACTGTGTTAATTTTTGGATTAGAAAAAAAGCAAAGCTCTCTCATCATGTCCCTAACAATTTTCCTTGGTTATTTGACTGACAAACCTTTCTTCTACGTAATCTGAATTATGAAAATGAATCGTACCGTAATGTTCAATATTTATACTTTGTCACTAGGTTTAACAAAGCCGGAGATGGACGTGTTGCTCACCAAGTACGACATTAAGCGACTGGAGATGTATTGCAACAACTTAGTGGACTATCACTTGGTCGTAGACTTGCTGCCTACGTTGGCGAGACTCTACTTCCTCAACAAGATGGGCGACGTCCACCTATCTGCCGTGCAAGCTGTAAGAAATAAATGGTTTTTTTCACTAATAGTTTATGCGTTCGTGATATTTTACTTATAAACGTTTGAGGAATAATTTTTTCTCCTGAAACTAAATACAGATTATGTACAGTACAACTTCTTTTAATGGCACCACCTTAACCCGAAACATCGGTTAACCGCACCATAAAAAGAAATTAAAATAAACTGAAAATTAGTTAAGCTTAACGGATATAGACAGTCGTATCAAGAAACACCTTTTCGCATAAACATCTATCAACTAGGGTTAAAAAATTAAATCCACAATCTTTGTTTGTAATAAACACTGTAAGAAATAGCAGTCAGTTAGAAATACTTATTGCTTTTGAGGCTATTGACTCAGAAGCAATAACACAAATGAATAATCCATTTTAAACCTAAGAAACACAATTTTTATAAACAGCAACACTGAAAATATTTACTCCTGACACACTGACAAAATGAGATCAATACTTAATTGAATCAATTTTGAACCTAGAAACTCACAGATAGAATATCTTTTTCAGGTTGTATGACACAAATAATTCACACAGGGATAGGAACCAGCGAAAATAAAAATGGATCAAGTAAAGAACACGATGTTTGTGTCAGGTTTGAACAAGCTTGGTTGGTTGTAAGTATTTGAAGATAAAATAAAACCAAGATAAGATCAACCCTGTTTTAATACCAATTTCCAAAAACTCATCACATAAACAAAAACAAACAAAAAGTCAGCTGATAAATATTACAATTAAATATGGTATTTAAAGACAGTACAACACTTCCCCCTTAAAATTAACCTGAGCTCTATTAATTATTTTGTTGTATATCGTCCCTGTCATCGGTGTAGAACTCATGCAGCTCTCCCTTTCATTAACTCTAACTTGAGTCCTCGTAGCTCATCCAACAACCCATTACATTCTTCTAGGACTCGCAAAATTTCAGAACTACGGCTGCGTACGCACCTGCGTGAAGAGAAGACCATTTTCAGCAGGAAATCATGTCTATGTTCCTTCTTACAGGCTACTAGGGCTAATACAACTACTTTGGGACACTAGGCTTGAACCAACATCACTGAGGATATCATAAGGTCAGAATGCAGCGAGCTTTACTACGAGTTGGAAGTTCGTCAGTGGTAGCTTGCCGGGGAGCTAAGCGAGCTACTAAGGAGCTTACTTACAATGGCGACGAGGATGGGATCAACCCTGTTTTAATACCAATTTCCAAAAACTCATCACATAAACAAAAACAAACAAAAAGTCAGCTGATAAATATTACAATTAAATATGGTATTTAAAGACAGTACATTGGTATAAGAACTTGATTTACGGATAGCCCTCATATAATTCCACGTTTTCAGGCGTTGCTGCTAGGGATGGGCCTACAACACAAGGTGGTGGACAGTCTGGCCACAGAGCTGGAGCTGCCCGCGTCCCAACTGCTTGGACTGTTCAACCGCAGCCAGCGACGGATGGTCAGCTTCCTGGTGTCTTTGCTAGAGTCGTCTGTGGCGGAGACGATGACGACGGCTCCGGCCGGGACTGTGGAGAGACTCAATCCTGTACAAGAGAGTCTGAGTCATGAACTGGACTCTGCAGCTCAGGTAGAAAACAAGTCGCTTGGAATTCACACGTTTGAGAACTTAGCGACTATCCCGTATACGAAAGCTAATACCTAAAAAAGGTGGTAAAGGCGTAGACCTGGGTTATGTTCCACCTTCATTTCCTAGGACGCATTTAAATTGATTAAACTTCATAAATTTAAAAATTACAGCCTTTTAAAATGTTCTAATTCATACAGTAGAGTCATACTATTCCATATTATGCTATTTTAAAAATCCACCTACTCCAAATCTAAGTTTTTGAAAATCATTAAATTTTTTTAAGAACATTAATACGAAGCTAACATGAAATCGAGAACATCTTCTGCAGTCACAGTGGAAACGATAACATGTTTTGGGGTTGCAGGAGACATCATCGTATCCAGCGATCGCAGCATAACCGTGATCATCCACGCTTATGATGATCAATTATTACAAAAATCCAATATTTTTCAAATTTCCTCTAATCCGAACAGGGCTTGTTCCTAGTTAGTTTGGGACTCTACGGTATTTCTTAAAAACTATTGACTAAATCCAAATTTTACATAGTATTAAATTTAGGGGGAGCGAGTTTGTCTAGTCGTTAGAGTGCGGGACCTCGGTTCCAGAGGTCCTGGGTTCAAATCCCGTCAAATCACCAATAGATTTTATCTAGGTGATAATGCTGCAAATCCTAGGTCTAGCCTGAAGTAATGTGAAAAACAATTCTGGGTTTGTGCCTAGCGTCCTAGGAAAAAAAGTATTAAATTTAGAGCACTTATAAGTCCCATGTGACATTTGTTGTGAAAATTGAGGTTAGTAAGTTAAGTTTTAAAAAATAAAAAACAAGTTTTGGCAATTTTAATAATTACAATTTTAATATGGTGGCCATGTTATGTTACAAAATACACTCTTCAGTGTGGTTCATTTTGCAGGAATTGAAGAAAAAACAAGACGAAGAGTTGAAGAAACTGAAGAAACAGAACCTGAGTCAGTACGCCATCAAAGGTTCGGAGGCTGAATGGGACAAGGCTTTGTCTAAGGGTTCAAAAAACTTGATATCTGTCAAGAGGTAGGTTTTGAAAATAGCTTTTGATTTTTTGATACAAACAAGCCAATACAAGTCAGATGAAATTGATCAATACCACATAGAAGTAATGAACAGAGGATACACTCCATGGTACACTAAAGTGGTGTCTAGCAATAGCGCTGGTGTCTAGAGCAAAGTCCAACACCCTCGACCCATGTACTACAACACTCACGGTGTAGTATGACCCTGAGCGAGGTGCGATAGGAATTTCCGCACAGTGCTTGCCATTCGGGCTCTTCCATGCTTGTCACAAGTACATTTCTTCCCCTCAGAGCTAAAATCCCACTCTTGTCCCATAATCTTCTTTCCTCTGTACCTTACTTCTCTAATAATTTCAGATTTCCCTATTGCCTAGGCAGAAATCAATTTGAACATTGTTTAGACTTTTTACTTATATTTTAAAGTTTCAAAGTGTATACCACTAGTTACTACTAACCTTATAAGCACAACAAAATTGAATCTAATATCCTTTTCAACTAAACAGTCAAAAACAGCATTTGAACCTAATATTTTTATAAAAATAGACAAAATTGATCAGGTAAACCAAACAAAGTTTCTGGGACTGGTCATTGATGAAAATCTATCTTGGGATAATCACATAAACTATGTAGTAAATAAATTATCATCTGTTGGCGTTCATACCTTGCGGCTGATGTCCAAGGTTTGCAGCTTGGAAACTCTTATGATAATCTATTATTCTTTATTTCATTCCCACATATCTTATGGAATCGCCATTTACGGAGCAACAACTAAGGAAAATTTGGATAGAATACTTATAAAACAGGAAAAAGCTATTAGAGTGATCATGAAATTAAATACCCCCGCCGCAGCAAACCTGCCGACTAAGCGAATTTCCATTTGTCTGAATTGATTTTCAGTTAAATATATTTTAATAACATTAGGTTTAACGAGTACCTAGGTTTGCTGCTACAAGGAAACTAATAAAGTGTGTTTTTGAGTAAAATATTGATAGCTTAGTACAAAATAAATAAATTTGCCAAGTTTGATCAAAATGTCAAACTTATGTTTGCCATAAACAAGCAAACTACAACATTTGACTATATTCTCCATAAGAATAACATGGGAATTTTAAATTTACAATTTTTTTAATTTTTTCCGTTACTAATAATTGAACAAAAATACTTTTATATACTAAATTATTTGTTTTTTTAAGCTCTTTAAAAAGGTCTAAAGAGAAATCGGGAAATTTTGTGTTTTGAGGGTCAAAAGTGAGAAAAACCAATTTTTACCCCTTAAAATCCCCCGTAAAGCCCCGTTCCCATGGTCCGATCGTGCTGGTTCGCGAACTCATTCAAGTTTATCCCGCTTTACACCTTTAAACCAAATTTCATCAAAATCTGACAAAAATTACTCAAGTTATCGCGTTCACGGACGTATATATATATATATATATATATATATATAAGTCTATATATATATATACACACATATAAAAATTTGAACGAATGGTGTTTTTGGCCTCTGGGGACATCAAAATGAAAAAGTAAATCGGTCCCGGGTCTAGGTCTTACCGTGCCACCTACGGTAATAGCTACTTCCCTATAGGGAAATTCACTAAAAGAACAGATTCAGTTAAAAATATCTTTCCTGAATTGGGTGTGTTAACAGTTTACAGTTTGTATATTTATGAGACAATTGTTTTTGCAAAACAATTTCATTTATTATCCTCTGCAAGTAAATATAACACACGCTTTCAAATTAACCTTCCTAGACATAATTTAGAATTCTACACCAAAAAACCTTCATATACAGGATTAAAATTTCTTCAAAAATTACCCATTTCACTTAAAAAAGAAAATAATACAAACAGATTCAAAAGCCAACTAAAAGACTTATTGATAAGAAACCCATTTTATTCTATCAAAGAATTTTTAAATAGTAATTTCGAAACGTTCATTTGAATTCCAGATACTAACTAGTTTTACTCTGACGTAATCGATTTTATAATTTGTTTAAGTAATAACACTCATTTTTAGTTTTCCTAGATCCTTTGTAATGAATTACTTTAATTATTTAGTTTATAATTTTTTCTTTATGTTAGTTTAATGACGCTATTTAAGACATATTGTCTAAACTTGAATAAAGAATATTTGATTGATTGATTGATTGAACCTCTTTAACGTATCTAGTGGTGTGAAGAGGCCACTTCCGTCCGAAGAACCTGTGGAAGACCCGGAACCCCCTCAAGATTACAAAAAGAAAAAGAAGAAGAAAAACAAGAACAAAAACTCTCTTCTTAGTTAGTTTTAGCAATAAACATTTTATTTTAAAATAGTGTCAACATGAATCTTTACCCGTGAGTTTGCCACTGTAATATTTAATTTTTGTTGTCAGATTTCCTTTAGTTTAAGTTATAATCAACTTAAAGAACAAATTAAATGGCTTGACTTATGCCTCTCAACGGACATGGAAGACAATAATGGGGTTCTGTTAATCTAGTTTAGTAGCTCAATCACAATAAGCTATACTCGGTTCACAATATTTAGGCGGTTTGAGGGGAAGTTCCCTAACCTCATTTTTTTTATTCTATGTATGTTGCTTAATCAGTTGTTGAGCTATTGTTTTAAAGGTAAGGATAGAGTGGAGCGGATAGATTTCTTCTTCTAAAACCACCTAAATATTGTGAACAAAGTATAATGGTGTAATATCACACGCAATATTTTAATATTTTGCGCACCTTTACCCAGAGTCTGTACCTTTGGTATAATAAATCTAACTTACTGAATACACACCTGCCATCAATTTACAATCATAAAACTCAATCCTATCACTTAGTTCTGTACTTCTATACTATTCTCTTTCGTTTGGTTTAGTCAGCTGTTTTCACCTGTCAGCAAAGTGCATTTAAATAGTGCAAATAATATAGTTTTTTATCTGTCTGGACTACTATTCGTGCCGTTAATGATCAGGTGCCGTAACTAAATGGGAAGACACCACACTATCACTGCAGTGGAAGGGGCAGTAATGTTGGAGCAAAGTAAACGAGAAGCTAAGTAGATAAGTAGAAGAGGAACTTTTGTTGTTAGTATAAGAAAAGAGAATTATGTGAACTTTGCCCTGTGAGTACTGACCTTCACCCTGAACGGACGACAGTTCAGAGACCCAGGTTAGTAGGGAAATGGCTGCCAGTTCTGGTCAACTCTATTGTATTTGAGTATATTTACATTATCACATCATTAGCATCTATTATAGTGAGGAAGAGGTGTCACAAAGAACTTAAGTTTTTCAATTAAATTGAAAATCGAGTTGGGTTACAGATTTTTATGTTTGAGCAAAGTGTACACGGAAGTTATCCAATTGTGAATATGTGTCCTGTGGGTTAAACCACTCGTTTAATTTCTTTCTACCCTGGAGTCAAGGCAAAATCTGTTGCCAGCTGTAACTCCCTAACGGACCTATGAGTAATAAACTGAACGGTTTTCTTATTTCAGCTATGGAATCACACCCCTTGATTTCAGTACAATTTAGAATCACTCATTTTTTAACAGGTAAAATATTTATTATTTTTGACGTGACGTTCAAAAGGAGCAACAACGTCCTAGGAAAAATCTGATGATGGCTCCATTGTGAGTCAAAACTAGTTGTAACGCAACAATTTGGATTATCCATTTATTACATGTATTACAGTTGTTATTATAACATTACAGGTATTTAAACCACTTTAATAGAATCACTGTATACAGTACGTAGTCCAGCTGTTGCCAGTTTTCAAAGAGAACATTCTTGATGGAGCTTCTACTTGAGCGTTAACTATCACAGTTCTATTTTTTATCTTCAAGGATTCTAATCGTGATAGTTGACAATTTTGAGACTTTGTGAAAGATGCAAAATTTTTAAATAAGTTTCCCTTCAGTTTGGTGTAATGAATTAAGAATAAAATATCTTATAGCAGCTCCACTTTGAAGATTTAAATGAAAATTATATATTTGTTTTAAATCTGGATATAACTATCACTAGAGTAGTGTACGTAAGGGTAGCTGAGGAATTTAATGCTCTCTTGACAATAAAAAGGTTTAATCCTGGAAACAGCTATTCGCTTTTTCAAAATGTATTTAGTTGCCCATGATTAGTGAAATAATTGGTCTTATCTGAATAAGAAGTTCATCTTAGTCTAGAAGAAAGAAGCTATACAGGTTATCCATGTACACCCTTACGTTCACAGGAATTAGGGCCTAGATAAGGACCTGTTAGGCTGTTAGTACAAGTCCTACATTTCTCTGTCTGTATCATATAATCATGTTCTATAATAGTAAAACAAATATAACGGATGTAAAATAAACACAAAAGTCATTGCAAGTTTTATTATTAGGTACAAAAGTTATACAACGTAATTCTAAAAAATATATACAAAGTTCATTCGTCACAAAAAATTAATTGTTGTGTACAAATTTGCTTAAAAAATAAGGCACGCAAGTTTAACTACGACACGATTACAGTTTTAGTTCTTTAGGGATTCGTGCCTAGCGCTTGTACCCCAGTTTTGATCGACTGGATACAATCTAGCACTTAATCCGCAAACTTCTCTCAAAAAGACTCATCTCGTTTGAATCAAAAGAGGTTTATGAGAAACTAGAAAAAAGAACAATCAACAATAGACAAAATTAATTGGTTATGTCATGTCGTTTATCTAAAAGAAGAGTATACAGTTTAAAAGTGATGCAAACAAATATCCCACTATTTAACTGTTTCTAGCCTACTTAAACTATGTACATTTCTCTTTCTTTTTTGTGAGTCCAGATCTATCTTTGAACTCTGTAAGATAGCTTGACGTAAGCTACATTCGTTAAAATAACCTAACGTTGACAAACTATTAAAGCAGAGAACCAACGTTATTCAATTCTGGGGACCAGTGACTGAATTAAAACCAAGTTTATGAGGCTACATCTTAGTATGAACTATTTCTATGGAAGGCATTATTCGGGAACATGACTAGACATTGTGATTGTCTTAGATAAATTATTGTCATCTGCAATCGCCACTTGACCAGCATTTGAAAGCTTTCCTTATTGCTTGGGAGGTAATGTCTCTTTTACCAGACGCAAACCTGAGTGATCTTTCGCGAACACTTCTTCTATTCGGAGGTAAGTATTCAGTGCCCGGTCTCTCAACAAAAACACTAGGAGTAGGAACAAACCCAGATGTGGAACCACCAGCGGAATTAGAAAAGGAACTTGAGCCGGATTGAGAAAATGATTGTGTATTCGGTATGGGGATTTCAATTTGAACTGGAGCAGACTGCGATTGGGGTGCAAAAGGTGGCAAATACTCTCTACCAGGAGTAGAAGAGGGTGGCAGAGGTTGGGGGGTAGATGATGGCGGGGGAGGTGGTGGAGGTGGAGGAGGAGGTGGTGGTGGCGGGGGTGGTGGTGGGGGTGGTGGCGGAGGAGGTGGTGGTGGGGGAGCAGGAGGTAAATATGTGTTAGAAGGGGGTGGAGAAGGACGTGGGGGTGGAGGAGGAGGTGGTGGGGGCGGAGGAGGAGGTGGTGGGGGCGGAGGAGGGGTTGGGGGTGGAGGAGGAGGGGGTGGCGGTGGAGGAGGAGGTGGTGGTGGAGGAGGGGGTGGTGGTGGTGGAGCAGGAGGTAAGTACGTGTTAGTGGGTGTTGGAGGAGGACGTGGTGGTGGTGGTGGTGGTGGTGGCGGCGGCGGTGGCGGTGGTGGTGGAGGGGGTGGAGGCGGAGGAGGCGGAGGAGGTGGGGGTGGAGGAGGTGGTGGTGGTGGAGCAGGAGGCAAGTACGTGTTAGTGGGTGGCTGAGGTGGTGGTGGAGGAGGAGGTGGTGGCGGTGGAGGGGGTGGCGGTGGAGGGGGTGGTGGTGGAGCAGGAGGTAAATACGTGTTAACAGGTGGCTGAGGTGGTGGTGGAGGAGGAGGTGGTGGCGGCGGAGGAGGTGGTGGTGGCGGTGGAGGAGGAGGAGGCGGTGGTGGTGGAGGTGGTGGTGGTGGAGGGGGTGGTGGTGGCGGTGGAGGAGGTGGTGGTGGAGCAGGGGGTAAATACGTGTTAACAGGTGGCTGAGGTGGTGGTGGAGGAGGTGGCGGTGGTGGCGGAGGAGGTGGTGGTGGTGGCGGTGGTGGCGGAGGAGGTGGTGGAGGTGGGGGTGGTGGTGGTGGTGGCTGAAACCCTCCTGCTGTTTGATACTCGTACCCAGTTCCTCCACCCGAAGTTGCTCCCTGGTAAGCAGGAGCTGGTGCAGCAGGGGCTGGTGCAGCAGGAGATCCAGAAGGGTATCCTCCTTGACCACCACCAGAAGAGTAACCCCTTTGTCCTGAACTTGATCCTGAAGAATATCCTCCTTGACCTGAAGATGAGGAACTTGCACCAGAAGAGTAACCCCCTTGTCCTGAACCAGAACCGGAAGAGTACCCTCCTTGGCCTCCACCAGAAGAATAACCACCTTGTGCAGATCCTGATCCTGAAGGATATCCTTGTGTTGAACCTGATCCTGTAGAATATCCTCCTTGGCCTCCGCCAGAAGAATAGCCACCCTGTGCAGATCCTGATCCTGAAGGATATCCTTGTGTTGAACCTGAGCCCGTAGAGTATCCTCCTTGGCCTCCCCCAGAAGAGTAACCACTTTGTCCTGAACTCGATCCAGAAGACGAAGAACTTGCAGAGGAACTTGAAGAAGAGCCTGCTGACGAGCTTCCACTTGAAGGCAAGTTAAATGAAACCTGTGGTCTATCATAGTTGTATCCCTCTTCAGCTCTACATAACGTGATCCAGGCCAACGCTGCAATCGCCTGAAAATTGAAGGGCGCAGATGACGATTTGAAACCATAACAATACCTAAATTAAATACTAACCAGACAAGTTTGTCTTCATTAAAGGTAGTGCTTTAGATAGTTCATTGCTAATCTTTCGTCATGAGCATAAAAACCGGTGTTACACAATCGAAACTATACATCCAGTTTCAGTAGTTGCAGGCTTAGCTTACAAGGAACGTGTCGTACCACAATTTGTGGTCCACTCGCAAATATTTAGTACCATCACAACACATTTAAAAGCCCACAATTTTAGATCAGTCTAAGCCACGCACCTTCATTTGCATAACACACTTGTAGGAATTTGGGCCCAATGGACGGTGTGGTTATTACTTTTCTTTTTTACTTTTTTAGAAGAATTTTAAATTTAATTTTTTCGCCAACATCATTTTGTAGAGGCATCAACTTGGCTATTGTTTAGTGTTTAGATACGGTAACAATAATGTTATGTTAAATAAGATAACTACCTCGGATAAAAACGTCATTCGGGCTACAAATGTCAGCAACTTCCCATTGTAGGCTACTAGTGTTTTAAAAGAGGGATTGCAACTCGTTAATCCAACTCACGCTGCGGTTGACTTCACCGCAGCCTTGGATAATTTGAATAGTTGTGGTCTCGCTGCCACACTACATGTGGTTAGGTAAAACACGAACGTAAAACCTATGTTTATTAAGAGAATAGAGAATCCCATTTACAAGTTAAAGATGTAGCTAGATTTAAAAGGATGTAAATTGACGTAATATAGCCACAAATTAAGTGTGGTTTTAAAACTGAAAGGACAAATTATTTTAACTGCTGTAGTAAGTCTACAGTGTTTCACAAAAATTCAGAGCCACTCGCATCAAAATATAAATCAAACACGTCAAAATCAAAATATATTTAGATTTTGCTCATCCGCCATTTTGTATTTTCAAAAGCCGTACAGTAGCTAAAAGCCTATATTGGTGGGTTCAAATCTGAAACTCGGTATGAATTTAAATTTGTATTGAAAGACAACATTTATGAAAACAAGCCATTAAATCAACCACTACCCTATATTATTTAATTCTTTTTGTCTATGCCTATATGTACTGTACGACATCAAATTAAAAAAGCATTTATAAACTCAAATACCATAATAGGTATTTTGGTTGTAAAAATTAAGGTTACCTAATAAATAATTAAACATGGTTAGGATTTTTAATCATCAAAATTCCAAAAAGGTAGCCACTAAAAATTATTGTTGCATTCCACATTAACTCGTAACTAAATATAACCAAAGAACAAATAAGAGTTTTTTTTGCATATTTTTCTTATGTCCCCCCTTCACGTTCCAAGGACGATAGATTCTAGCACGAAACTGTTTTACAAATTACTTCAGGCTAGTAATAGAGGGCTGTGGCATTATCACATGGATAAAATCCATTGATGGTTGGCCGGATTTGAACCCTCATCCTCGGGCTCCGAAGCCCCGCGCTCCACCATTAGACCAGCTCACACCCTACGCACAAAGAATAGCCAACTAAAATAACTAGGCGAATGACACATTAAGTGATAAAATAATTATCTGACAAAAATGTATGGCCGTTTAAAAGAAAAATTCTAATGTCTGAGACTTATTGGACAATTTAATTATGTTCAGAAGCAATGTCGTATTTTTTAGAAAGGTTCCCAAATGTCCGAAAATAAATTAAGATCTTTCAAAATATTACCAAGTTGCATAATGTCCAATACTGCATAACTGACGAGTCACCGTTAACAGATAAAACTATGAAATGTGAGGGATGTTTAAGAATAAACGTGCTCGAAGCCGACACTAGACACTATATAAAAACTCAGTTACCTATATAATTTTTAATCGTTACGAAAATGGATCAGTTACTACAATTCGATAGTCATTTATAAAATAATTACTTTATGAATTCAGACAACTAATTACGAATTAAGACAAATCATCCAGTTAAAAAATCAAGAGAATCAAAATAGTCTCATGACTTCCAAACAAATTTAATAAAAGGCCAATAACATCAAAGTATTGTCAAAAATACTACCAACTGAATTCACAAACACATTAGTTAGTTCTGAGTCAAAATTGAAAGTACTCACCAGCAGGGCCTGTACAGCCCGACGTTTCGTGTTGATCTCTCCCGTCCTCATCCTGCATCCATGTCGCGCACCATTGTCACGAAGATCCACCCGGGACTCTTATAAACTCTAGGTTGGTGTCGACACGGAGTGGCGGGCCTGGCAGCCCTTAGGTCAAGGTCTTGGATCCTCGAATTTAGTCGCAATTTCTAAACGTTTCTGTCTTCCGAGAACTAGATGTATTTCTAGTTTCGTTATAATGAGGCTACTTAGTTGGTACTGTATTTTGATCAATGTAAGTTTCTTATACGTGTTATAGAGTTGCATTTTTGTGTTTAGCAATTATTGGCTATTAAGAGTTAGTGGTAGTTTAGTATCCTTAGAAACTAAGACGACCAAAAAACTAATGGTCCCTGGGTAAAAAAATAATAATAGTTTCCAGTCACAGTCACACGTGCAGCTCTTGCCTATGTGTGCTGATTTAATAAGGAATTTAAACCAACTTGTACTACAGAATTTATTTTTATTTAGTTTTAGTTGATATTAGTTGTTATGTAATTTTTTCGTCATCTTCGTAAGTCAGCTTTTTAACTTGTTTGTACATGTATATATTTTAATTTATTTTACTTTATTAAATCAATTATGTTACAGGTTGTCTCAGGTCTTGACCAACAATGTTACTATTGTCAATGTCTTGTTCATATTTTATTAACACTTCTGTGATTTATGTCCTAATTGAACCAAAAATAAATGCTGTAAAAAACAAAGAAATTACACTCCTGGCCCAAAAGTAAACAGGTTTGTAACTGTCAAACATGTCTAAATCAACTGTTACGGTTATTTGTTTAATATTCGGGCCAATGACGTAATTGGTTTATGTTTATGATCCATACTGTTTCTTTTTTCCATCGATCTCTAACCACTATTTTCATATGGAACCTCGGCATTTATTCCAAATACTTTTCATAAACGGGAGATGAGTGTAGAATGGATTGAAGTGCATTATAGCTTTGTTACTGTCTAGATCTCTTTGCGTCTTAGACCATAAATAGTCCAATGATTCCGAAACATTTGAATACAGCTTGGGGACTTGAAAAATCTATTATTTCTCAAGATTGCATTGGCTACCTTCAGCATGTTATGTGAACACTACAACCATTAAATCATCACAGTTAGTATTTAGTTAGGTATCTTTCGGTGATTCAAAATTCATAAATTATTTTGAATCTAGTAAATTCATAGATTCAAAATAAAGCTTTAGGATCCTAAATATGTTGTTATTCGGATCGTGCATGTACGGGGGTTTCTTTTCGCGCGCAAGAGAACTAAGATGAGATTGTTGTTAAGTATTTGTTTTTTGAGTTATATTATTGATTTAACTCATGGAGTTGTGATGATCATGGAGACATGTTTAGTATAAACTACAAACCAGAATAGTTATTTAAGTTACTCGTATTTGTTTTCTAGGTAAAGACATGCATTTGTATGCTGAAATACTGCATGTTTAATATACGAATTTCAACGTTTACACAGCCTCTTATATGTAGAGTTTGGTCCAAACCTACATCGTTTTAGAAATTTATTGCACTGAGGGAGTACGATTTTCATGGAGATATCTCAAACACACAGACAGATCTCCTCGCGTAAGGAACCTTTTTAACTTAACAACTTAACACACTTAACACTGAAATTACAGTTTAGTATCCTAGGAACCACCAAGTTACAGCACACATGTCAATCAATTATCAATTCCTTTAAATATTGCCTTAAAGCCTTTGGTGATCGGTCGGATTCGAACCAATGCAACCAAAACAGAAGTTCCAATATCTAAACAGTTCAAGTGCACCTCACAACTAATACAATATTATAAAATATTGATGGATACAACAATCTCCCAAAACGGATATTTTTTGCTCACACCATTTTTAAAAACAAAAGCTTTAATTCTATAAACCTGGTCACTAAACTGGGAAAAACATGCAAAAAATCAACTATCTATAACATTGCATATTTTTACCAACAAACATAAAACTGTGATCTTAAAACCATCGTTTAAGATTATCAAATTTCGTTTTCCAGAGTTTACACAACATCCAATGTAATGACGCAAATAGAATATAATTTTTACTGGAACTTTCCACTCAGAGCTTTACAGCTACAAAGTACAGTTTGAGTGGGTAATTGTAGATTCAGTTGCATAGTTCTACAGACTATTTCCAGCCGGGTGGTAACGGCTGATGTCACTCGAGCAATTACAGTGTAATTGTAGCGTACAATGTAAAGAGCTTCACTGCGCCGGTCTGATTCACGAGCGCGCCGTAGTGCTGACAGAATACGGCGCATGCGCACTGAGCAGATCACGTTTCTGCGCAGCTATAACACGATAACTGTAGTATTTGCTCGATTGTTTTCTTACGCGTACAATTTGCTTGAACCCTGACCAAATGTACGGTTGAGTTTATTTTCACTGTTTTAAATTAAATCGGCGTCTTTGAATGATTTGAATTGAATGAAGTAAGCCTCGCTCAGGTCTGAGCGTGGAACGTACATAATGTGTACGACAATTTGTAATTTGTACGATAATTTGGACGTCTCCCGCAATTTTAGTCTCTTGTGTCTGGCAACGGCAACACTGGTTCGTCTCGGAGGATATTTGTCATGTTACGACAGGACAGACAGGTTGCGAGAAAAGACGTTAACAACCATTTATATTCAGTTTTGTCAGAAACCCTGGCCTGATTATGACCCAGTGTAGTTGAATCCGGTGTTATACCGAATCCTGTATACCGAACCCAGTGTTATAGACTTATAGATAGACAGACAAGATTGAATATATATTTTCCAATTTTAAATAAAATGCCGTTGGCATAGAAGACGCAAAAATCATGGTTTTGGAGAGGTAAAAAAGTATAGTCATCTTTACAACATTAGGTATTTTAAAACTTAGCAAGCTAAATATCACCAGCAACATGTGTGATAGACTAACATAATGTGCATTTTAAAATATTAGAACTTTAGCTGAGAAACGTCTATGTAAGGCTAAGACAAGAACAAGTAATTTTTGATAAAATATGGAAGACTATCTACGGAAACGAAACTTCCACTATAAAAATCAGACATTTGATTTTAAACGCATTACTTGAAATTGATTTAAAATGAAGTGGAAAAAATGAATTTTTTACAAGTAATAAATTACCTTCGTATTATATTATTTATTTTAGGTTTCTTGCATATTTAGAAAGAAAGCATTAAAAGAAATGCATTTGTTTATCTATACACCTATAATATTTAATTAGTTTCATCATAGGAAATATACTAAATGGTAGAAATAACCTAAAGAAATTCTATAGAAAAAATTGTGTGATGTAGCTTTGTTACTATTGACTTAGTTCAGTCGTTTCTTTAGTCAGTTCAAAACTTTAAAAAGCTAATAACATTGCTTGATGCCTTGAAATAAAAGCTGACATTTTTTAGTTGAACCGGCGACATTCTGAATAATAAAAATGGCAATATAAGATCCAGCTTTTCAACATTTGCAAAACCCGCAGAACGAGCAAGAATTCTACCATACAAACTAGTTAAGAGTCGAGAGTTGCGCAAGGTAGGTAACTAAGATGACATTGCTCCTAGCTTCTGTGGAGATATGAGAAACCACGAATGTTGCCAAATAGTTCGTCCGCCGGCGGTTTGTGGATTCCCAGGGCGCTCCGCAGACCGAAATTGGGACTCTGGTCTTGGTGCATTTACCGCTTATGTTCCCTGAATAACGAGTTATGGATACGTTGTAAAATTTACCATAAATTGGGAAAGGAAAAAACTCTTGACATTAAATGAGAACAAGAGCAGACATCAACATAAATAATCATTTTATAAGTCATTACTATTAAAGCGACGCACATCCAGCTAGGTGCGTAATTTAAGACGGAAATCCATAATGGTTTAGAAATAGTATGAAACTGCATATGTAGAGCTCTGGAAAGTGGCATAGACATCGCATTTTAAACGGTGGAAGATACGACATGTTTATATAATCAGGATTAATGTCTTTGTCAAGTTGTAGCGGGGTTTTCTTGCCATTATCCCCAAGTTTGTAAATAAATAAACAAACTGTTTATAAACGACTGCCGACGGTTTCTCGACAAGTCAGGACATAGTTTTACAACATAATATCATTATAGGTTCTCACTTAGTAGCACGTCTCCTCCACTGGCACTCAGGATTTTGTCCACTCTTTTCAATTATATATCATGATTTGTATGGAAACTCTTTTAATAGAATTATGAGGGAGCTTTAGACCGCAGGCAAGTGGTGCTGGTACAGTATCCAAAGTATTAATGCTCTTGATAGAGGGAGGGAGGTTTTCTTCGGTCCCCGAGGTCCTGGGTTTAAATGCTACCAATCACCATAGTGGATGTTATCTATGTGACAACACCTCTGTTGAACATACCTATACGTACTGCAGATTCGCCATACTAAATGTCAGCCATCAAATTTCTTCATCTATCAATTATCAGCAATTCTTTAAGATGGGGAAGCCACTATTTTGTGGTATGAATACGGTTTATCCAACTATATTGATTCTATTTTTAGCGCATTTATATAATTCTCCTTCCCTAAACTAATAAAATTTACCCACGGCCACAACTTCCCTCATAAGTATACCTGATTTAAGCATTAAATTGTAAATGGTTGTTAGCGTTGAATAAATAAATAAATGATTTAATCTATAGGTTAGAAACTATTGATTTTAAAACACTTTTACTTTTATATTATTACATGTTATACTGTTACTTGAAGGGAAAACATTTATTTTTCGTTGTTGGTCATCTTGTTTGTTGGTCAACTGCTGCTTGACTGTTGATAAGTTGAGAAAAAAATCCAGCTGTCACTTGTCTGTAAACAAACAAACACTCAAAAAAGCATTGCATGATGCAGGGTGCATTAATGAAATAAATATTTATCTTCTGCTTCTGCTATTCGTTCAATACTTACCAGTGAGTGTAGGCGTTTAGGATTTTCCAGTTTCAGTGGGCGAATCAAGATTGACCAGTTCTGGCATATAACCAGTTTTCTTACCGGTTTGGGCCAAATATTTAGTAAGTTGATATTCAATATATGACTCCTTTGTTACGTTACTCCGAATTAGGTCTAACCTCTAGGCCTAACTCATTTGGTAGGCCTAGCCAAGGGTCAGAGCCTATCTGGAGATGAAACTGAAAGTAAATATTACTCTAATTGTTATCATAGATACATTTCACAGAAATTAATTCCTTAGTTTTGCTTTTTACTTTTCTAATACTTAACTTACTTCTTGCGGAATCTTTATAATAGTTTTTTGGTACTTATTTATAAGGCTTAACTCACCTTATTTTGCTCATTCAGTTGTAAGTTACATGAATGTTATTCAATTTTCCAACTCCTACTATTTTATCTTAACAATTGGCGATTCTCATACAGTAAACCCTAGTAACATAGGCCTAGGGTCTCCTTCCTAAACAAATATTTTGTCCATAATCTTTGCTGGTTTACAGGTCAGGATAGGTCGACGAAGGAATCGCCATGGCTGGCTCTTCACGCTGGCTAGACACTGGATAACAAGCTTCATCCTCGGGGTCTGTGCGGCCTCCGTCGTCTTGTATTACACATTCAATGACAGACCTGGTAGGTAGGCTTAGAAGATAACATCAAGTCTTATATCATAACCCGACTTCTGACCAGGTTTGTTTGAGCTTGGGGAAGGACAGATAGGGTGAAATTAATCACCTGTAACTTACATAGTCACTAGGTGGTACACACAAATTTAAAAAAATACCAAATTCACTAAATATTTAAATTGGCCCATTTTTACCTTATCCATACACAATATGACCTATACTCTGTCCGTAGCTTACACTGATGAGTCCCACAGGTTCAGTGAATTGTAAGGATCGCCTAATACACTGGGATTTGCTTGTAACTCAATAGAATATAGTCATAGTGCTTCAACACTGATTTTTTGTGAAGCTGTGTTATAAGCGGTGTTATGTCCAAGACATGATTAGTCGCTAGAGTAGTATATACCATTTAACAAATGGTAAAGTTATCATCTAATTGTACTCAATCAAAGCACATGTTTGCTATCAAACAAGTTCCTCTCTTCATAGTGTCTAGTAGCCTACAATCAAAAGAAAGTCAAATAAATGCAACTAGTTGTATTTGTTTGTTTGGTGCTGAAAGATTTAAGGAGATAATATTTAATTCTTATCTACCCTATTGTTCATGTATTAAGCCCTAAGTAGATTCAGTATTAGGCTTATGTATCTCACATTATTTAGAGATTAATTGCCGAGTTTTATTATGAGATTTTTCTAACTACAGTAGACTCCCTCTTATCCGGACTCCTCGGGACCAAAGCACGTCCGGATAACGGTTTTTTCCAGTTAAACCGACGTCAGAAAAAACTCGTTATAACGGACAGTTAAATGCATACTTTATACAGTACCTATTTGACTTAAATTAAGGAGAGCATTGTATTTAGACACGTGGTCACTGGTCTCAAATCTTTCTCACAAGAACAGTCGTTTCAGTACCGCCCTCTTCCTGCCGATCTAGTCCGGTTAAACCGATGTGCTGATAACAATTTTCCGGTTAAAGAGATGTCATGTCTGCTGAGTGTAGTCCGGTTAAACAGATGTCCGGTTAAAAGGTGTTCGGATAAGAGAGAGTCTACTGTAAATGTAAGCTATGCACTGCTGGTGGTTTTATTTTATGACTAATTCCATAGGCCTACTCATCAAACTTGATAAAAACTGTTAACGCAGATTTCAACAACAACATGCTCGGTTTCAACAACAGAGAAGCTCGACTAGCTGGAAGAGTGAGAGAGATGGAAGAACAAAATCAACTTTTGCGTCGTCAGTTGACAGTTTCACAAAACCAGCTAGTGGCGGCAATGAAGACCAATCATACGGCAAAACTTCAGACCACACAGCTTCCATGTCAAAAACAAGAAGTAAGTGTAGATAAGAAGTGGATTTGAGAGCCTATGAAAATTCCTTAAAATTGTGATCAGATTGTGACAAAGTGTTAACTTGTTTTCCTGCAAATGAAGCAGATTAAAACCTACCATTTACTGACTAATCTCAGTTAATTTCTCCTTTGATCTCTTAATGTGACCTTGTCAAAATGTTGCATTAACAAATTTATACAAAACAAACTATCCAACTTTCATTATGTTTTACCTGTTTACTTTTTCTGTTCCGCAGACTGCAGACATCCCCAAGTGTGAAGTGATTCACGTTGCAATAGTTTGTGCCGGATACAACGCCAGCCGTTCAGTCGTTACCTTGATCAAGTCAATTCTGTTCTATCGTAAGAACCCACTTCATTTTCATCTGCTGGCCGACTCCGTTGCCCAAGTTATCCTGCAGACGTTGTTCAGTACATGGAGTGTACCTCAAGGTAATATCTTATTGAAATTCATTGTAATAACCTCGAAACTACAATATTTACTAATGGGTTTTTTACTAGCCTACGTATCGTCAGTTCCAAATTGTAACATTCAAGTGTTACATGTTTGGATCTGCTGTTTTTAATACTTCAGTGCTGGAAATAAATGAAATCTAAGACTTCTCTTATGCTGGAGCTAAAATTTATAATAGACTGCTTTAGTACGTAAATTAAAAATTCTAATTAAAAACTGTTAAAGTGCAACTTGTCACTGCCTATACTCTAGAAGAATATCTTTTAGCCTACATTATTATTTTATTTTAGAGACTTTTTCGTAGGTCAATTCTTTGTTTAGTTATTAAATAAACTGTAACCTATTCAATATCCTTTTACTTTGTCAGATATCGATCCTCGTAGAACGATTCGTAAAGTATACTTAAAGTTTATACCGATCACAGGACACAATATTTACAAAGTATTTCCAGTTATTTTCTCGAACTAAGGCAGAAAGCATCGCGATGCGTGCACGCTTACATCGAGCCGGCTGCGACTGGATTGTAAATACTTTGTAAATATTATATGTCCTCTGTGTTCGGTATAAACTTTAAGTGTATTTAACGGGTCTTTCTACGAGGATCGACCTGGTGATGTGACCGTCGTCACGAAAATCCGATCGTCATCTGACAAAGTCAAAGTACATTGAACAGGTAACAGTTTATTTAATAATTTAAGTCTTCAATATCCATTAGTAGGAAAATAAACTCTGATCTTATTTTTAGTTTTGACACACTTTGATCTACCGGATGTACAAATAAAGACATTAATTCAATTTGATTATACCCCCCTTAACCTAACCTCGTTCTCTCCGCAGTTGAGATGAGTTTCTACCTGGCAGACAATGTAGTGCCGGATGTATCGTGGATCCCCAACAAACACTACTCAGGTGTCTACGGCCTGATGAAGCTGACATTGCCCAAGGTGCTGCCTCCGGCACTGCAAAGAGTGATCGTCCTCGACACAGACGTTACGTTCGCCACAGACATCGCCGAGCTGTGGAAACTGTTTAGCAAGCTGCAAGAGAAACAGGTAGCATTCCTTTCCTTTGTTTCTTCTATTTTTGATTTCTGTTAGAAAATAAATCGTCGAATCTCTCAAAATTATATTTTGACGAAATCTATTGTAACTCATGTTATTTAATGATGAATAAAGATTTGATTTGATTTGATAACAAACGAATAATTTAGAGAAGCGTACTAGGTTATCTGTGCCACATTTTATAAAAACTACAAAAATTTACATTGAATATTTTTGTTCCAGAGTATCGGACTCGTCGAGAATCAAAGCGACTGGTATTTGGGGAAACTTTGGAAGAAACATCGTCCTTGGCCAGCACTCGGAAGAGGGTAACTAACTTACTAACATTTACATTGTGTAGCCTAAACTTAGCGTAACTTTACAATATTGTCACTTGAGGCCTTTATTTTGTGTTTTTGATCAGAATAGCTGTTGACTAGAGACTACACATACCAGACATATACAGTATAGTAACTAAACATTCAACAGCATGGCTACAAAAACCAAGTAGTTACCAAGCCAAATGGCTAGGCCGCAGCACTAGTCCTCACAACTAAATGTGGCTTATACTCTCAGACAAAAATGTTAGAATTTTAATAAATTTAACGTGTAATGGTTGAGTGGTGAATTAATACTATGATAGCTTTGTTACTTTGACTTATATCAGTTGGTTCTTAGCCTGGTCCATTTATTAAATGCCAAAAGATAGCTAGGTCCAATTTAAAACTATTGAAAAGCTGCAGACTTCACAGGTTTGGACTGGTAACCGTTTAACTAGTAGGCTATCTACAGCCACTAAGCTTCCCTACCTTACCTGTATGACATTATATAGCTTCCAGCATTGTGAATTCATCATGAGCCTAAATCCTACAAGTGAATTGATCTAAGCTTACCAGTATAATCCTGACCCAAACAGGTTTTTAAAATGTTATGGTTCACCAGCTACAACACCGGGGTGATTCTTCTGGAGCTGAAGCGGCTGCGGGAGCTCGGCTGGGGACAACTGTGGCGACTCATAGCGGAGAAAGATCTGATGACACACTACACGACGTCTCTGGCCGACCAGGACATCTTCAACGCGATCATCAAACAACACCCTTACCTCGTGTACAACCTGCCTTGTCAATGGAACGTCCAGCTGAGCGACAACACGCGGAGCGAGCTTTGCTACACAGAGGTCACCGATCTGAAGGTAAACTACATAGAGTAAAACTGAAGTGTATTTTAAAAGAAAGCCAAGTAGTTAATAAGAAAATTTTGGAATGGTATGGGTTTTATGTTGCTCATCTAAGACAATTTGAGTTCAGGGGTTAATGATACACTATAAATGGTCACAAACATAACACTTATAATTTGTATTAGTATGGGAGTTATTCCAAGTATGTTGCAGAGAAATGACATTTTTTCTCTACAACCTGTCTACAAAATTTCTATTTTAGGGGAAAATATTATTTTTATATTGTGAGATCCGTCACCACAAGGTGTTCCCGCACACCAGCTGAACAGAATGCTTACCTGCTTGAGTAATCCAAGCAATCTTGTCTACTTACCGTTTGAGATATCCTACGTCACCTTACCTGTTAGAGACATCCAATCAGTCTTGTCCGCTTACCTAAGAGAAATCCAAGCAGTCTCTTCCACTTATCTACTAAAGAAATCCATCAGATCGTTCACTTACCTGTTAAAAAAAATCCAAGAAGCGACGTCCACTTACCTGTTTAGAGAAATCCAAGCAGCGGCGTCCACCTACCTTTTAGAGAAATGTTAGCTACGTCGTCCACTTACCTGTTTGAACAATCCAAGCTGTCTCTTTCGCTTATCTGATAAATCCAAGCAGTATCATCCACCTACCTGTTGGAGAAGTCCAAGCAGCGTCGTCCACATACCTGTTAGAAAAAATAACAAGCAGCATCATCCACTTACCTGTTTCCAAGCAGCGTCGTTCACTTACCTGTTAGAGAAATCCAAGCAGCATCGTCCACTTATCTGTTAGAAAAAAAACCAAGCAGCATAGTCCACTTACCTGCTTTAGTTATCCAAGAATCCTGCTCCTCTGTTAGATGGATCGAAGAAGTTTGTTCTTTTGTTAGATATATCTTAGCTGTTTGTTCTTGTGCTAAAGAGACTAGCAGTTTGTTCCTCTGTTAGAGAGCTCCAAACGTCTATCGCTATTTATCAATCTGAGTGTCTATCCCTTTTCCCCAAACCGAATACCAACTTTAGAACCCAAGAATTATCCCGGCACATAACTGAAGTTATTCCCTCATGATGTTTTGTGACCTATTATTGTGTTTCGAGTGACCGCTGAACCTACATTTTTTCAGGTAAGTTTTGTTCAAGGAAAGGCTGTAGGCCAGAATTATTAATTGTAAGGAGGATAGCAGCTAATTTACCTTGAAGAAGTGCGGGCTGGCCACAGAACTTACAAAAGCAAAACTGAACACACAATATTTCGTCCTTTTGGGTGACTTTGTGAAATGGACAAAATATTGTCGAGACAAAATATTGTGTGTTCAGTTTATCTTCTCTCTTCTATGGCCTACCCGCACTTCTTCAATGTAAGCTAGCTAGCTCCTTATTCTCAAATACAAGTTTTCTCAGGTTAACTCCGAGTTTTCAAAACTATCCTGGTGGGGAAAATCCTTTAACACAAAATTTAACACTCGTTACGTTTCACATGTTCAACTACTGTACTTGATACGGTTATCCTTTTTAGGTTATCCATTGGAATTCTCCGAGCAAGTTGAAAGTGAAGAACAAACACGTGGAGTTCTTCCGTAACTTGTACCTGACTTTCTTGGAGTACGACGGGAACCTTCTGCGAAGAGAATTGTTTGGCTGCAACATCACCAAGACCACACTCAAAGAACGAGAACTGAGCAAGGTATGCTGCAAACCAACAATAATTGTACAATGTTGTTACTTTCCACCGTAATAATAAGCTATTTTTGAAATTGTTAGCTTGGCCTATAATTATTTAAACAATTCAAAGCATATTTTGTAAAAAATAAAAATGAGAGTGTTTATAATATAGCCTAGTATATAACTTAAAACTTAAAAATAATAAAAAAGTTCTATCCTAGATAGGCCTACATTTTTCACAAAACTGTTTTTTAATAATAACCTAAATTTGTCTTGGAACCTTTTTTTAACTTAACCTTCATTTGGTTTGGCTAATAACCTGATCATCTAAGGTTGTTAAGTTTGAGAAAATGTCATTTCTGTATTCAAAATTAATTGATAGTTAGATTAGTTTACTAAATTCTAAGGCTTACTAAGTTCACATTGAATTCTGATAGTTGATTGATTAATTCGGACATAGGACCGGTCCTGAAGTGGATATCCTGAAGGGAAGAGAGTCTAATGTATCATTTTTTTTATTTTAAGGTCTCTATAATCTAAGTCAAGTCTAACTTCATCCAACTTTCTGTCGTTTCTCAAAGTCCCTCTCTCTAAATCCCGAAACATCTCCTCAGCTGAACGAGGAAGACCCCTGTTACGAGTTTCGTCGCGCGAGAGTCAACAGGCTGCGTACGCACTTGTACTTCCTCGACTATGACTTTGAGCCGTCGACGGACGGAAGTGACGTGACGCTCGTGGCTCAGCTCTCCATGGACAGACTGCAGATGGTGGAAATGTTGTGTAAACACTGGGACGGTGAGTCAGTCGTCGTTTGCGTGTTTTTCGGTGATTATAAAAATCAGAATCCCTTTATTGTCTTTCAGCCACAAAAGCAATTGACGTTATCTCAAATAATTCAATAATATAACATCTTATTAAAACAAACAAATATTTAAGAAAGAGACGGAATAAGAATTGTGATATAACTGAGTACATAATGAGAATAACAAAGTATACAAGTCTATAACAAATCAAACAATGATCCAAGTAAAATAATAAACAAATTTAATTAGAGCATGGTTCATATAAATAATCAAACTTTAACAACACCCTTTAAATGACAAAAATAATAAAATTATAATAAAATACAGGAATATTTTAGGAAGGACCAGAGTACATTTACAAGTTTATACTCTACTGAAGATAGCTTAATTTATTTGTGCAAGAATGCACATTCACAAGACAAAGAAGAAAATTAACAGACTGCTCGACGCGTGGAAACTGTCAGGAGTTACTCCTTTATATGAATGACTTACCTCTAAACATTCATTCAGAATTAATTATTTTTGTAAGTCAACCTCTGCTTTTGCGATCGGATGTGCAAATTTCAGGAAATAAAACCTTGATCAAAAATTAAATTGGAAGGAACATGTTTGTTGGTTATTTGTAAAAAAAAATTAAATATTTATGTTTTTATTTCACATTGTGCATTGGTTAATGTTAGCAGAATAGTATGAAGTGATATGAAAAGAGGCCGCAGGCCAGGAAAACTCTTACCTTAAATTCCAAGCATTAGATGGGAGTGTCGAGTCCTATAGACTCGCCCAAGGTTGTGAAACTCATCAAAGCTATTCAGGAGTTTAAGAATAATTCTGCATCAAGTGATGATGAGGCTACAGCGTAAATAGCCTGTGTGTCTCCCGTACTTAAATATCACCCTAGAGTAAGAAGAGGGATCCGTAGACGGTTGACAAAGTTTTATCACTGCTGGTGGGTAGCAACTAAAGATTACAAGAGGAGATGCAGATGGGGAAAACCAGCAGATAATAACTGAAAACAGAAAGCTCGGGACTTTGGCAGGAGATTTGCAGCATACTTTCTGTGATGAACGAGAATATTGAAACTAAATTTGTAAGCATTTAATTTAAAGTATCAATCTCAGAATTCCCCAATTGAATTTCAAAACAGAAACTTTTCCAACGTTCGAGATTCGGTTTTGACACATCACTAATCAGTGTTGTGTTATGGGACTGCTCCTTCTGTATATATTAGCCTCCTTACTCTAATGCTTGCTCTCAGGTAATCTAACTGAACTCTTAAAAAATAAAAAAATCAATTCCTTATTCAGTTCTTAGTTTTCCTTTGAATCCTTCAAAATATAACCTCCAACAGATGATACAGTCGTTGCTCTTTTCACACAGGTCCGATCAGTTTGACGCTGTACATGTCGGATGCCGAGGCGCAGCAGTTTCTTAGCTACGCTCTCACCTCGGAGGTACTCAAAGACCGGAAGAATATCGGCTACCACATCGTCTACAAGGAGGGGGTAAGTCGAGTCATGGACTAAAATAATTTTCTGAGTAGAATGTCCACAGCTCAAGCTAGTTTGGATGTGTTTTTAGGATTTTTTGTGATTATAGCAGACTTACCTGAATGGGAAAAAAGCTGTGGTGGACGATTAGACCTGAAAAACCCTTCTCTTACTCTGAAATACTGTCTATGACAGTGAAATATTCCAATGTTTTTGCCATGTAGTTTAAACTTACTTTCACAGCAAAAGTATTTAATTCATTCTCGCTATTTACAGGACTTTTACCCTGTCAATCTACTCCGGAACGTAGCTCTACAACAAGTCAACACTCCGTACGTGTTTCTCACCGACATTGACTTTCTACCCATGTTCGGACTCTACGCATACCTAAAGAAGTCTATTCAAGCTCTGGATTTGGAATCATCAAAGAAGGTAAGAATCAATTACTTTAAATAAAATCATTTTAATTTTGCAAATTGTACAGTTTGGTACATTAAATAGTGTCACATTAGTTTTATTATCTTGGTACGGTAAAATCAAGTGATACATAACAGTAGTAGGCCTATATTGATTTTACTTGAAATATAAAATGCAAATAAAATGATTTTCCATAAAATAAGGAGGATAACAGCTAACTTACTTTGAAGAAGTGTAGGCCATAGAACATACAAAAGATACATTGAAAACACAATATTTCGTTCGGGGACTCACTTTCTCTACACTTGACAAAGTCACCCAGGGGACGAAATATTGTGTGTTCACGTGTTTAGTTTTACCTACCTGAGTGTAAACACCTTTAAATCACTCGTCAAGACTCTATACTAACACATATACCAAGGAGATATTTAGTCGCACCAACAAAGCCCTCTATCTCTCTCCATCTTCTGCATCTTCCTCTGTCGCTCCTATCCGCTCTATATCTCCCTTCACTTGTTTCCACCATTTTTGTTGTGGCCCCTCTTGGTCTTCTTCCTTCAGGATTCATCATTTACTACTTGTTTTAAATTATCATCTTCCCCTCTTCTCAAAACAAGCCCAGCCCATCTAATCCTTCCACATGTATCACAAGCTACGTCAACTACACGGACCTTTGTAAAATTCCCTTAGTTCTCTATTGTGTCTTTTTTTGCTCGTATCCACGCCAGTGGCATTTTTGTAATGAAGTATGAATTCAAACACTTTTAAGGGAAAGCGGTCCAAACCCATTAAAGTTTTTTGGATGTGCCGGGGATTGAACCCGTCCCTCCCGCACCGAAATCCAAAACGCTAACTACTAGTCTAGCAACACACACCTCTTTTCTTACACTCTCCTTCAAAAATGTGTACATAAATTTTTCAACAAATTTTATTTTCAAATATGATAATCTCTTTTCTTTTTTGGGGAAATTCTCATATTGGGAATAAGCTATTGTTTAATTTCCATGTTTCTGTTAAACTTCTTCGTAATGCAACAATGAATGTTTTTAAAATCTATACCTATGTTGTTTACTGTAGGCCCTGGTTGTGCCGGCGTTTGAGACGCAGCGTTACCGCACCAGTTTTCCACGCAGTAAGGCAGAGTTGCTGCGTATGCTTGACATGGGAACGCTGTTTACTTTCCGTTACCACGTTTGGACCAAGGGACACGCTCCCACCAACTACGCTAAGTGGCGTTCAGCGACTACACCGTATAGGGTATGTTTTGTGTCAGTATACGGTTACTTAAGAACTGTGGAAGTGTAAACGTACAGTTATGTCACCATGTTAAATTTGTAGGCAGCTTTTTTACCAAAATCGTCGTAGTTGATGTGAGCCTTCGTCAGATTGTGCTGATCTAAATTACTGATTTCTGTTGGATACACAATCTTTTACCAATCCAAACTAATGTAATTAATTATTGTGAGCCATTGCAGCTGTTATGACCCATCAACTTGGCCAGCAACGAAAAAATAAGGTAGAAAATAGAGTTTTAGACACAAGCGCATTCTGTGACTGGCTCACACAACAACGTTCTTTTTTAACAAAAAATTGGCTTCAGCTAGTCCATATAGATGGTACTGGTATTATGTACTTATGAAGTTAAACAGGGCAAAGCCTGTGGGTACAGCTAGTATATTATATTTGGCTTTTTCAATCACCCACCATTTTAATTTAGTTACTAACAGTAACAGAGGTAGTTTCTAATATGTGTGGAGGATTGGTGAGTTGGTTGTTCGTTCAGTAAATATTGCCACAGAATGTAAAACGATGACAAAAAAATCCCATTTATAAGCGCTTTCTTTAAAATTGATCAATACTGCTTTTACTGGACAGTCACATCACTACTTTCTTTGCTTGATGCAATGACCAGAAAAAGTAGTAGTGAAAAAAAAAATAGAAAATACTTAAGTTTATTTTGTCAACCAATAAACCACATGGAATACTGTAAGGCCTACCGCACACGAGAGACTTTTTGTCGGCCGACTATTTAGTCGTAGTCGGGAGTCAAAGTCGGCCCCATAGTGGTAAATCTGAGCGCGCACACGGGCCGACAGCAGCAAGACAGTCGGCAGACTGTCTTCAGACTGTCGGGGAGGTTTGGTGCTGACCGATTTTCCCGCCGACTGCTCCCCGACTCAACTGCCGTGTCTTATTGATAAAGGCACGGAGATAAGTTTGAGCGCGCACACTGACGACTAAAAAGTCTGTCTGTCTGGCAGTCGAGTGCGTTGTTATCATGTGTATTATTATTGTTATTGTGATAAGTATTGTTATTTGTGTGTTATTGTTACTATTATGGCTTCGACAACCACCAGTGCATGTGTTTTGAGGGACGAGAAAGTTGATAAACTTATCAATGAAGTTGAGGCACGGTCCCCTCCTTTATAATAAGGCGTTGAAAGAGTATTTGGTCATAATAAAAAAATAGCAACCTGCAGCAAACCTGCAGACTAAGTGAATTCCCATTTGCCTGATTTAATTTATTATTTAATCTATTTCAATAAAATTAGGATAAACGAGTACCTAGGTTTGCTGCTACAGGGAGGGTATTCAGGATGTGTTTTAGTAAAACATTAATAGCTGAGAATAAAATAAATAGATTTGCCAAGTTTTATCAAAATACATCCATAAACAAGCAAACTACAACAGTTTACTTGTTCTACATATAAATTACATGACAATTTTAACATTAAATATTTGGAATTTCCCTGTAACCATTATGATAACAATTAGCATGCTAAATTATTAGTTCTTCAAGCTCTGCAAAATGCTTTCTAAAGAAATTGCGGAATCTTTTGTTTTTATAGTAAAAAAAATGGGAAACCCCCATTTTTACCCTATAAAACCCCCCATAAACCCCCGTTCCCAAAGTCATGCTGGTTTGCGAACTCATTCGAATAAAATACATGTAGATTTACACTTTTGTACAAAATTTCATCAAAATCGGATAATTTTGTTCGATCTTGCTAACGAACAAATATATACAGTATATATGTGTGTGTGTGTGTGTGAATTTGAACGGATAGTGTTTTTGAAACACTATGTGTGTATTTGAAGCTGGGGTAATCAACACTCATTCATGACCACATGAAAGATTTGTCCGGATATTTCCTCAAATCCGAGTATAGAGATAAATCTGGCCTTTCAAGGTTCTTGGACTATAAATTAGATGCACCCAGTATTTTCTCTTAAGTTTTCTTCCACGAAATCTTGTCAGTAACGCACATATGACAGCGGTTTCTGTCATATACATCCATTTGACACTCGAAAGACGACTAAACAGTCGTGTCGTGTGCGCACCCATAGTCAACGACCAAACAGTCTTGACGACTTTTCGATTGTCCCCCCCGACTCCAGCCAGACAGATGGCCAACAGTCGGCCGACAAAAAGTCTCTCGTGTGCGGTAGGCCTAAGTGTGAAATAAGATCATTCTCAACAAAGCCTAATCCGAACCATTGCAGTTCTACCTGAAGTGTTTTGTGCGGATAACTCACTGTTTACTCTGTTTCCAGGTTCAGTGGGAGCCAGACTACGAGCCGTACGTGGTCGTCCGCAAGGACATTCCCGAGTACGACACTCGCTTCGTAGGGTTCGGTTGGAACAAAGTGTCGCACATAATGGAGTTGGAAGCGCAAGGGTTTGATTTTGTTGTGTTGCCCAACGCATTCATCATCCACATGCCACACGCTCCTAGCTTCGACATCGCTAGGTTCAGAGGCTCGGCTCAATATCGCAGGTACGGTTGAATACTGTTATAACCGGTATCAGCAAACTGACTCAAACTTTCTTCCATTAGCTAAGACATTTAATTTTTTGGATGTGTACAAAAAGCTACAGCAATACCTCTGCCATGGCATTTCCAGACAAATTAAACTTTATTGGTTTTATGTGTCACACACACACACAATATGTCCATTTAATATCAAATAAAAAAGAGAGAAAAATCTGTGTCCTTCTCCTCTATACTAATTGTAAAAAGAAGCAAAACAGGTGTTGTGTGCAATCCCTATTAAACTCAATAATACCGTCAACTTCCACCCAAGCCGGACACTGTTTTTATAAGGTGGGCCTCTCCTGCCAGCTAAGCCACAAATTATTGAGTCTAGTATGGGAATTCAAACCCACAAATGTGGAAAGACCTTTACGCTACACTCGTCAGTGTAACACCTTAGGCAACTGAGCTACCGTCACCTTCGGCTGGGTGCGAGAAGTGCTGCTATAAGCACACTAGCGCTCGCAGGTGAGTTTCAATGAACTAATGCCCAGAGCTATACTCAAGCTTTGGTTTGAAAGTGTTAATCAATAGACTACTGTCGTAACTATTTTATTTACATTGGAAATGCTTGTCACTTGTATGATGTCCGCAGGTGTTTGAAGATATTGAAGAACGAGTTTGTGAAAGAGTTGGGTCGCAGGTACTCCAGAGTGTTTGAGACCGAGGACAGCTGATCCATACTGAACAAGGACGGCCAGTGTCTCTTCTGTACAGTCTGATAATCAAGGTAAAGTCCTAGAGCCTATGAGACCTAGTCGGGCAGGTTGACTCCGGTAACTTCTTGAAATATAACATGGGCAATGACTCCTACTGGTCTCACGTGAAAACTACTTAACTAGTGGGTTAAAACAAAACTGAAATGTTGATACCACTCAAACTTTCCCAACGTTTTGAGAATCAATCAAATTTAGTCTGCATTATTATGCTTTGAAAATAAATTCTTGATCAGCATCGTACGTGTTATAATACTACCTGAAAGTAAAAAAGAATATGTCTAATAAGGCGCGTAACAATATATTTACACTTTTACTGTTTACTCACAAGAGGGTAAATACTGTTCAAGATATTAAGTGGTGATCGATTTCGATTGGACACTCCAATCATCATCAGACCCAATAGGCGATTGATACGATTCGGGAAAAAGGTAATTAGTTCGCGAATAATGTCATTCACCTATTGCGTTTTATGATGATAGGAGTGTCCAATTAAAATCGATCACCACTTACCATCTTTCATATGTATTTACCGTCTTGTGAGTCAACAGTATAAGTGTAAATATATTATTACTAGCTGTACCCGCGGGCTTTGCCCCGTTTAACTTCATAAGTGAGCTCGTTCGCATGGCTCAATCACGTCCTGGTTGAAGTTCGTTCGCTACGCTCACTCACTTTTAGGTTAGAGCTCGTTTGCTGCACTCACTTGCCTTCAGGTTAGCTCGTTTGCTACGCTAACTCACCTCCAGGTTGAAGTTCGCTCGCTACGCTCACTCAACTTTTGGTTAGCTGTTGTCATAAATGTAAAAGAAATAATAGTGCTGCATCCTGTTGGTAATCCTTGTAACTTTAATGCTATTGAACATCATGGAACAGAACCAACTTGTTTAATTGAAACAGCTGTTAAGATTCATTAATTCCATTTAAATGTGAGTACTCATAAGGTTAACATGGGAAACTCTAGAGCCACTGGGGCGGAGCCCAGAGGTCGGAGGGTAAAATCCTTTCTTAGTGAGCGTCTACTACCCAAAAGGAAGATTCCTGCCAAGTTTCAGGTTCCCTAGGTCTTATGGTTTCTGAGATTTCGTGATGAGTGAGTGAGTCAGTGGTATTTGAGCTTTATATATATAGATTACAAGTGTTGTTAGACATATTTTTTGTACTTTCAAGAATTTTTTTTTTAACACAAAACACTAGAAATGTTTCCAATTCAAATCTAAAAATTCGAATAAAAAACAAATGCAAGATTTAATTGACTCAATTCCACAGTGGAATTTTGAATTTTGCTGCAAACTTCTGTAAAAAACCCATTTCCAGTTTAATGAAATCAAATATTGTACGACAGACAATTCAAGCGATACGATTGGCTTGTGTCTTGCCAACACGAGATTATCGGTTCTGGTATTGTGTATGTATGTTACCGCAATAGCTGACGGAGTCAGGCAACTGAATGTTATTTATAAAAATATTTTAGAATTAAGGATGATCTACTTATATTTTGTTCCAGAGATCGGTCGTTCTACTTTTCGTCCCACCTGATAATGCCAGGATCTTGCCTTTCAAGTTTAATTATAAGCTTGATTTAAGTCTATCATTACTGTAAACTATCCATGACCTTCTCTCTTTAACGTAAAGAAGCGACTTATTTTCATAGGTTTAACAATTTTACAAAGTATTATGCATTTTTAAAGTTATCTATTGTTTTCTTGTTATTTTAACCTTTGTGAATTTAGTTTTTAAATATGATTTAGGATCCAAAGGGTTCTTTTATTTTTAGATGAGGAATCATACTGATCTCAATAATTAATTTTAAACTCTCTATTGTTAGCCTCGAATCTATTTTTAGTAACTAGAAATCTTTGGTTGTCTGCAGTTTCAAACATGGGTTGGTATACCATTGTCAAACCATGCTTATGGTTATACCATTACTCATCAGGAACATAATTATACGCCGTAGCTTCAACAAAATGTCCCTGAAGGAAAGTGTTTGATGATGGAACACTAACCATAACAGAACACCTGATCTAGACGACCAAGGTATTTATAGGTTATTATTTTAACCAAAAATTATTTTTGAGTGAATAATTGTACATCTTCAAACTGTTTAACATTATTGTTATAATTAACGACATTAGATTAACACTTACTAAATTATGTATAGGATATACATAATGCTTAAAAAGCAAAAGGCATACTTTATTCTGATTTAATTTTTTTAGATTAAAGAATCAATTATTTTATTCAGTATTGCAAATAAAGACTGATCTTTGTTTAACACTTTTCTACATCTTAGTTAAAATTATGTACTTATTTGTATTTGTTATCTTTATTGCACTTTAAAATATTGTGCACGTATTAAATTATTATTTTATACATATCAAATTTTACAGGGTGTTTTGAGTATACTCTATTACTGAATTTGTATAAAATCTTGAATGTGCAAAAACTTAAATATATGTAGTATAACGTTATTTTTATACCCACCAAAAAATAAACAGATGTTAGTTACAGCATTCTTAATAGTTAAGTTTCCATCCAGTAGACAAATGCTTGTATTTTTATTTTTAGCGTCGTACCTTTCTGTGATTGAATTCAATTGTCTAAGGATCTGCATATTATTCATGTTTAAATTAGTAAGTTAACTTGTATGTATAATTAACATAAACAAGGTGTGCCAAAATTATGTATAACTACTACCCACGGATATTGTGAGTCGGTGGCTCAGTTGGTAGCGTCACGGACTGCGGACCCAAGGCAGCGATGTCGTGGGTTCGAATTCTGGTCACTGCCGAAAACATTTTATCAGTTCAGTTCACCTTCGTATTATACCGGCTCACCCATTGCTTTGCTGGATACATTCCACGCACAGATCTGTAGTCTATGTGGACGGGCAAATGCAAGGTAAAAGAGGCATCCAACCTCTATAAAAAATAAAATATTAGAACAGAAACTGTATGGATTATCAGCATAAACAAATGATGTCACTGGCCCGAATCTTCTCACCCCTTATAATAATAATACAAACATATTTGCTTTTGGCATTATTAGTTTACATTTATGATCCATATTGTTTTTGTTATAATATCCGTGCTACTGTCTAAAACTATCACATGAATTTTTAAAGAAACATGCATACCCTTCTCTTGCATTATATATTTTGTTTTGTAATTTTGTAGATTCAAATAAAAATGTACTCAAAAGTTTGTATATTAATTAGAAATAGACGGATCACATTATTTTCAGTATTTTAGTGTACAACAGACAGTATTTAACTTGTCTTTGCGTGTAATAAATGTTATGTAGAATTTATACTACATTAACTTCTATAGTTAACTTTTTAGGTTCAAGATTACTACAATTTTAAGAGAATCGTCTAATTCCTAGGATTGCTGTTTTTCAATGATGACCAATTGTTAGAAAAAATTTTAATCAGTTCTATAGGGGTTCAATACAAAAATAAAATAATTATTTTGACAGTTCAAACATTTTGTACCAGATAAATTAAGTATTTTGTTGGAAATTTTAACTCTTAACGATCCATTCACTCAAGTTCTTTAAGTTCCCATAATGATATCCTCTCTAATAGTTGAGGTTTGACTCTCAGAATTGTGATGGCTACAAATAATTGCAATTTAAGTAATTACTTAACGAACAGTATTATTACATTGATATTCTGGTTTAATTTTAACATTTTTTACTAACTCCGGAGGACAAAATCTCTTTTGTAATTTTCTGAGTATGTTTGATTGTCAAATGTATCTTTAACATTGTCAAATTGTTTGCTGTAGAAATAAGCTTTAAAACTACAGTAGAACTTTGAATATCTGAGGGTAGACCAAACAGGCGGTGTATCATCTGTCAAAAAAATAACATAAAAATTATGTTATACAACTAAATTATCATGTTGGTTGGATAAATTTTGTTTTTCATTTATACGTGATCTCCCTCCCACCTATTCAATTGCCCCAAATAATCAAAGTTCTATTGTAGGTACTAAAATTAAGAATGTAAAATATTTATTGAAACGATCAATGTATTTACCCCTAGAGGCTCCTATAGTCAAGTAGTTTAATCATATTACTTTTGAAGTAAAAGTTGTTTCCTCTCTAAAAGAGTAATTTGTGTTACAATATGTAAATGCTAATGCTAACTGTGCTGACCCAATGTGATGTTATCTTGTAATGTATGTAAATTAAATTTGTTATAAAATTTTAACCGTTTGTGGTTCTTGACATTATGCCTTTTAAATCTTATTTATTAAGGCGCAAGGGGGGGTATCTTTCTCAATCAACCACTTGATGTATTTTTATGATTCTTTTTTTGAAGGAATTTTAAAAGGAAAGGAATGTCAACTAAGTACGCTGTAGTTTTGGCGGGAAACGCTGGGAAAGGCTGCAGTTTTGGCGGGAGACACTATGGAGGTTTCTTTTTTTGGCAAGAAACGATAGGAAGACGTAAGTTTAGGCGTAGGGTGACGCTTAACCTCAACCAATTACATTCTATGGGTAACTGTTTAACTATAACTATGTATATAGAATCTAATTGGTTGAGGTCATATTTAGTCCAGGACCTGACTAGGGTTCTGTGTGCATGTCGTGTATAGAGAATTTTGCTTTTGCATTTCAATATAGGTGTCTTAGGAAGTGTTTTCCACTCGGGTGTCAAGTTCGCACCTGGTACGTTTTCGAGCTATGACGTCATCAAAATGGCGGCCATTGATTTTTTTAAATCGTATATTTCGCAAACTATATGTCGAATTGGAATGTAATTTTTTTTGTTTGAAAGATAGTTTTAAATGCTACCTGTTTTACATTTACACATTTGTTGTATGTTTAGTACATTCTTCGTAATTTTGCAAAAACCTGTATTTTTAAATATTTTTGAGTTATTTTTGTTTGTAACGTTTTATTGATACAATTTATCAAAAATCACCAATGAAAAAAGTTGTAGAACATTTAAAAATCTTTACAAAAATACCAAATTCGATATGTTTTACTCAAAAGATTACGTCAAGAAACTAGATAAATCTCATAAAAACACCAATTTTGGCGCAAAAACGCCTATTAGTCCGGCATCTAGGGCAGTTCGCAAGTCTTATAAAGACAGTTTCGCCATTCAATGTTGATGTATGTGTCTAAATAAGTGTTTTCAACTCGGGTGTCACTTCTGCACCCACTGCAGTTTCCGGTTATGACGTCATTAAAATGGCGGAAAGGGCTATATTAAAAATAACGATATTTTACATACCATGTATCGGATCGGAATAAACTTTTTTTTGTTTGAAAGATAAGTTTACATGCTATCTTTCTTACATTTGCACATTTGTTTTATGTTTAGTACATTTTTCGTAAATTTGCAAAAACCTATATTTTTAAACATTTTTGTGTTATTTTTGTCGATAACGTTTTATTGATACAATATATCAGAAATAACTTAAAGACAAAGTTGTAGCACGTTAAAAGAGCTTTACAAAAATACCAAATTCGATATGCTTTACTCAAAAGATCACGTCAAGAAACTAGAAAATCGTACAAAACAACCTAATTTTGCCCAAAAACGCATATAAATCCGACATCGATGGCTGTGTACGAGTCATATATAGACAGTTTTACCATTCAATGTTGATGTATGTGTCTAAAGAAGTGTTTTTAACTCGGGTGTCACGTCTGGACCCACTGCAGTTTCCGGTTATGATGTCTTTAAAATTGCTACATGTTACGATTTCACCAGCTATTTTACTTAAAATAAGACCATTACCCTCTTTTATGCAAATAAAAGCACAACAAATCAATGTAATTAGTCCATAGGAATGTTTCCACTATATAAATACCACCGGTGCAGCAATCCTGTCGACTAAGGGAATTTCCATTTGCCTGGACTGATTTTCAATTAATCTATTAAATTAACATTATTAAATTAACAACTCAAACAATGTTAATTTAATAGATTAATTGAAAATCAATCCAGGCAAATGGAAATTCCCTTAGTCGACAGGATTGCTGCACCGGTGGTATTTATATAGTGGAAACATTCCTATGGACTAATTACATTGATTTGGTGTGCTTTTATTTGCATAAAAGAGGGTAATGGTCTTATTTTAAGTAAAATAGCTGGTGAAATCGTAACATGTAGCAATTTTAAAGACATCATAACCGGAAACTGCAGTGGGTCCAGACGTGACACCCGAGTTAAAAACACTTCTTTAGACACATACATCAACATTGAATGGTAAAACTGTCTATATATGACTCGTACACAGCCATCGATGTCGGATTTATATGCGTTTTTGGGCAAAATTAGGTTGTTTTGTACGATTTTCTAGTTTCTTGACGTGATCTTTTGAGTAAAGCATATCGAATTTGGTATTTTTGTAAAGCTCTTTTAACGTGCTTCAACTTTGTCTTTAATTTATTTCTGATATATTGTATCAATAAAACGTTATCGACAAAAATAACACAAAAATGTTTAAAAATATAGGTTTTTGCAAATTTTAAGAAAAATGTACTAAACATAAAACAAAAGTGCAAATGTAAGAAAGATAGCATGTAAACTTATCTTTCAAACAAAAAAAGTTTATTCCGATCCGATACATGGTATGTAAAATATCGTTATTTTTAATATAGCCCTTTCCGCCATTTTAATGACGTCATAACCGGAAACTGCAGTGGGTGCAGACGTGACACCCGAGTTGAAAACACTTATTTAGACACATACATCAACATTGAATGGCGAAACTGTCTTTATAAGACTTGCGAACTGCCCTAGATGCCGGACTAATAGGCGTTTTTGCGCCAAAATTGGTGTTTTTATGAGATTTATCTAGTTTCTTGACGTAATCTTTTGAGTAAAACATATCGAATTTGGTATTTTTGTAAAGATTTTTAAATGTTCTACAACTTTTTTCATTGGTGATTTTTGATAAATTGTATCAATAAAACGTTACAAACAAAAATAACTCAAAAATATTTAAAAATACAGGTTTTTGCAAAATTACGAAGAATGTACTAAACATACAACAAATGTGTAAATGTAAAACAGGTAGCATTTAAAACTATCTTTCAAACAAAAAAACTTCATTCCAATCCGACAAATAGTTTGCGAAATATACGATTTAAAAAAATCAATGGCCGCCATTTTGATGACGTCATAGCTCGAAAACGTACCAGGTGCGAACTTGACACCCGAGTGGAAAACACTTCCTAAGACACCTATATTGAAATCCAAAAGCAAAATTCTCTATACACGACATGCACACAGAACCCTAGTCAGGTCCTGGACTAATTATCATGATATCACCGGCCTTGTTAGTTTTCCACATCAACATTCCATTTATAACAAACCTTACAAGCATACTTGATAATTAACCTTCTTTATCACAAGTTCTGGTCGTAGGGATTGTCACTGTTTTTTAATGAACTTGTTAACTTAATTTACAATTACAATAGTCTTTGTGTTAAACATTTATATTTCGTAATTTATAATTGCTTTAAGTATAATCTCGTATTATCCTGGTAAAAAATCAGAGCCAAACTTTGAAGTCGAATACAGTTTTAGCAAAGACAGTGCTGGTTACTACTATACACAGGTTAAGAAAGCTCCAAAATCCGGAAAGATATAGATCGCAAGACTGTTCGAAATCTCATGTCTGTTTGTCATCAAAGCCCGGCTCTCTGGTAAATTATTTCCCATAAGCAAACCTGCTTACGATGTAAACTCGAAAGGTTCTTATTGGACTATTGCAAAAATATTTCACTAAGCAAGTCGTATTAAAAAAAAAACATTAGATATGGCAGCAGGTTTGCTGATTTGGGGGAAAGGAAAGTTTCTTTTTAGGATAGAATAAAAAAATGCATTTGTCAAATTTGATCAAAATATATAAAAAAACCTACAACAGTTTTCCAAAAGAATAACATACAGATTTATGAGAATTTTCTCTGTAACCTTGATAGTAATAGTACAACATTGATTCAGTATACAAAATTGTTAGTTTTTTAAGCTATAAACGATAGCTGTATTGAAAATCGTGCATACAAATTCCCTTACCTCCTATATTTATCCTATAATCTATGCCCTATACCACCGTAAAGGGAACACAAACATGTCTTGAAACCCTAGTTATTTCCAGACCCTACTCTGATGATCTAGTAAGTGATTTCCAGCACCCTAGAGTATTTCACATTTTTTTAGCTAGTATAATATTTGTTCCCAGTGACTTCAATTTTCCAGTTCAAATTTTCAATTTCAGTCCGCATTTTCTTCCTCGTGGCTGTCAGTACTGGTTGATTGTTCTCTTTCATCTTCTTGGTCCTCTAGTTCCCGATTCTTCTTTTCCAGATCTTCCACGTCTTGTTCTTCCACTTCCTCATCTTCCTCTTTTTGAGGGTACACCCCTCTGGGGAACCCTGGAGTAGCTGCCCTCGGAAATCCCGGACTTCCCTCTCTCGTTTGACACTCCGTTGAAGCCAAATCATCCGAGTCTCTGAAACTCTGAGTCTGAGCCGTCGTGGACTTTGTTTGTTCTTCCACGATCGATGGAGGAGGTATCGGTGGCAAAGGTCGTCCTTTCAGGGTGAGCACTTTAATCTCGTGAATTATCGTCTCTTTTTGCAAAATCTGGTTGTGAAGTATCTTTGTTAGACTGCGTACATCTTCGATGTATTCTTTTTCTCGATCGTTTGAATCCGTAGCAGCCTGCAGAACATAAGATTGGAGGTTTTATAAAAGGAAATTAAAGGTTTTGTTCCTTTAGAATTTGCAAACAGAAACACTGTCTAATTGATACATTTCTGATCTTCTGTATTATTAATTTTCATCAAAATGGTTATGGAAAGGCAAAAGTAAGAGTATGCTTGATTCAATTATGTTCAGAGCTCTTCTCGGCTTTGAGATTCAAACAACAAATTTTAAATCATAAATCTATTGCTAGAGAATTAACATACCTTAAGCTGGTTATTAATTTATAAAGTAATTCGAGCTATTTTAAAAGTTTGTTTATCATTGTTAGATTAAATGCAGACCAAATAGTTAAAACAATAGTTTAAATATATTTGACCAAGTAAAAAGTTAAAGAGTTCCTATGATAAATACCTTTTTTACCCTCTGTGTTAAAGTGATCAGTTTCTGTTTTTCTTCTTCTAGAGAGGAAAGCATCTGGAGTTTATGGGTGTTCTCTCGCATCAAATCTGCTAAATCCTCAGATTCTTCCAAAAGTTCTTCCTGTTCAAAATTAATTTATTATTTTACAAAGAATATTTTTTTACATCCGCCACAGTGGTTTGTTCCAATTTAATTAAGAGAACCAAATTTTCTTAAACCGTGTCCTCTCCCATTGCAAACGCAAAGCCAAGTATAACTGCAATAAGCATTTTATACTTATACGCCAACCCCGTACGAAGGACGGGTACTCTACTAGTAACAAATATAAATGTTGCTTATCGATTTCACAAAACCAACACTAACCTTTAAATCTCTGATAATCTTCTCATATTTTCTATGAAGTTCCTCTTCCCGTTTCGATTTGCGTATGTTCTTTATCATCTGCTCAAGGCTCTTTTCTTCTAGCGTTTCTACATCAACCTGCTGGCCAAACTTGCATATCATCGCTTTGTCAATGTCTTTCTTCAATTGCGATATCTTTGATTCCATTTCTAGACATTCTTCGGTCAACCGTTGTTGGTACCGCTGGCTCTTCCTGAAGTAGAAACAAACTTTAATTGAACTCAAGAAAAAAAAGCTTTTTTATTTTAAAAAAATCCCTATGAAAAAAATGAAAAATATATGTAGAATTACGATTTGCAGCCTAAAGGGTGATTGTCAGATTATCGAGGTTGAAGACTAACAAGCATCAAGTTACTTAATACTAACTTTTATCAGTACTAAATCCAAATTGTTATACCTTCTCGTACTATTATTTAACCACCAGCTCTCACCTCCCTTGCATGATCTTAAGAAAAGTCAGTAGCTTTTTGATGGTTCAAAATGAGCAGAATGCAGCTGACCAGCTGATCCTGATCATTGTGCTTTAAATAAATGATCCTGACTGATGAACCAGCTGATCTTAGTCAGTAACAAAGCTACGCAGATAGTACTCACAACATTGTACACTCATCCTTCACTCATATTTGGGTTAAAAAAAGCACCTGCTTCATTCCGAAATGAACCAAATAAAAGGTAAAAGTTAAGTAACCCCTAAATAATTAAAGCTGTAATATTTACCTGAGTTTTTCCAGCTGGGAGTCAGTTTGCCGCTGGAGCTCCGACACCCGAGCTCGTAGTTTGTCAAGCTCTGGCCGAGACATGAGCAGACTTCGGCCGCAGATCTGTCCGCAGCGCAGCACTACCAAGACCTCCGTCTCGTTCAACCGTGACTGTTTGTCTTTCTGAAAAATACCAAAGACAAAAAAAATTTCTTGACGACACATAATCATGGGTCATGGGGGGAGATTTCAGTATATCGCCCACTACTAAGTCTAGAGTGTAAGTTATCCCAGTATTCCTGTGGGGCGAGGGGATTGTAGGCCAAGACTGAGAATAAAATGGGCAAGACCACCAACCTATTTAGTACCAACTTTTAACAACAAATAAAAAATGTAAGTTCAAGATCAGCAAGTGATAAGAAGCAAGCAGAGGGAAGTAAAGAGATTAAACTTGTGAGACAAAATGTAAACACAGAAAAAGAAAGAGTGAAGTGCAGCTGGAAACATGAAGGTGATAAATGTAAAATTTGGAGAAGAGAAAGATGGAGGTATGGTAGTAAAAGAAGTAAATGGAAAACCAAGATCAACACCAACTTTGGGAATAAATTAACAAGTTGCAAATTAGCTCCGAAAAAAAAATTTCCACCAGTGTGTGGCCAAAATATGTGACATCTAGAAAACTTAAAACAAGATGCCCCGTGATAGTCTTTGCAAACAGCTATTAGCACAACTGCGCAGTCGCTCCATCTTGCTGGTACCATAATAAGACTGTTGCTATTCTCGTTAAAAATTATAATTCATTACAAATTACGTTCCTTAAATACAGTAACTGTATTCAGGCCGGTTAACGTCAAACATGAAACACCTGAGGCGTGTGGTGGGGTAGGAGGGGAGGTGGAATGCTATTGAAAAAAAGTTATTGTAAGGCGTTACAATCACTTTTCTGTATAACAACAAGTAGCAATTCTCAGTGTAAGCGGGAAAGCAGTAGGGAAATAGTAGTTTACAATTTTTAAGATTTGTCGACTATCTAGTACTTTGTCTAAAACCTTTGATACCTGTAATTTCTCAAGCTGATCCTGGTTCATCCTTAGAACTGGTTCAATCAGTTTAAGGAACTTGTAATTCCTCTCCTTCTCCCGTCTCATTAGGTCAATGGTATTTTTCTCTGTGTTTATTTTGGCTTCCAGTTTGTACCTGTGGTTGAAATTCATTTACTTTACTTCCAACAGTTCTATTACGAATTAATAACTAATCTCGTGAAGATTCCTACAAATTGATCAGTTATAATTAAAAGCAACAACTCGTATGTTCTACTATCACAAATAGCTCAGATTGTATACAAATTGTTCTGCGAGTTACCTTTTAGCTCTCAGTTGCACAGTTTCTTTGTGAATCTGCGGATCACACTCCGCAGGACATTTCCCGTCTTTCCGTCGTGGACTTGGTCGGCCGACACTCACTGTTGTATCGGAGTCTTCTGATGTTTCGCTGGACGAATCCTCGTCACTTTCTATAATATTATTTTTAGTTAGGTTAAAAGAACTTAGTTATCTAATGTTCTATCTAGAAGCACATCAATAGAAAAAAGACAGCCGCCTCAAGCAAAATAAAAGTATGCCAGCTAAGACAAAGCGTCCTAAGCTACTTTCTTCATCAGACAATGATGATGTGGTGTCCTGAAAGACTTAAGGGACAACAAGTCCTGAAAGAGGGGATGTCTCATGATACATGACTCTTATGTACTATGAAACGTTCGATAAGTATTTTCCTTTTATTAGAATTTTTTTGTGTAAAAGGATGGTTAAAAATTATTTAAAAGCACTACAAATTTGAAAACCGCAGGCACACAATTTAATAGACATGCTTACAATTATTCTTTCATTGAAAAATAAAAATTGCACGATATGAAATTGAATTGTGTGTGGTTGTGAATGCAGGGTCAATATGGTGGCTTGATGAACAAGATGAGAAAGGTGACAGAGTAGAAATACTCCTAGGATGTGACATGGAAGTACTCAAAAAAAGGGAGAAAAAGAAAACCTTTGATGAAACTATTGGCAGAGGACAGAACATTGACATAACGGCCATTAAAAGTGGCCTGCAAAGGCACAGATGGACATGAATACTAAGAGGATTGAAACCAAGCAATCATCATACATGGAAGAGGAGGGAGTTTGTGAAAGATGTACAAGAGAAATCCATTCAATAAAGAGTTATCAATAAGGAATAAGTACAAGAAACTAGATCATAAACGGAGACAAATCACATCTTCAGATGCTTGGTGAGGTTCAGGACAGGCTACATTGGCTAAAGAAAAGTATTACACATCTGGGACGGTTTGTTTGTGAAATTCCCATTCTTGAAAACAAATTGAGATGTCGATTTTTCTTTAGGTCAGAAACTATTTTATATCACGTTCTAAATCATATTTCTCAACAGTTGCAACGTTTGTGAGATTAGAAAGAACGGGTGTACCTCATGTACTGACTTGAATGTTATTACAATTACTGTCATGCTAGAAAGCACTGTTTGTGTTGTGTGTATCATTTTTAACAAACCTCCTTCCTCCTCTTCCGAGCTGCCAAATAGGTTCGGCCGACTCTTCTTGCGGAAGATCCGATTAAGATGTTTACCAACACGACAGTTTGCCGTCAGTTCGGCAAAGATCTTCTCCACTGCTGCCAACTTCTCCTCCAGTAACGCAACCTCGGCAGCTCTGACGTCAATCTTGTGCTGAAGAATGTTGATCTGGAAAAACAAAGCTAGATTCTGATGTATGTAAAGTTTTGAAATCAAAGTAAATTAAACTCAATCCTTATGAGGACGATGCACACTGTGGTGCCTATTTAAGATGAATATATAAGCAGTGTAATTGTAAAATAGAGTCTTATACCTTGTGTAGTTTGAACGCAAACTGTTATTCTTCAATAGCACCATTTGTTCAATGCCTTATTATCAAGAACTGGCAGAGGTTGCTAACCAAATATCATTTCTTACCTAAAACGATTTATGTTTCCTGTAATAAATCACCCTCTGATTTTCATGTTGGGTTAGTCTCTGGATTAAGATATTGCAAGATTAAGAAGGTTTAGATTACCTGTTGTGTCAATCGATCATTGTTATGAACAACTGCAGCTGTTTCATGCTGCTAAGAGCACAGCTTCAGGTAAATAATGTTAAAACACTATTTTCATTGATGAATGAGATTGTCAGCATTTATATATTACTCTTCTGGGACAAAAAACACAAAAACATACAAAAACTACATTTACACAAAAAAACTCGGCTAAGTAGTCCAAACACGAGGTGCATTATCTGTTGGTGATTAGTAATGACGTTTTTAACCTGAAGCTGTGCTCTTAGCAGCACGAAACCGCTTAGTTATTCATAACAAGGATCAATTGACGCAACATGTAATCTAAACCTTTTTAATCTCACCCTCTGAACTAAGGTCGCCCAGTCTCTTCTTACGCTTGGAAAGATTGATGGATTGTTTGAATTTTTCCAGATACCTTGAGCTACATGTTTACCAGATTAAAGCATGGATCAATAAGGGTTGGGAGTTAAAACTTGTCATTGGAGTAAGCCAGACTATGTGCATTTTTAACTATTTCTTATTACTTAATGATAAAAGAGTAATGGATAGGCAAAAGCTAAAATTCTCATCAATTGGTTGGACAAATCAATCACCCTGAGATGTTTTGTGTGTTTCTCCGCAAGGCTGTTGTTAACTCGTTCCATGATTGCAGACTCAGCTTCGTCAAAGCTATGCATTATGTGGAACTCTTGATGCAGCAGATTAACGAAACATTCGAGATACTTGATGTCGATCGACAGTTGTAGTCGTTGTCGAGCGAGTAACTCTACTTCCTGGTCAAACTGTGTCAGTAGTCGCGCCATCTCACTGAGGATCTGGTCTTGCTTGAACAGCTGTCTGCAGAAGTGAAGCGGGATTTAGATTTATTGCATTAGCGAAATTTCATCAACACCGTCAAATAAAATGATTAGGTGTTACCGTCAGATATTGGCTTGCTGTTTCAGAAAATTGACAAAAGATATAAAATTTACTAGATGATTTTGGATAATCAAATTTTGCACCATGGAATGTAGCAATTTGTATTGAAAAAATAACCAATATACAATTGCCAATAAATAGCTACCACTACAGGACAAACTCAAAAATAACCATTATTATGATACAAGAGAAAGAAAATAGTAAAAACAATAGAAAAGGAAAAATAACATATTTATAGAAACAAAGTTTATGATTGATTAAAACTAAAAAGGTGGGGAATTTCTTAATTACAAACTTTATTAACTTACAAAAACAAATATAAGCAAATATAAGGCATCAATCACCTGGTTTTCCGAACACTTCTGATTTCGCTTTCCCACTCGCTTTCTTCTTCTTCTAGTTCGATTGTGTTTCCCTCATCATTCACCACCATCAATGTCGATTGACTATTGAGGATGAAAAACTCTTCTTCGTACTCAATTGGGTCGTGATCGCAAAAGTCGGGGTCTTTATCAGGATAAATCTGTTACAAAATGAAGAAAAATTCTTTAAATTTGATGTGTTATCTTAAGTTTTAAGTTTATTGCCATAGTATTTATGTCTATTATTTCTTTGATTACTAATATGTTAATTATTCTAAAATTATTAATACAACTTTTGTGACTGTCAGTTTTTCACCTTAAGATTTTAAATTCTACGCAACTTAATTTTAAACCGACCTGATATTGACGTTCAGGAAACTCTTTCGGTATGTTAAGCTGAGGTTTGGGAGGAGGCAAGATTCTGCAGTCTTCTGGCAGTTCATCATAAAGATACAACAGCTGATTCTCCAACTGATGCACATTTCTTACTAGTTTCACCTTCTTTTCTCGTAAAGAATAGACTTTACGGTTGAACTCTTCTTTCATGTTGAATATCTGTAGAAAACATAAGTAAATCACTTGAAAAATAGTCCTGGACATAGGTAAGTGACATTCTATGTAATATTTACCAGCCTTTGAAACACCAATGATCTTCCTAGCAGGAAACAACAGGCGCTGCAACGAGAGAGAACATTGCTCCTGCATGCAGTAGTTGTGATGCACAGTCCGGTCGAATCTGATCAGCCAAATTTTTTCTGTTGTTGTGCCTCCACCTTTTTTTTACAGAACCATATTAAAATAAGCGTTTTTAGTTTCTACGAATTGACAACTCTTAAGATTGGAACCACTTCTCTTACCTCTCGTTTGGCTTGAACTAGTTGGTTCAGCTTATGCAGACTGGTGTTTTTGGATTGGTCAGGTAGTTTGAATTCTTCCGACGATTTCAGTTTGTAGTCTCCGATAGTTCTCATCGCGTGTTCAATCGCAGAAATGTCTGTTGAAAGGTTCTTGTCTTGGTCTGGTTGCGTTGCTAAGAACGCTTGCCACTGTAAACATTACATTTTCAAAATACAACTACCATAAACCTCTTTGAAATACAACTTGTCATTGGATTTTTTATAAAAGTCAAGCTATACAATGCTGGACTACACTTCATTAATTATCTGAAGGCAATGATCCTACTTTATTAGTAAAGGGTTGTCTGGTTAAGGTGCTTGGCTTCAAATCTGAAGGGCGCTGGTTCAATTTAAGCGAGATCGTTTCCAGACCCAGTTGCCATTTGTCATTGGGTTATGAATTAATGATGCTATTTAACAAAACGGTCGATGTTAGATAGTAACAAGACCAGGATATGGACCATCCCCTTTCAAAACGTAAAAAAATTTCATCGGCGCAAAAACATAAAAAATTAAAAGAGTAGATTTAACATACTCCCTACCTGTGTTAGTATTTATACATACTTGTGTTGGTTAGTCTATAGTAAAAGATAACAATAAAATGCCCATTATGTACTATAACATTTTTTAGAAGGATTTTAGATAATTATTTTTTAATCCTTTTTTAACTTAGAAATTTTATATACAATGTTCCTAAGACCAATGACATACTTATTTCTGTAAATCGGGCATTTAAGTTCAAAAAATAAATATGTGCCTTTCCTCGCCCAGGACATTTAAATATATAATTATTTTATATCACTTTTAGTACATGATAATGTATTTTTATGTAGGTTTTTTATTGGTCAAATGCAGAGATGTTACTGATTATTAAAATTAGTTCACCTACTTGTATAAAATGTTTTATGACTCAAACATGATATGTAGGCTGTTGCATTGCAATGGTAATTATTGTAGAATCCACATTCCTAATACAAGTTTTAAATTTACTTCGTTGACAGGGGTGTTGAAAATAATAATACTATAATTCGGCCGCTTAGAAAGCGACCTGCACGCTAATGCTAACCAATGCTAGAGGAGGTCACTTTCTAAGCGGCCGAACTATAATCATCTTACCTGTTTCTTTCGTTCTTCTTTTTTCTGCTTGGTAAGTTTGTGTTTCTCCAGAGCCCGTTTTGTTTTAATATTTAGCCTGTCATATATGTCCTGTACTGATCGCTGGTATGGTTCCTCTGACTCAACTTCAAGAATGAAAACCGGAGACAGTTCCGGCACAGCTTTTTGCAATCTGAACAGAATGGTTTAGCAATGAGTAATAATATTGTGGACAGTACAAACTAAATAAGACAATAGTGGATTCATCAACGGATGGTGCTCAAAAAGGGCTTGACTATACCCAGAATAAACGGAACTGATGAGAAAAGTACAGCAATTGTCTCTTACACTTTTAATATTGAAAAGTTCCACATTGTACTTACAGCTTATCTTGTCAAGAGAGTTTTTTTTATTTTTTTTTGTGTTCAACAAGCGAAACCTTTTTTTTTGTAGCTAATAAAAGCCTACTTGGCAGGACTCTTTGTGAACCTAATTGGAATCTTTGTGTACATTGTATGATTAAAGATGGATCTGGGTAGATAAAGAATTGTGATTGGTACTTACGATTCAGTACCAGTGTCTCTAATTTTTTCACAAGAGTTCTGCAGCACTCGTTTGATGAAAGCTTCTCCTTGTTCAAAGTCTTCTCCAAGTTTTCTATGAACAAACGTTGAGATGCTCCTTCTTCCTCTGGCAAATGTTTTGTCAGCATTAGTGATTTACAGTACAATACAGATGGATAGCTTTTATTTACCTTAATCTTTATTTGAAAATTTAGAGTAGTTACAAGGACATTTAATTTTCTAGCCATTTGCTATGTAAAATGCACAAGTAAGTTTTTAGTTTAATTGTATGCACGATATCCATCATAAACAAAATTAAAATTACATCATCATGAACAGGATGTTGAAAACAAATTTGAAAATAGAGGGTGTAACATCTCTTTGTTATGCTTCTTTACCTCTTCAGGCTACATCACTATGTTCTACAAAATTAAATTCAAGTTTAACGGGTACCAACCCAATGGCGGAGATTTCCACATGAAACGCAGCCAGACAATCCATGAAGTAGTGCTTCATCTTGTAAAGGCAAAGCTGACTCTTCTGAACTTCAAAGTTAAGTTTATGCTTCACCAACTTCATCTCCTTGTCTATCAACTCTTGAATGTGAAGTTGCAAACGTTTATCCAAACGAAACTCAGAATACCGTAATCTTTGAGAGTCCGGTAATGCTGCGTTCCTAAATAATAGAGTACTGTATTACTAATTTTATTGGTCAAAAGTCGTTAAAATAATATTATTTACATTTCAAACTGAAAATAAGGACACAGTTTGTATAATGTATAATTTACTCCTAATTACTAACTTGAAAATTTGTCACTATTTTATTTTATTTAAATTTATTTTAGGAATGACTAAATAATCATTTATTGAGAGAAAGTTAAAAAGTAAAAGCCAGTAACTTTTCGAGCAGTAGGCGATATTTAGTACGAAGAACAGCCAGTTGTTTTTGGACTCGAACTTTTTTCATCATCGCCACAGCCATTTTCTCTTTGATGACTGCATCTTTCTTTGCTTCCTCCAAACTCACCCCAGGCTCTTCCTCCAAAACCAGCTCACTTCCTGTTGTAATCTATTTGTAAGAAATGGAAGAATTAAAATATATATCATATTATTAATGTATGTGGTAATGTTGTTATTGTATGTAATATTTTATTTACATACAAATACGAAAAATATCGTAGCCATTCGTTGTTAACCTTGCCTGAGCCCTAGTCTGACTCCGTCACAGGGAATCATTTTTAGATTTATCTATAGAAAAACAAGAAAATTACAATGTTTCCATTAATTTGGTCTCTATCATGTTCTTTTAAAATTACATACAACGCAGGTTATTGATAAAATCAGATATAGAATACTTTTAAAATTAGAGGTTTATATTTATCAAATTTTTATGTCATTGATACTATCTGTAATGAAACTTGCAGCACTATTTCAGCTCTATGAAACTTCAAAACTTACTTGCATAACTGTTCCGAGTGATTCATCAGAAAATGTTTCGGTTTCGGTTTCAAGGCTGAAGACGAAAATGTTCCCATCCATTCCACAATCGACAAGAAATCTGAATCGATTTGAAACAGTTATGTCTGTGATCATTCCATAATCTATGTCATGGAGCCTAATGTCATCGTAGCCAGTCGCCAGCCAGGCTTGCGCAACTTTGGTCAAACATCTCAATTTGCCATTTTCCAACCCAAGATACCAAGTGGAGCTTTCGTTTCTGAAACAGTTGAGTTTCTTCTTGAATCTTTTCTCTCAGTGTCAGTGTGCGTATGCGGAAGGCAACTAGCCCACTAGAGAAAAACTGAAGAAAAATTGTCATAGTAACTTCTTAAACTAAATAATCGTTTACAGAATCTTTTTTTCTGTCAGTGAAAACTATTTGACTGAACAAGTGTAAATATGTGCTTTAAATAAACCGTAAAAAAACATCTCTTTTTAAAATAAAAATAGCTCTAAAAAAGAAATAAACAGTTGAAAACACATTCATTGTTTTTTAAGGTCTATCCAGTTCAAAAATATTGATATACCTACAGTTTCTCAAAAGAAAAAGGTTTTGATCCCTCTATTTTATATGTATAGTCCTCGCTTGTTGCAAAACCTTGTAAATTCAAGTATTGGCCCTAAAACATGTCCTAGTAAGATTTTTGTAAGATTGTAAGATGCCACTCATCCTGCACTCATATCCATTCATACTTGGGTTAAAATACCTACTTTGTATGGTCGCCATTTCATTGAAAAATATTAAAGTATAAACACATTGTTCACAAAACACCAATATTTACACATCTATGAGACAGTTTTTTTCAAATTCAATTAAATTTTTTCAAATTACAGTTTGACATACAACACAGTTTTTCTTTTTAGCAACAAAATTTAACCTATTTACATTTTTTCCAACTTACGTAATATAAGCGGTCGAAATATATTCTTTTGATATTGTTTCATTAAGTAGACATTTTGACTGCCAGCTATATTCGTACAATCCATTTTTATTCACTAAATATATTGAATTGTCTTTTGAATAAAGAGCACATATTAAGTTTTCAATCGCATCTCCTCCTGAAAAACACTTAGTTAAAGTACAAACTTCAATTTCGATCTCTACTCAAAATATATACTACATAATTCACAATATTTAAAATTAGAAGAGCTGACAAATCAAACTACTTTACAACAATAGCGAACAAGGAGGTAAAAATAACAAAGAGTTCAAGTTAAAAAAAACAAATTTGTATTTTCGAATGTACGTGCAGTTGCAGTGTTCCCAAAAATTCTAAGTTTTTATTTAATTATACTTGTTCCGTGTAACATGTTTTAATAAAAATAATAAATCACTAGTACTGTTTGAAATATGCTATGGTTTCAACTTAATAACTCTAAAGAATTGTTGATCAAAAGAATTAAGTAAATCAAGGGTAAATAATTACAATAGTAGATTAGGACCTTGGTATTTTGGGAATTCCGTTGATATTGGTGGACTCAACTGATAAGAAATCCCAGTAAATCCTTCTTCAGGGATTACAACTTCGCTTAATGAAGAAACACAGCACACTAGCAAAATCCTGATCTGTAACCACCAAAATTTGAAGTTTTGAATTACTTAATGGTTGAAACTAACATTTTCATTAGCAGTTTTCCCAATAAAAACACGCCGTAGCCAATTGTTTGACTAAGTTGTTGGTATGCTCTTTACATAGTTGTTTTTGGTCAAGGATAAATGGTACAAGAAGCTTTACTGACTTAGGCATATATAGTGTTCAGTCTGTCTCAGAAGGAATATAATCACTTCAGTTTTACTTTCATTTATCTTTATACATACTAACCGTGGTTAGCCGTTTTCTTTTTCAGTATCTAAGTATGCTACAAGACATCTTTGTAGGATCTATCTATGTACAACAATTTTACGTGTTTTTAAATTTCAAAATACAAACCTGTGTCGGGTTCCAGCACAGCCCTCTCACTGGAGCCTCCAGCTGGAGAAAACCGACTGGAATCAGTTGTATTGTCGACTGCAACTTGTACACAAACACCGATCTGTCTTCACTCCCCGTCACAAACAATGTTTTCTCAGGGTTTACGCAGATCGCAGTTATTCTTCCTTTGTGAGGTTTAGTTTCCTATGGAAAATTACTACTAAGTTAAATGCACATTTAATTTATTGCAACTTGTTATTCCGTCTTTCTGAACACAGTTTTGTTAGTCGGAAGTCAAGATGTCTTTAATATGGAAAAATTACATATCACTGTGTTTCAGCACTTCACACTATTATGATTTGCAATACGGTATATTTATATAGCATCGGTTCCCATAGTGATAGTTATTGTTTGGGTGGTTGATAAAGTCGAGTTTACGAGGCCAATAGGCAAGTTACGGGACAGGTTACCTGCATCTAGCATATTTCAGGTTCTGCCACACGACTGGCTACGTGTAAAAGTGACTTATTACTGATATCATAACAGCAATGTTGACAGTATAAAGCAGAATACGGAAAAAACATCAAGCGTCTGGTGTATGTTTTGAATTTCATAAATTGATATGAATTTACAAATTCATATTAATTTATGAAATCGCTCTGTCATATTTACAAATATTTACAAAATATATATCTGTCATATTTACAAATATGACAGAGCGATTTTTAGATAATAAAACTGTTATAGCAAAATAAAAAGCTAAAAAACTTGACCCATGCAATATTTAAAATGATGAGACTTCTTTCCAGTAAAATATTGTATTTGATACATATATTGACAGGTTACAAATCAAAGAAGTATAAAATAAGAACAAAACAAACTTAAATACAGGTGGCACTGGAGAGAAGAAGAAACATCATGATCCAGTCAGTTTCATTTAGTCAGTGGCAGTGAGATAAGACAGTGCTGGCCAGCCTGTAAGCCGCGTTTACACGAGGCCAGTAGGCGGGCAGGTAACTTGGAGCAGGTAACCTGAGGCAAGTAACCTTCCCCATGTGGACGACTACGCTTGTAAATTATAGGCAAGTTGCCTGTCTACCTGCCTGGCAGGTCGACTTGCACGAGGAGTAGACAACCTGCCCCCCCACCACTCGAAAACGGCACCTGCCCCACAACCTGCCTCGCACTGACGCCGTGTGGACAACTAGCTGTTTGTTTTCCTTGCACTGACGCCGCGCCGTGTGGACAACTTAGTTGTTTGTATTGGATGTCTGTTTATTGTTTAAATTGTTAACATTTTATATATTTGTGCAATACAATACCAATATAATGGCTCCGCGTTGGTCCGAAGAGATGACAATTCAGTTTTTGGAACTTTATAAGGACCGGCCTTGCTTATGGGACCAGTTTTCTGAACTGTACAAGAACAAGAATGCACGCGAAACAGCCCTTGGTGAAATAGTTTCCGCTATGAAAATTGAAGGGTTTGGAATAACTGAAGCTAAATCTAAAATAAAAGCTTTACGAGCCACATACTCTGGTGAAATGGCCAAAACAGTGAAAAGTGCAAAATCAGGCTGCGGTACAACCGATTTGTACGTGCCTAATGTAAAGTGGTTCTATATAATGAAAGGTATAATGGAAAAAGGAGCACTGAAAAGAGAATCGAAGAGCACTCTGGTAAGTAATGTATGTTTATTTATACATAATTTGGATCCTTTCTGTTCTGAACACATGTTCACTGTTAAGGTTAGGTTAGGTACATGTATTATTAACCTGTATCAATGTACCATTTTTAACTGCCAATGGACAGCACCTTCACCGACAAAGTATCTTTTGTAGGCGTCCCTTTTTTGCTTTGCCTTCTTAGTTTGCTGATGACTTCCTATGCGTACGACACTCTGTAGGCCATTAGTCTCTTGTCTCCAGCAACCGGGAAGAAATTGTCCAAGATTGTAATCTTCAGTGTCCACCGCGCCCCTAGCAAAATATGTGTGAGTTGACAACTTCCTTAAAAAATTGTGCAGAGCACATGAAGCAAAAACAATTTTATCCACCGAATCTGGAGATATTTGAATAGGTTTTTCAAACACCCTGAACCTGCTAACAAGTATGCCAAAGGCGTTTTCGACGATACGCCTAGCTCTAGAAAGTCTATAATTATAAATTTTGCTTTCCATGTCAAGTTGAGAACCTCCATAGGGTTTCATTAAGTATTCCTTAAGTGGAAACGCGTCATCGCCCAATATTACACCATCTTCTGGTAACAACCCAGACTCTAGGCTGTCCATTAATGAGCATCTCTGAAAAACTTTACCATCAGATACAGAACCATTACTTCCAACAGAAATGTATGTAAAACAGTAGTCGTGATCCACTAAGGCCAGTAGTATGATACTGTGTGACTTTTTGTAATTGAAAAAGGTACTTCCGCAATTATCTGGGGCTCTTATTGTTACGTGCTTCCCATCAATAGCACCGTAGCAGCCGGGAAATTGCCAACAGTCTCTAAAACCTTTTTCAATTGTCTTCCATTCTTCATGAGATTCTGGAGTCTGAAAATAAAATTACATGTGACAATAATGTTATTAAATAATATTTAAACTAAACCGTCTTGTGTGACATATATATATATATATATATATATATATATATACATAATATACATCTCAAAATAAAGTTACGGCCCTGCCGGTATGCACACAAGACGTTTATCCAGATGATTCAGTACAAAAAAATCCCTTTCTTTCCAGGAAATCGCGTCTAACAAGAGAAAAGCTACCAGTCCAATTCATGTTGATGATAACAACAAGCAAGAAAGTAATAATGAGGATGCAGAGTTGCTTCCTGAAGTCAATTCTGTTGAAGATGATAAATCAGCAGAGGACTGTGATGTTGGAACCGATGGGTCTTCAGTTCAGCTTAATGCATCAACATCTACTGCTACTCCGGACCGTTCCATGCCAAAACGTTTTAAGCCAAGGTCAAAAATTCAACAAATTGCACATACAGCTCGTGAATTAAAATCTCTATCTTCTTCCATTAAACAAAAAGAGGAAAGTGAGCACGACATTTTCGGCAAACACGTCGCTGCTCAATTGTCCAAATTAAGTCCATTGCAAGCCATAACAGCAGTTGGTAAAATAAACGCAGTATTAACTGAATGTCGGTTAAAGGATCTTACTGATTCACGTGCCTCACCTTACGAAACTTATTCGTCACTTTCTTCTCCACAAACGCCAACTAATGACCATCGCATTCAAGAATTAGTAATACAGACCTCTGTTGATAACTCTGTTGATGTTGATGATCAGTCAAACATTTCAACACTCGGTGTTTTCAACACCATTGGTGAAGCATTATTTACGCTCCAGAACAATTTTCCAGGAAAAAAATAAACTGTGCTTTGAGGTGTATGTAACTGACTATGTGTTTTAACGGTATTATTCTACTTTTCAGCTACATACAATTTAAAAGATAAGATATTTGTGGAAAATTACAACTTTTGTTACTTGCAATTTCTTTCAACTAAAATAAACGTATAATTTACTAATACGGTTTTATAATTACCTTTATGTACTCCTTAAGACATGTATATATAGCAACGCACACTTCTGGGATAAGTAATGAGATTGCTGACTTTGAAACACGGAAGAAATGTTGGAGAGTCCTGTAGCTATTTCCTGTAGCCAGGTATGACAAGGTAATTTCTAATTTCAATTTAGCTGACAAAGCTGGTCTCATAGTTGTGTCTTGTTTAGTTATCACAGGTTCTATAAGTTCAAGAAGTGCATCAAAACTCTCAGGTGACATCCGCAAACATGCTCGATATTCTGCTGGGTCTTCATTACGCAGTTCTGTTAGTAACTGGACAGATGCACCACGGTCATCTCTCCTTTTAAGCCAATCTCTCGCCCATAGTTTCTTCTTTTCTAGTTCTTCTAATAATATTTCACTAGATTCACTTACAAAATCCAGTATAAGATTTCGCGTCATTTCTTGTACGTCATCATATGATAAAACAGATGATGCACTTTCTGCCATTTTTAATACAACTAATAACACACTGGCTGGCTCCCACAACCCACGTTGTGTGGACAGGCTCAACGGCAAGTTGCCAGTACAGTAACTTGCCTCAGGTTACCTGCTCCAAGTAACCTGCCGCCTACTGGCCTCGTGTAAACGCGGCTGTAGAGTTTTAACCAGTTTTATCACTTTTTATTCCATACTAATTATTTTTTCCAACATGAAAGGTTTTAATTATTGTGATTGTGACAGTCTTTTAAAGAATCCATTGACATACCACAATGTTTTAATACATTGATGATGTGGTTGCATGCAAAATGACCAGACAAAGTTCTAAGGAACTAGTCATCATACCAACAGCTGTGGTTGGATAAGGTAATCATTTTATTTATTTTGAAAACTGAGTTGAAAAAGTTACAAACTGTAACGGTTTTCTTACAAAAGTCCATTTGTGCACTTACTTGTTTAATAGTAATACAGGTTCCAGCTTCTGTCAATGATATTAGTTTTACTGAACCATCGGCAAAACCAAGTGCAATAATCTCTTCTTCAACTTTCTCCTGCAGAACACAAACATTTATTAAAAAAAAAAACTAAAAAACCTCTTTGTTTTTACCATGAACTTTAATTTTAATGGATGACACAATTTAAAACTATGTATTATTTATTAGCATAATCTGGCTGCGGGGCAAAGATGTTTTTGGCTACGTTTTAACTACAGGGTGAGGCAAAATCTATTTTCAGTGGTCCACCGTTCAGCGACAGGACATCTGAGGGTGATGGGGGGTTAGGCTCGTTGGAAAGCCTACACGCCACCATTGTCAGTAGTCATGAAGCAGTAGTCGCCTGAGCAACATATGTTTTGTTATCGAGTCGTATTTTAAAAGTAATTTCAGTAATTGCAAACTCAGCGGCAGTTTTGTGCATACTTTCAATTATGTCGACAAGGAGAAGTTCCGTCTTGTAGCACAATTATGCGGTTTGTAACTTGAGAACAACAATGTGTTCTTCGTTGAAAAAGAAGCCGTCCAAGGTCAGCTCGGATGCCAGACAAAGTGGATAGAGTTTGTATCGCCTCGGTCCTGATTCCCGTAATCGATTTGTATCGGTTCTTGCTGTTGAAACAGTCCTAATAGGCCCTCCCCTAAAAAGCGGCTGCCTAGAACATCTCTGATCGCTTGGTTAGACAGATTTTGAGGTTCGATCTTGTTTTTCATCCATACATATTGGCTATTGTTAAGCAATTACAGCCCACTGACCATGAAAAGCGATAAAAATTTGCTGGACAAATGATCGATTTAAATGTTGATGATAAGATTTAATGTTTACGGCTTCGTAAACAAAAAGTACTTTTGCTATTGGTTATTTACAAATCTTGAAAAGTTACATGAACATAGCCCCAAGGGTGTCCACTGAGTGGTGTGGTATCACAAAAACTTCTGTGGCCATATTTCTTTGAAGAGGGATGTCGATCAGTTACAGTGAATTTGCTACGCTAACTGTTTATGTTACAAAACTTCCTCATCCCAGAATTCTGGAGAAAGCGCTTAGTCCTGAGAATAATGTGGTTCCAACAGGATGGTGCTGATATCAGTTAACTAATAATAAAGTATCTTTCTCTACACAACTTTAATGATATCACCTGTTTTAATTTCAATTACAGTCTTTCCTACTGTTCAGTATTTCGTCTAAATATTTGATGTAATATTATTTGTCAGGCAACTCAGCACTGCTTTTTTTCAATTGGCTATTGTTATCCTTTCCACAGAGATAGATAGAGGTCCCGTTATTCTATCCCATTACTTGCTTAGAGGGGTCAAGTATTCTCTCATTTCTGAACTAAAATATAGCAATAAATTTATTGGTCGAGATGGTCATGTGACCACTGGACGTGTCCATTTCCGATACCCACAAGCGCCAGTCTTTCGGAAAAGCTCCTTGATGTAACACTCCCGTTCATCAAGTCTTTATTTTTTGGTCAGTTGATTCGGGACCGTTCCCTATTAACAATGTATTGTAATCGGGCCCCCATATTCTCTATTTCATGTTACTCATAATTGTATTTTGTCTATATTGTATTTAACTGTGTATTAACTCCCTGAAAAGTGATAGCTCCTATTCAACGTGAACTTCTTGTGCGGCTTCCGCGAACGCGTGTGAATATTACCTATAAACTAACTCATATAAACTAACCCGTCGTTTCGACATCAAGAAAAGTGTTTAGATTGGACATTTTCCATTGTCTTCCTCAATAGCTCATCCAGTGGGTATCCAATGTGTAAAAAAAATACTAGGTAGTTTAAGTTAGACCGGTTGATTTAGGTAAATGTAGATTAATATTTAGTCACTTGAAAACGGGAGGAGTTTCTTTAACTTCTGAAACGTAAAAGCAAAACACTTTGCGTAGGAAAAGTCCATAATCTTAAATTTAAATAGTTATCCTTCGCAATGAACTTTAAAACTACCTGAATTAAAAACCAGTACAGTTTGCTTCCTCCGATTTCAAACTCTTTGATGGCGAGCAGTTTGCCTGTGGTCAAGTTGTATATGTGCAAGACTCCGTTGGCAGCCAAAGAAGCAAGGGTGGGGGACCAGGGGCTAGACGCTAGAGAGCACACTGGTCCCGCATGACAGCTGTAGAGACGTAATGGCGAAGCTGTTGCGGCAGAAACTTGCATGTCCACCTGCCACAGCCCTCCGTTTCTGTCCTGCAACAGAAATGTAAATGAGGACACCCAGGATTAAGGGTATATGAGAAAGTAATACAGACCTCCAGATCCATCATCCCATGAAAATATATTGGATTGACAACTTTACCTCTGAACGGTTTGAATGTACATTGTCTCAAGATCATAGGTTTAATACTAAATATAATTCGCTGTGTTTATGTTTTTGTTATCTAAGAAAGTAAAAGTTTGGATTCCTTTCTTTAATATTTGTTTCTCATTAATTTAAAAGTTTATTCTAATAAGTCAACTAGAAAGATAATGCCTTGGTTATTGTGTGACGCAAAATTCTAGGGGGGGAATAAACTAGTATTCACCAAGTCAGGCTAGGCCTACCCCTAGAACCGGCCACACTCAAATTTCTTCCCCGGAGTGCTCAGAAGGAGCCGAGAAAAATCCAGGGGTCGATACGAAGGTGTCACGGCTTTGACTGATCAATTTATTTAAAATTTAATCGAAGGCTCAGAGCTCTAGAAGCGCTCAGGAAATCCTGCAGACGCTCAGTAGGAGCTATTTCATCCTCACCTTCGCTAACGTGTTTTGGAGAATTTTGCTTAACTTTTATAATGACTCTGTAGGGCCGACGAGTATTCAATCTTAGCCAATGTGATATAAATACTCGTATTAAACTGTAAACTATCTGGCTAAAGACGGTGGTGGATAATAAAATCGAATCTAATGTAAAAAGCAATTCCTACAGAGTCGTCGGGGCCTAATTAATACAATTGGACGGAGAATTTATCGTGATGTCGTTTAAAATAGATTTAATATTAATTTACGTAGCTGATTGTTCAAATCAGCCTGCTCCCAAGACTTGATTCTTTCACCCGCCTAAGACGGGGTTTAGAACTTAGACGACAAGTCTCGGGGTATTAAAACGGTGAAAACGAGATATAATTTGGACGTGATAATTATTTGTTGAGCGAACGTAGAAATCGTAATTTCGAAACTAATGAATTAAAAATTAAATAAATGATAGCCACCGCTAGTCCACTGGCAGGCAGGAACTGGCGGGTCAAGACTCAAGTTAAGATATTAAATTTAATAATTCGAAACGGAATATTAAGAAAACGAAAAGGTATAATAAGTTAATTATGCGTAAGATAAAACAGAAATAACGTAAAACGTCAAAAGGGGCCTAACTAGTATGGTAGCTAACCTTCGTAATAATGTCGTTGTCGTATTCGTGACTCGTGCGAGCTAGTCGGTGGTCAAACAGCGAATAATTCTTGTCCGGCTCAAATCATGATTTCCTCGGTCGAGGCTTAATCGCTCTGGTGGTGAGTTTGAGAACTAGCCAACAGCTGATCGGAAATTCACCTGTCGAGCCGGTCTAGTTGTCGTCTGTCGTTGGTCAACAAACACCATTTCGAGGTTAAGTGATGTTGTAATCGGCGTTAAATATTCGTAAAATCGGTCGTTTTAACATTATTATGTGAAACGGAGTGCTATTATGAATAAATATATCGTTGTGGGTGTGTTTGTGTACTTCACTGTTATTAAAAGTAGGCCTACGTTCTTTGGCCCATAGCCCAAGCTATGGCCAACACATAGGCCTAGGAGTAGGATGTTGTGGATAAAAATCGGGTAAGTTATGGTGTTTGTTGACTATCAATACGTTTTTTTACCCCCCTTAAAATTTGGTACCTCACACCCCTTACCAACTTCACAAAAAAAAAGAGAAAAAAAAGATTTCAAACGTAGGGGGGGGATGGCCCAAAGGTCTCGTAGAAGGGGTAGCTGAAGAAACGGCGTTAAATCGGAAGAGGTCGTGTACGAGAGGGAAAAGGAAACAACAAAATAAAATCTTCTTGAAAACAAAATAAAAAGGACTTCTTAAACGAAAATAAAGACCAACTGGTATAAAAACACCTCTCGTAAAATCGGAAAAAAAGGACGAACGATAAAACTAAAAAACTTCTGAATCATCCGTAGGGGAATGATTCTTCGGCCCTCAACGTTGGTGGTAGGGCTTTAGGTCCTTCACGTGAACTACGTGTGACATCCCCGTGCGCATATCTCTCACCACGTACATGTTGGCCCCACGCCGCTCCTCAACCTCGCAGGGCCCGTCGAACTTGGGCGCGAGCTTCCCGACTACGGCGTCGGCCGCGGAAGACAGCGTGTGAATCCGCCGCAGCACGCGCTCGCCGTTGCGGTACCTCACCTCCCGCCGGCGGAGGTTGTAGTACCTTGCCTGCTGTTCGTAGGCGGTCTTGAGGTTGGCGTGGACCTTCTCGTAGATGCGTCCGAATTCTTGCGTTCGTCTGTCGTGGACTTCGGCGAGCGTTGGCTGTCCGTCAACGTCGGGTGTCGCCTCCAACGTTTTCCCTCGGACAGCTTTCGGGACTCTGAGTTCGCGGCCTAATGTTAGCATCGCCGGCGTGTAACCCGTCGAATCGTGGACGGCGGTGTTTATGGCGAACTGGAGCTCGGCGATATGGGCGTCCCATGACCTATGATTCTCCTTCACGAACTGAGAGATCATGGTCTTCACAACGCGGTTGACTCGTTCTACCGGGTTCGATTGCGGACTGTAGGGAGCTGTGTTCGTGAAAGCTATGTCCCAATCCGTCGCCAGGTCTCTAAAGAGGTTAGAAACGAACTGAGTCCCGTTGTCGGTGATTATGGACTCAGGTGCTCCGTATCGAAGGAGCATCTCTTTAGTTTTGCTGACAACGTTCTTGGCCGTTGCTGACCCGATAGGACATAACTCAACCCACTTGCTGTACGTGTCCTGGATCACCAGCAGGAATCGGTGGCCCTTGCCCGATCTGGGTAGCGGACCCACTAGGTCGGCGGACACCGTGTACCACGGACCTTTTGGAGCCCGGAAGTACATCTTCCCTGCCAGTTTCGTCTGCGCCACCGTATACTTTTGGCAGGCATCACAGGATCTCACGTAGGCTTTCGTCTCCCGACGCCATCCAGGCCAAAAATATTCGGGCCCTACACGACAAAGTGTTTTCTTGACACCAAGGTGTCCGGCCGTAGCGTCATCGTGGTTCTGTCGTAGTACCGCCTCTACTTGCCCTGGAGGAACGCACATTCTCCAGGACAATTTACCACCACTCCCATGGCGTTGGGAGGTTCGGTAAAGGCGGTTCTCCACGATTTGATATCGTGGATAGCGTCGTGGGTTGGCGGTCACAGCTGCGTACAACCGGTCGTACCAATCAGTCGGAGGGACGTTGTTGGCTTCGTCGGGGCGTGCGTCGGATTGCGTCGCGCCACTCGGTTGGTTTTCCGGTCTCGTCGATTCCCTGCGTCTGGTTGTGCGTCGCTCGCGAGGCGCGTCTGTCACCTCCGATGTGAGATGACTCACCGCGACCAGGCCCGATTGGCACTCGTTGGTCACGGGTTGCCTCGACAAAGCGTCGGCGACGCGGTTCAGGGTGCCCTTCCGGTACTTGATCTCGAAGGTGTACTGCTGAAGTTCCATCACCCACCGTGCCAGACGTCCGCTAGGCTCGTGTAGCCTCATCAGCCATTTCAGCGCGACGTGGTCGGTTATGGCGACGAACTCGTAACCCTCGAGGTACGGTTTGAATTTTCGGGTCGCCCAAACCAGAGCAAGACACTCTAACTCCGTCGTTGTATAATTCTTCTCTTGGTCCGTAAGCAGTCGGCTGGCGTACGCGATGACGACCTCGCCGGATTCTTGGTTCTGCGTGAGAGCGGCTCCAAGACCGATGGTCGACGCGTCGGTCTGGAGGACAAACGGGACCGAGAAGTCGGGACAGGCCAGGACAGGAGCGGAGGTGAGGCGTCGTTTTAGTTCCTCAAACGATTCTTCCTGTTCAGGGCCCCACAGCCACCGAGCGTTCTTCTTCAGTAGTTGTCGCATCGGGGCGGTTACTTGGGCAAACCTGTCCACAAAACGACGGTACCAGGACGCGAGACCGAGAAAGCTTCGAAGGGTTTTACCGTTCGTAGGTCGTGGGAACTCGGCGATAGCACGGACCTTCTCTGGGTCAGTCGATATCCCCTCGTTGTTGACGACGTGTCCGAGGTATCTGAGCTCCTTTTTGCAGAAGTTACACTTCTCTGGGTTTAAACGTAGGCCAGCCTTTCTAAGGCGTTCGAAGACCACCCGGAGGATCTGCAAGTGCTCAGTAAACGTGGCGGACACCACAACGAGGTCGTCGAGGTAGGCGAACACCTTCGGCTCAAGCTCCGGACCGATGACCTTGTCCAGGAGGCGTTGAAAGGTCGCTCCGGCGGAATGGAGTCCGAAGGGCATTACCGTAAACTGGAATAGGCCTAACCCGGGAACGGTGAAAGCGGTGATCGGTCGGCTTTCCTTCGCTAACGGCACCTGCCAATAGCCTTGCTTCAAGTCCAGTGTACTGATGTATCTCGCCGGCCGTAGTTTCTCCAGAATCGCGTTGATTCTGGGCAGCGGATACGCGTCGGGGACAGAGCACTCGTTAACTTTGCGCATATCGATGCAAAAACGAAATTTGCCGTTGCTCTTCCTCGTCAGCACGACTGGCGAACTCCAAGGGCTCTCCGATGGTTCGATCACACCATCGCGGAGCATCGTCGCCACCTCTTCGTCGATGATAGCTTGCATCGCGGGATTCCTGGGATAATACCGTTGCTTGACGGGAGCGGCGTTTTCTTTGAGCCGTATCGTGTGCTCAGCCAACGCCGTCTTCCCCGAAACGTCGTCAAACAGTGGTAGTTCGCAATCCAGGAAGTCCGCGAGTCTCGTGTCTTCGTCGGAGGTCAATGTCTGAATAGCGTTGACTGGACAGGACGGGGGAACGTTGTCGTTGCGGAGGTTCTGTACAGCGGTGTGTACACTGACAAGAGCGAGGTCAGTAATACACCGAATGCCGAGTACCACCTCCACACTCAGGTTCGGGACATACAGGGCATCCCACGAGTACGTCTGGCCCACGATTTCACCGTCCACTCTGTACCGATCCGAGACACGGCAACTCGCTCCGTTGGCCATACGTAGGTTGACGTCAGCCTGGTCGGGTACGATGCCGCACGTCCGAAGGTGACGTACGGCGCGATCTCCAATCAGACTGACCGACGAGCCGGTATCGACGAGGGCGCTGAACGTATCACCTGAGATGACCACGTCGACGAAGGGTCGGTCATCTCTGGGGGCGCGTTCGCGGCTGACGGTTCCCGTGAATTCCGTTATGAAGCCGAGCCAGCGATTCCACTCCTCGGAGGTCGTGCGACGTTTCGTTCTACGGGGCTCAGGCGACCTCCCGCAGACTGAACCCGTTGTCCGTTTCCCGAGCCGCAGTTGCAACGACGCGTCGAGATGCCTACCCTCTTGCAGTGGTAGCAACGCAGGACCTTGGGCTTCGAACACTCGCGAAACAGATGTCCGGTTTCGTCGCAGTTCCAGCACACGAATTGCCGAGAGCCTGCCGCTTGTTCGTTCGTCGTACCGGGTGATCTGGTTCTCGTAGATTCCGGCGTCCGCCTCCGCCTGTAATCGTCTCGTGGCGAAGGGTCACGGGAGTTGGACCGAGCAAACGTCGTTCTCTTGCGGCCGTCCTCCAAGGGTTTACCAGGTCGTGACCTGGCCGTCACCTCGGATTCCTCGGCATGGTCGTCCGACCAGCGATCAATTGCCGCGCTGCTGTAGACCCGGTCGACTTTCCGATCGCGAACGTAGGCGGTCTCCGGAATCAGTGACAGCGAAGGTGGTGGTGGCGGACGGAAGGTCTGCCGGCTCCGAACGTATGCCTCGTAGCCCTCAGCTCTCTCCAGCAACTCCTCCAGAGTACAAAAATTGGCACGACGTATAGTTAATTTGTACTCCGGGCGCATGTTGCGGTAGATGAGGTCAAGTTTGCCTTGCTCCGAGAACGTACCGCTCCTCCGAATCAGCGTTGAGAGCGCGACGACGTAGTCCCGAATGGATTCGCGCTCGCCTTGTGTCCGTCGCCTTACCTCGTCGTCTAGGTCCTGATGGTACAACGGAGGTAGAAATTGATCCTCGAACTGGCGTTTAAAATCTCCGTACGAGCGCCAACTACCGCGGCAGTTACGGTGCCAAAGCAAAGCCGGGCCGTGAAGAAGTTCCGGCAGCGCCTTCGTCACTTCGTTGAGGTCGATCGAGTAGGCTTCCGCCAACTCCTCCAGACGTTCTAGAAACGATACCGGGTCCTTCTTGCCGTCAAACCGCAGATTCCACTTGCGAACCCGATTGCACAACGACGGCGTGTCGTCTCCCACTCTCGTCCCACCACACGGGTTAGGGTTGTCTGGACGTGAGGTTGAGAAGCCGGGTTGGAATCGTGACGTCCACGGGTCCTGGTTGGGCTGTGACCAGTGGTTTGTCCGGTCGCCGAAATCGTAACGAGACGTCTGGGTTTGCGACTGGAAGGCGTACGGTCGAGGCAGGGTCGTTTCGTAGGTCGTCGGGTAAGCTGTTGGCCGTTCGTTGGGTCTATCAAACGTAGTACGATAGTCGTGTTCCGCCAGTGGTCCGAAAAGTGTGTGACGTGACGTAATATCTTGACCAGGTGACGGGGCGTTAGCCGGCAGCTTCACCAACGTCGCGAGAGTCCGTCGAACGGACTCAGAATCGGCGTTTGGTGGGAGTCCCAGCATTTCTCGAACGCTGGCCATCTCCTGTTGCGTTGAAGGAGGTGCCAGCCACTGTGGTCGAAATTGTGTATCGTAGGCTGTAGAGGCAGTAGGCCCCGATACCGCGATCGCCGTCGGGTTCATCGGTTGACCGATGCTTCCCAACGGGTTCTTCCAATAATCGCAAAAACGTTTGCGGAGCTCGGCGACGCTACCCTCAGTATCTAGCTGATATTTTGTCATCTCAGCAATCAGGTGCTGTTTGCTCAGAGTATGAATCCAGCCGACGCGTGGGTCGTCCAACGGCGATTTCGGGATGCTCTCCATCGTCGAAGGTATTTGGGAGATCGTCGTCGTGGTCGTGGTCGTCGTTGACGTTTGAATTCCCACCGTGGATATCGTCACGTGGCCGATCGGTAGCGTATCGGGTCGGGCAATGGTCGTCGGGGTACTCGAAGTCGTTGATTATGTTTCTCCAGTCATTTCGTCTAAATTTCAAAGTCCAAAACCGTGTTTTCGAGTCCAAATGTTCGGGCGCCAGAGATGTGACGAAAAATTCTACAAAACGACAGTACAAGGACGTGAGACTGAGGAAGCTCAGTCCCTGTTCGGGCGCCAGAGATGTGACGCAAAATTCTAGGGGGGGAATAAACTAGTATTCACCAAGTCAGGCTAGGCCTACCCCTAGAACCGGCCACACTCAAATTTCTTCCCCGGAGTGCTCAGAAGGAGCCGAGAAAAATCCAGGGGTCGATACGAAGGTGTCACGGCTTTGACTGATCAATTTATTTAAAATTTAATCGAAGGCTCAGAGCTCTAGAAGCGCTCAGGAAATCCTGCAGACGCTCAGTAGGAGCTATTTCATCCTCACCTTCGCTAACGTGTTTTGGAGAATTTTGCCTAACTTTTATAATGACTCTGTAGGGCCGACGAGTATTCAATCTTAGCCAATGTGATATAAATACTCGTATTAAACTGTAAACTATCTGGCTAAAGACGGTGGTGGATAATAAAATCGAATCTAATGTAAAAAGCAATTCCTACAGAGTCGTCGGGGCCTAATTAATACAATTGGACGGAGAATTTATCGTGATGTCGTTTAAAATAGATTTAATATTAATTTACGTAGCTGATTGTTCAAATCAGCCTGCTCCCAAGACTTGATTCTTTCACCCGCCAAAGACGGGGTTTAGAACTTAGACGACAAGTCTCGGGGTATTAAAACGGTGAAAACGAGATATAATTTGGACGTGATAATTATTTGTTGAGCGAACGTAGAAATCGTAATTTCGAAACTAATGAATTAAAAATTAAATAAATGATAGCCACCGCTAGTCCACTGGCAGGCAGGAACTGGCGGGTCAAGACTCAAGTTAAGATATTAAATTTAATAATTCGAAACGGAATATTAAGAAAACGAAAAGGTATAATAAGTTAATTATGCGTAAGATAAAACAGAAATAACGTAAAACGTCAAAAGGGGCCTAACTAGTATGGTAGCTAACCTTCGTAATAATGTCGTTGTCGTATTCGTGACTCGTGCGAGCTAGTCGGTGGTCAAACAGCGAATAATTCTTGTCCGGCTCAAATCATGATTTCCTCGGTCGAGGCTTAATCGCTCTGGTGGTGAGTTTGAGAACTAGCCAACAGCTGATCGGAAATTCACCTGTCGAGCCGGTCTAGTTGTCGTCTGTCGTTGGTCAACAAACACCATTTCGAGGTTAAGTGATGTTGTAATCGGCGTTAAATATTCGTAAAATCGGTCGTTTTAACTTTATTATGTGAAACGGAGTGCTATTATGAATAAATATATCGTTGTGGGTGTGTTAGTGTACTTCACTGTTATTAAAAGTAGGCCTACGTTCTTTGGCCCATAGCCCAAGCTATGGCCAACACATAGGCCTAGGAGTAGGATGTTGTGGATAAAAATCGGGTAAGTTATGGTGTTTGTTGACTATCAATACGTTTTTTTACCCCCCTTAAAATTTGGTACCTCACAATTGCGTATCAATAGGTTATTGGCTATTCTACAAACAAGGTATTTTTTTAATTACTTTTAAAGAAGCTACCAGTACATAACATTTTTTTCATTGTTTTTTTATTGTAACGGTTGCATTTTTTTTCTTGAAGCAAGTATAAAATTGGTTAGTCAGTATGGCAAGTTTTTAGATTATTATAGTTATTACCTGTGCAAACCAAATGGAATCATTCTGGTCACAGTTTTTCTTCAAAATATAAGATATGACTGAAAATCCTCTTTCGTCACGGACTTGGATCTCAAACACAGGTTTGATCACAACTATCATGTCATCAGAAAACGGGTCCAGTTTGAACCGACCATAGTGCCACATTTTAATACATCCATCCATTCCTAGAAAACAGAGTTTTGCAAAATATAGGAAAATAATGTCACAATGTCTTTCTCTTACAATAAAATCCTACTAACAAGTTAGGAGTCTACTGTACATATAGTGATTTCAATCACGATTACTAGAAAAATACCGGTATGGATCATAAACATAAACAAATGACGTTTTTGGCCCGAAAATAAACAGTATTTAACATATTGCTTAAATGGAACTGTCAAAACATATGTTCAATGCTATTAGTATAGGATTCGGGCCAACAACGTCATTTGTTTATGTTTATGATCCATACCGGTATTTTTCTAGTATTCGTGATTTCAATATATCAAAACAGTTGATATTTCAACACATCTTAAAAAGGCCTCATATGTTCGTTAACTCTGCAAGGCTAAAATACAACGCACTCTGAAAACTTTCAGCATGGTAAAAAAAGGCTTCCAAAGCTGCGAAAATGTCAACACTTATCAAAATCGTCACTTAAATCTCATTATTCATGTTTCCGTCAATAAACTTATTGCAACTCTGCACAAACAATATGTTTTGAATCCACTCCAGAAACATTCACGATCGTACCGGGTTCACCAATCTTTTCATAAATTCATATACACTTACCGACAGTGCACAGCTCGTCAATCTCTTGGTTGTAAGTGAAGTTAACGATTGCGCTGTCGTGACAAGGTTGTCTGTTGCGTTGACAAGCCTCCATGATGACTCTGCCGTCCGCCCAGACGAGAATGTTTCCCCATGAGCAGCCACTCACCATCTGCGATTTAACTACTTCAAACAACCTCATCCGATATTCAGGATCTAAGCTGGTACCAAAGCTTAATGTGTAACACTACCCTAGTTGATGTTATACATTATTGAGGAATTCAGTAGTTAAAAATAAATCTACGAGTAAAAACTCTAGCGAGTAAAAGAAGTTGAATTGACAACAAAGAGATTAGAGTTAATTAACTTTTTTATCTGCTCCTATACTTTATATTCTTTCTCATCTCCTTTCCTAGTAAGATTTACGAATATATTACAGTTCTTACACTATTATTAAAATTATTGCTTATGGTATTTAACTACCGTAGCAGAAATCAACATTCAATCAAGTAATATAAATATCGTGACTAAAACTGTACTAGGCCTATGGTTTATATGGTTTGCGTTCTAATTTTCAACGATCATACCTGTCCATCTGGCATACAGAAGACGGCTAAAACTTGAGACTCGTCAAGTACGTTGAACCGTCCTTTTTGACTCAACAGTTTCAGACCTGTGTAGGTTTTGGTCAACTCCCAAAATCTCACACCTTCATCTCCTGTAGGAAGAACCGATCATGTTGTGTTTTAAGAGTATTTTATTGCCAGGGCATTCTCTTAAATTTTACATTATTGTTATTATACTTTTACTAATATGCTCCCCAAGTAACTTTTGCCATTCTAACCCGTTTATGCCAGGTTTTATGTTCATATAGGGAGGTATAAAAAAATATGTAAACCCTGTTTCAGAACCTTCTAAATTGTATTAGAAGGTTAATATAGGCAATTTCATGTATCACAAAGCAAGATACAAAATTTTCGGGAAGTCTCATAGCATACTGATACTATTTTAATTTCAAAATATTATATTTCTGGATTAGAAAACACACACGACTGATTGTTTTAAACTTATAATTGTAAATTTCCGAAATGTATGCAGCTCACTTGCAGCTCGCAAAAAGATACAAAGACACAACTACAACGCGAAACACTGGCATAGTAAAATACTATTTCACACAAGTCTTTTTTCGCAACCGCTCTCTACGATTACCGCAAGCGATGATGCAGTTATCGGCAAAGGAGGAGAAGAAGACCCTCAGGGTTTGAGGGGAGGAACTCCGGGCAATCACAGTGGATGACTCCCAATCCCACAAAGTCATGGAGTAGTCTGGGCCTCCCCCTTGGGAGCAGAGTATCCTTCCATCCGGACTGTATGGGATAACCAAATCAACATGAGTAAAACAGATTACATTGTCAATACATACATACAAACTTTTTCAATAAAACGTTAAATATAATAACCTCTTGAAAGAGCTCTCTACTGTCAAAATTTAACAGTTATTACTTGTAGCCTATGACACATAATAAGTTGACTTCAGATCAAGTATCTTTACACCTCAAACAGAAAACAAAACTAAAAATCTTTAAATTAGCCGGCATAGGTGTTTTAACGGACAGAAACAGAAATATTTTGAGGGTAATACTTCTGTGTGGTTAGTGGTGGATGGCTGCACTCTACAGAATGATTACAGGACTATTATTCACCACTATGCGTGCAAAAAGCCACCTCAGCTACAGTGCAAGACAAGGGAAATACTTAAAAAGGGTGTACTAGCAACAGACGGTTTAATCGGTACACCAAGATCAAACTTATCTGAACATGCAGCTATAGTGCTTTTCTAGCTACATATTTCTTACCTGTAAGTAAGGAAAACATAACCACTTTCCGTTCCGTTAGCAAGTTTCTTAACTACTTCAAAGGACGGCCAGTTATAAATAATAATCAGCGGATTTGATACTTTTTCACCCACAGCTATGTGAGGGTGGGTAGGATTTTTCTGGAACAATAAAAAGTGCCTATATCATCTACCAGTACAGTAATGACTTATTATTTTCAGGGACAACCCTGACCGTTACTTTTATTATGTAGCTCATAAACATTTTTCAAATAGACGTAGCACCACAGAAAAATTCCTGTAAATACAAAAGGAGTGCCTCTATGAATGAAATATGTTTTATATTATAGTTTGAGCCGACAAAAACAAACTACCTATAACTAATTTACTTATTTTTTCTTCAAAGATTTTGTGTTTCTTTATTTTTTGCGGGAATACCTATATACTAAACACAATCATGCCTTTAAACTAAGTTCATGTATAGCAAAACATAGTGATGGAATCTCAATACCTCTGTTAATAATGTCTTTTAACATTGGGGACGGTCAGTGACACTAATTTTTGTCTTTGAGAATATACTGTGGTATAGAAAAAGTATGAAAGGTTAAGCGTTACCACAGGTAAAATCTAAAAGTTCAAACGTCAGATACTTATAAAAGCTCATAAAAATATCAAAGTGTTGAACTAAAGTAATGAAATGAACGATAAAAATATCCACTCTCATAAGACGTCACTTAAGCCCTCTCAGCTCATATACCTCACAAACCCCTAATTTATTTTATATGTCACTTTCGCTCACATATCAATTCACTCGGTGACATCACTTCTGGTCCAGCAGCCCCTTTGTCATACTACTCATCCATTTGATGATAAAGCATAATTTAATGTTCTATGTTTTGTCTGTTAAAAGAGCTAAACGAGACAAAAGACTTAAATATTAGAACATTTTACTGTACAATAATGTAATTAAATCCTCTTTGAGAAAGCGACAGATTTCATCAGCATACATAGGGTGTCTACTTCAGCATCTAAATTGTATAACATAATAATTGTTTTATCAATATCGCTAAATATTTAATTAAAAACATTGGTACTGAACTTATTTAAACTCACAGTGACGTGTCCAATACAACAACCTCTATCGCTAGGTCGGGTTCGTAGCTTTCCTGTTTGAGTGTCAAGCATGTGAACCAAACTGCCTGAGCTAAATATCAGCCACCGCTCGTCAGCAACACACAAGTTTGAATACCTCTGACACTCATAGCCTAGAGAATGTCTTGGTGCAGTTAAGAAATATATGTCTGGCAGCATGTTTTATGGTGGATGGTTTATTGCAAAATTGCAATTGGAAATTGATTTGAGTGATTCAGTAGTAATTAATCTTGAAGGATTTGGTTTATTTAGTCATGTGAGGTCACAGTGGTTTGATATATTACTATACAATATTAATATTAATAATTATTATTATATTATTAAATATATTCTTCTAATCTAAAGTTCAAGATATGTTTTGTTTGATCTATTTGGAAAGTCATAATTATCTAACACTATATTATTTTGCAGGGGGCCACAGAGAAAAGAAAAAAAGTCTACACGTTGTGCGGTTCACAGGAAACAGAGAAATGGTGGGTCAAGGAAGAAAAAATTTGCAACCCTGAAGTTAAAAACAAATTTTTTAAAAACATTCTAGCCAATCCCAGTCAGCATAAATACGATAACTTAATTACTGAACAATAACAATGTACGATTACTGTATTGAATATATAGAAAAATTACATAAGTAATGAATAATAAATGCTTTCTGTAAGATTTATTTTATGGTCAGTAATTATATAAATGGTACGACAATATTTGTAGGTCTTAAACTTATTTAATGAGTTAATACTATTTGACTAACCCAACAAATTAGATAAAAGGATACAACAATATCAATCTTTCATTGCTCGTAACAGCACTAGTTTGACCGGATTCACTTTCACCAATGTATTTATCAAGGCTCATTATACGTTGTTTTAAACTAATATTAACTATAACTCTGAGTAAATGAGTGAATTGAAACTATAGAATCACAGGTTTTCTGAAACGACTATTCATTATTGATATAACAGTAACTAGGAGCAAGTCAGTTTCCGTGTGAAGCAGTTGGTTACCATGACAACAATGACTTGTGTATATTAATCTTTTTCTTTTCTTCTGTTTTAGCTTAACATTTTGATTTAGCATTTTTAAATCTAAAATAATTTTCTCTTATTATAATTTAGATAACAATGTTTTATATGCATATTACATTAATTGCATGCCGCTCAATTACACATATATCATAATGGAACAGATACAGATTGTTTTGAGGTATTTTTATAGAGAGTATCTTTGTTTCTGGTTTATTTAAATTACTTTGCTCTATGTTTGGTTATGTGTGGAAGACAGCGGAATCGGTTTCCAATCGTTGGTACAGCCAGGTGGCTTTAACACCTTGGGTTGTGATTCAAAAACAAAATAAAAATCAGTGATTATAATGTCTGGGTGGGGTTCCTTTTTTAGGCCAAGTAAATTATCTTTTGAACAGATAAGTTTTGCTGTGTGTCAAACTGCTTCACCTTAAACCGCAATATTCTATTAGTAGGGCGTTAGTTTTGTTTATAGCCATACCATCAAGGATTAGTACAGGTTCACCCGGGAGGTGTTTATTATCGGCTTGATCGACTGCTGACGGCAGTTCAAATTGAAAAGGCGAAGTTTGGTAACAAAAGTATAATCGTTGACGAATTATACTTAATATAACAGTTGGTGTTTTGCAGCATCGACGTGACCACAAAGAAGACCATGGAATCGAAAGACACTAATACGCTCAAGTATTTGGGAAGTGGATCTAGAGAATGGTAACATTATTAAACATGTCAATAGACCAGATGAGATTAGACAGCTGGATGAATCCAAACTAAAAAAAAAAACTTTAGAAATCTGAGATGGTGAACAAAATCGTTGCAAAGAAAAAGGAAAATACATGCCGCATGCCAGCAAATAATGATAATAAATAACAAAGTAGTGTATTGCTGTGTTGAATACAACCACCAAATGAACAACTATTTGAAGAAAGATCTCAATAAACATGGTGTTAAAATAGCCTTTAAAACTACTAAACTACAAATCGGCTGAACAACACATCTAAAGGCAAGCGCCCACATGTTGATAAATACGAAAAGACAGGTGTATACCATTCATTTCATTTCATTCATTTCGTTTTGTCATGAGAGCCGAAGCCCCCTGACTGCATACCCGGTACCTATCCTTTAGGACATACCCGGGCCCCATGATGTAGGCCGAAGCTCATGGCCCCCACAAGGGTGGGGCTGGCGCAACTCTGGTCACAGGGCCCGGCCCGGGCCCTCAGGGGGCCCGGGCCTACCCATTTTTTTTCTTTTTCTTTTTTTTCCCCATTGAAGATCACTTTACAGCAGATCATAAATTGATAAAATAATAATATATAAATTTTACAAAAAACAAAAGTTAAATAATTTAAAATGTATTAATTCTAGATTCTAGGCTAGTTTATATTTAAATACTATGGGTGCGTAGGTGCGTATGTACTATACAACAGCAGAACAGCCAGCTCGGGCCCCAGTGGCCGGCCCCACAAACTCCCTCTACCACTTCCTCCCGCCAGACGCCTAGCCACTCCTACCTCATTCCCCCCATAATAAACAAAGTTTGGTTTTATAATTGAACTGATAGTTTCAAGAATGAATATAGTTATGAGTTAAAATAAATTTTGTAAAGCATTGAAAAATTTACATGTACTATGTACCATAGCTAAGGTGACCAGACGTCCCGTTTTAGGGGAACTGGTCCGTCCCGACAAATCCTCTCGGGACGCTTAATCGTCCCGTTTTATCAACATTTGGTCCCGGTTGCACTTTTATGTAGTTTTAAAAATATGAAAGATTGTAATAATTTTGACCTAAGTTTTCTTCCCAATTCGCACGGTACATAATACTGTACTAAAGCATGGATTGGATAGCATCGGCATCGACAGCATCGGTCATTCTCGGCGTTACTAGTGCACATTCGTTTTTCTCCGTGACTACTCGAGCAAGTTCGGCAGCTCAGGCATCCACTCCCAAAAAATGTAGTATTGTTAAAATTCTTGATGAAAATTGTCACTGAATAAAATATGATTTCATTGGTGTAAGCTGTTAAACTCGATTTACGTAAGTTTTTTTCCTACTCCATATTACAAAGTACAATTATAGCAGTTAAGATAGCCAAACCCTTTTACAGGGAAATAAAAAAGACAAAATATTAATAGGCATGGAGCTTTTGTGTATTGATATAATAGTTTTAATTGCTGATTTCGTGTAATTTTAAGTCTTATAAAACTCATTGAAAAATTCTTTTCTTCCTTAAAAAAAAGTCTGCAAAAGTGCCATTTACCACTCACTAATTTAATACCTAGATTGCCTTAAAAACTCACTAAAATACATGACATTTTCATCATTTTCCCGGGGGAGAACCCCCGGACCCCCGTCTAGGCTGGGGGGTATTCCATACCCCCCCGACCCCCCGGTTGGTAGGGGGGCCCGAGCCAGATCCTGGTAACAGGGCCCACAATTAAATGTGGGGGCCATGCCGAAGCTTACGCATCAACCTTTAGCACATCATGGGCGGATGACTTAAGGTCATCAGGCTCGCCGGCTGCCGAAGCAGACCCTTCGGAAGGAGGGTTGCCCCTCAATCCTAACCAGGGATTCCGGCTGCTTGTTTAAGCGTCACTCCACCTGGGTTCCACTAGGTCGAGACCTAGAGGTCCATGGTAGAGCGCCCCGACGCATTTAGTGCAAGCAACACTCGGGACCTATCTAGTCCCTGACAGGCAGAACCCGCCATCGATAGCCAGGAGGAAGGGGACTGTCAGCACGCTGACGGGGGGAACCCCAACCTCCCATTTACACCGCTGCCCGATCGAGGCCTTACCCATTGCTGGGAAACCAGAGATAACCAGAGCGATAGATCCCCAGATACCCCTGGCGGGCTCGGACCCAGCACCCGATCTACTTCGTTTGCCCGTCAGACCCAACATCACTGCCAGGCAATCAGGGTTTCCCAAAAGGAGGCAGGTATAGAAGTGGGACCCACCCGGATGAACCTATCCACCAGAGGTGGCGACACCCTTGACTCAATTGAGGTTCCGGGAAGAACCCCCCACACTCAAGATAACCATACCGTCCGTGCTCAGAGACAGGGATTGGTTTGCATAAGTACCTACAAACCGTTGCCCTCACACTGCGGAAAGTTACGTTGCCCTTGAGTGTCCCCGTGAGCTGCGGGTACTTGCCCGTTTTCACCTCCAGGAAAGGTTACTTCCAAAGTCGAGGATTTGCCCACTGAATGCTGGTCGCACACAACAAGCAGGCCGAAGCCCAAAGAACCACAGACACAGGTAGGTTAGAGATTATGATGTACTTCCATCTCTCCTAGAGCTAAACACCCCTCCATCCTGGATAAAGGAATGTCACTGGGACCCAATGCCCAGTCGTCCATGTCTGTGGCCTACTTGAAAATGCCGATACCAACACGGAGCATTTACCTCCCCTCTGGGGGCTAGGTATTTCACCTCCCAGGACGAGGCTACTTCCAAAGTCGAGGATATGCCTCACAAAATGTCAGTCGTACACAACAGGTAGGACTCAGTCACAACCACAAGCTACAGGCAGGTGAAAGATCTATGAACTTAATCAACACTAGCAGAGCTGAACACCCCACCACCCTGAATGGAGGGAATGTCACTGGGTACTCTCACTTTGGGTACAACCCAAAGAGGCTGGCTTGTCCAGTCGTCCATAGCTTGTGGTCTACCTGAAGTGCCGGTTCCAACACCGGGCAATTACCTCCCCTCTGGAGGTATACAGGTGTATACCGCATGAAATGTGCTGATTGCCCTGTAGGACAAAGTGGGAGAGCTTTCAAAATAAGATACAAAGAGCATCGACCAGGCCCTACACTTAAATTGCAGAAATCCAAATTCGCTCAACACATTATTAACAATAACCATGATATGCTGGATATAAATGACGGACTTGACATTCTACATTACTGTAGGAAAGGAAACTTATTAAATACCTTAGAGGAGTTTGAAATATATAAGGACATAAAAACCAGGGACAGGACACAAATTTTGAATGAAAAACTCAATTATGAATCCCATTATATTTTCAACACTCTACACCGTCACTACAATAGTCCAATATCAGCTGTTGATAACACAGACGACAATCCAGAGTCCACGTCAGTCCTTCATAACCTGGTTCAGTCTACTTCCAGTCCTGCCCGCGGCAATGTACGTGCATAAGTTGATAGGCCTATCTGTTACCGTAATTAATCGTTTCGTGTTTTGTGTTTGTGTAAAATGTGTGTAACAACTCTGACGACACCTCAAGAAGTGGATCCTTTTGTGTGCCTGACGATGGTGGAATTAAAGAACCACCGAAACATGTAGCAAGTTATTTTTGACACCACAAAACATGTCAAGGATTGACTGACAAGGTAAGTTTTTACCATAATTAGTTATAAAACGCAATCCTGGGGCTATAAAAATGAATTATAATAGAATTAATTGTTATAAATATATCTTTCAAAAAGTATAGAACCTTTTTTTTTAATTAGTTGTCTGATTTATTTAATTAAACGTAAATTTAGTGTAGAGTTAGGGAATAACAGAAATAACACAAACATTATAAAATATACATAGAAACAGCTTTATTTCCATAATCAACAATTAGTTTGGCCCAGAATCAACTTGGTTGACGTCCTTCACTTGACAGGCTTCATCTGCCAAAGTCCATCGTTCAGGTAGTGGCAATTTTCAACTCCTATTCCTTTATTGACTTTTGCTCTGCAAAAGAAACATGATTTGGAACCGAGTCTACAGGGTTTTGGTGGTCTCCAGTGTTTAGAGCACAGAAATTTAAGCCTTGAAACCTGAGAACACTGGACTTTGAACCAGGCAGTTGTAGTATCTACGTTTGTGTCATGCATTTCAAATACCGTCATGGCGTTAATGAGTATCTTTGTTCAATGTTATTTACTTTTACTTTAACTTTTGGTTTAAAGAAACAAAAAAAATTCCCCTATAAAAAAATCATTTAGAGTGAACAAAGAAAATGTACTTGTGCGTTAATGTCTACAATATTATTCTTCAATGCTATTTACTTTAACTTTTGATTTAAAGAAACAAAAATAATTTCCTTGCTAACAAAAAATTTAATTAATTTGTATACAGCAAACATACTGTTAAATGGATTTGGGGAGCGAGCTGGTCTAATGGTAGAGCTCAAGACTTCAGTCCCAGGTTAAAATCCCACCAAATCACCAATGGATTTTATCTAAGTGATCATGTCATAGCCCCTGGGCCTAGCCTGAAGTAAGGTAAAAACAATCTGCTAAGTGGATCCACAAAAAATGAAAAGTGCTGTAGCCTACTAATTTTAAGTTTATAGTTTTTAGCGGTGAATTAATAATAATTTACAACAATCATGGCACTTACATTTCATCTGTTGATAAAGTTGTGATCCCGACAGCTAGTGCATGCTGCTTCCCTTCCGCCATGATAGCCTGAGGTATGCATTAAGGAATAAAATACAAGCAAATTTAACTTAGAATAAAATGCAGTAAAATTTTAATTGCATAGTTCATTAATTAAATAAACCGAGCATGTTGGACACTTGACCGTCTATAGGTCTGTAACACAGTAACATTCTGGATTTAATTCTAGTGGTGACGGGAGTCCTACTTCTTTATGATTGTTGTTTCTAGTTCAAGTCCACAGTCCCTACAGCAGATCAATACAATGCTGGGCAATACTTGATTATTTGTCAGTCGATATTAGGTGAATTTTCAAACGAATATACACATGGTGTTTAGTGTTAAATTAAGCCTATGTGATAGAGCTGTAGGGTTGTATAAGAAAACCGGTTATTTGGCAAGTGAAACTTAAGGTTTTTGCCAAATGTAATAGCACCAGTGAATGTCACCGCAGTGGCTAGAAAGACCAAGTGGCGGGTTACACCATCTTTTATCACTCTGACTTTTTGTATGGAAGTTACAGTAATTATTTTGTTTTGTGACTCTTCTAGGCGAACTAAGATATCTTTTGAGGCTTGACATTAAGAGTAATTATAAAGCAATAAAAGCATAGAATAGGTTCACATTTTTAATACCCTGAGAACCAATAACTTTTCCCTTCATGCAGTAAAGTACGGTACGAAAAACTAATTTAAAAAACCTATATAAAAAATGTAAGTAGCCTATTTTAATGGATAAAAGAAATGGTGAAAAGAATTTAATACCATGACATGGGTAAAGTAGAGCTGTAGACTAAATTTTTTGTTTTAGTGTGCTCAAAATTCCACCCTGTACAGTTCTATGTATTTGATAATGGTTTACATCATCTAAATTAGGCATTTAATGTGGAAGGGGTGAGGGGAAAAGGCTTCCAACAAATGAGTGTTACTATACTACACGCTAGCGGTATAAACTAGTCCAACGGCAACAGGTTGTTAACATTACTGTGCAAAACAACAAAAGCAACAGTGTGGGAGGGGATGCGTTACGATCTATACACTAGAATCCTTTTAGACTCCAAACTTATCCGTTGGATTGGTATGTGTTCTAAGGATACAACAACGGTGCCCTTGGGCGCCGGAGTCATGATGGCGCCGGGGCTGGTCAGACCGGGACACATGATGTTGGCTCCGCTCAGCACAAACCTGATGGCGCCCTTGTCTACTTGCTGCCATGGCAGGATGAACGGATCTGTAATGACAAAAGTGATTAGAACTGGAGATAAAAACCGATTTCACTTACTGCAAAGATGTTTTATTTGATTTTTTTTTTCAACGGTCCAAACAAATTAACTTACAATTTGTATACAAAACAATTCATTTTCAAGATGTGTTAGTGAAAGAACATCAAAATTCTCACTAAGGGAAAGCAGAACCTCTCAAACTAGTGGTATCAACACACCAGATTTGAAAATGAATCAGTAAATGAACAAATAGATTAAAACAGTTTAAAATAAGACTTAGAAATCAATCCTGTATCGTACATACATTTGTGCAAGAGTCGCAAAGTCGGCATCCATGGTCCTTCCCTGTGTCGGAAGAATAACAATTCACCAGATCCGTTTACTATGATTTCTATATGATCATGGCTGGAACAAAACAAAAGGTTTAATAAGCAGTGTTTACCTATCATGATTGTGCTTAGGCAGAATGTCAACTAGATAACCATATAAAATTCTGCCAATTTGGGCTTTGAAAAATCCTTGGTAAATATGCTTGGTTTTACCATCACAACCTCATTCATGTAACACACTGTCACAATAGCTGGGATACCCTGGGCTGAATCACGAGGTACAGAATGAATTGACACAGTCTCAAATTTGATTATTTAAATATACATCATTGTTTTAGTTGTCTTCACTGATCTTTATGGTCTCTGCAAACAACCACAAAATACAACAAGTTTTATAATGGATAAGTAATGCTTAGGTTAATTTGGCAGATACACATAGCCTACGAGTTTGCTTGCAAACTGGTACGACTGTAACATATAAGTAAGTTAATTCCATGCTGATTTCTGTAGCCTACGGTTACTTGATCATACAACTAAATAAATATGTTTGTCTTTTAATCTTAAAAACAACTTATTCAATTGTACAGTAGTCTTGCTACTCTGTATCCTACTACTAATTTGTAAAATTGTCTAAGTTTATTTAAAACTCAAGTTGAGAAGATAAATTTTGATAACCTAATACGACGCTTACTCTGAGACTATGCCACCACAATAATCTCGCCGCAGGTTTTGGAAAAGCTTACAATTACAATATTGCTGCAAACGTCAAAGGAACTAGCGAAGTCGCCACCTACTTTGCCGAAGCTGTCAATTACGTTGAATTTTGCAACAATTGTGTTTTGATTGCGATGTAATGTAAGCAACAACATGGGGAATACTGAATATTCTACGGTTGATTTTTCGGACATTAGTAGAGCAAAGCTAACAGTGTTGCTGCGGCCGTTGGCTAACAATAATGCTAACATAATATAACAATAACATTGACAAAGAAGTAGTGATACAACGACTGTTGGTGAAGTTAGATTTCTCTGTAAGCAATAAAAAAGCTTTAAATAGTCTAAAATGTTGCAGCAAACGTGTCGTCTCCTGACGTCATGTCTACGTTGTTATTAAATCTCCCACATACGCTACATCTTAAGATACCTAATCATCTCTCGTTATTAGGTACTGCCATAACACTAATATCTTTAAACCGGACACAAATGTCAACAATAAACCGGACAATTTCACCATCGACACATTGAATTAGTTTTAGTAGCCTAATTTGGAATAGCAAATTACTAGGCTAAATCCGAACAGGTTCGGATCTCAATAGCAGGATTCTACCGTAGTTAACTTAATGCTAAGACACTCACCACTTAACTATCCTAAAAATATCCTTCTTAGGTAATATTGTATCAATGTAGCTTTCTAAGTGTGGAAATTGTTCCAATAACTTTGACCTAATTCCTTTTTGAACAGAAGATTTCAATTGCTGGACTCCAGAGATGCTTTCTTTTTCATCGAATCTAAAATACAAACATAATTTTAAATAAGTACAATGCATCTAGGCCTATATCAAATTTAGGCTTAAATAATATGATTATAAGTGAGTTTAAAAGGTTAAGGAGCATAGTAAAATGAACTTGATAAATGGAACTTGGTCTTGATGAATGAACTTAAATATTATTCTGAAAATTACAAGTATTTTGATTTATTTTTAAAGGGTTAATTTCATATAGAAGTGTTATGGGATGGGTATTACTTACTGATGCCTCAACCTTAGAGCTTTTCTTCTCAAAAAACGAGTCAGAAAAGTACTCGACACGTCACATCACTCAAGATTATTTGACTTACCGTACTGCAAGTTAGGCCCATTTTAGAATTATTTAGTATGGTTAAAGCAGTTTTGAACCTTCTATGTTTCTGGGTTAGAAGTACAACATAACCGTTAACAGACCAAACTCTTTAAGTATAAGTTAGAACTAAGTTACATAGGGCCTAACTAATTGCTGTAGGCCTGATATGAACTGAGAGGCGATCCACGTATTCTTTTGGTAAGCTATTTTAGAAAATATTAAGTGTACCCACATATATGCAATACATTTTATTAAACACAGAGGATACGCGTCTGGTAACCGGACGTGGATTAGGCGTAGCCTGTGGCAGTTACTTTCATAATGTAACCTAACCTAACCAACCAAACTCGCTGATACCGTAGGGAAAGATTTGAATGAAGGTTAAATTCTGTTCAAAAAATAAAATTAACTTAATGCCAAAAATTTTAACAAAAGATGTAAGTTGTTAGAAGAAATGGCATTATGAATGCAAAATCTTTCACAAAAAGTAAAGTTATGGGATTCGAACCGGGGACCTCTCGCATATCAGCTGAGCACGCTACCCACTACACCACGAACACTGATGGCTGAACATCGTATCATTGTGGTAATAGCGTTCCGGGCCACCACAACCCGGCGACATCACTGCCAGATGCCTAATCCACGTCCGGTTACCGGAGGTGAATCCTCTGTGTTTAATAAAGTGGAATAAAACTAATCTAGGCTAGTTTAGAAGAATGTGATGATACTAATTTAGAGGTCAGAAGGCTATGACCAATAATACGCTATAGGGATCAATGCTTTCAAGCCTAGGCGTATGAGAGGTAAAAATTCATTTAAACTAAGTAGGCCTACTTACTTCTTAAACATAATTGTGCCTCAATATCCAGGATAAGGTTGGCGAGTCTTAAGTGACTGGTATTCTGATAGCCTAATAATAATGAACAAATAGTTCAAGACAAGACCGGCAGCAGGCATGGACTTGTAATAAATAAAAAATATAGGACCCACTACTGTTAAGTCTATGATACCAGAGCAAGTATATGATAAAACATTAGTATAAGACGAATTAAAATCGGCGATTTAAATTACAAATAGGAAATAATGCAAATAAATACACGTTAAAGTTGCACAAGATGAACATGCAAACTCACAAAAAAATTAATAAATAAATAGCAGCAGAGGGCAAGAGTCAGAGGACTGGGGTAGACCACCGTCGTGAAGTTAGCGGCTCTTTTCATCGGCGCTTTTTCGGTTTGTAATAGATGTGGGTTGGTACTCCTGCGGACGCCACAAACGTGTTTTGCAGGGATGTCGGAAACACAATTCAATGACAATACGGTGCGAAATGATGTTTTTATATTTATATATGTCAATTATACATTGATAAAACGTGTATACAAGTTAAAACTAATTAATTGACGTATTTTAAAAGGCATATTTGAGACCGTACTGTACATTATACATAGCTATGGCTTAACATAACGCGATCAATTAAAACTCCGAACATAAAAAGTGCATAATCTTTTTTCCCAAGCCCATCACATCAACTTTGAGCTATTCTAATGGTAATATACAATGTGTAGAATACTCAGTATAAATATGATTGAGGCAGTCCAGTGAATTACGAAGCTATAAGGCAAAATGTATATGGTTGATAGTAACTCGTATCAGGAAAAAGTGCACAATCTTTTTCCTAAGCCCATCACATCAACTTTGAGGTATTCTAATGGTAATGTACAATGTGTAGAATACTCAGTATAAATATGATTGAGGCAGTCCAGTGAATTACGAAGCTATAAGGCAAAATCTATATGGTTGATAGGAACTCGTATCAGGAAAAAGTGCACAATCTTTTTCCTTAGTCCATCACATCAACTTTGATGTATTCTAATGGTAATATACAATGTGTAGAATACTCAGTATAAATATGATTGAGGCAGTCCAGTGAATTACGAAGCTATAAGGCAAAATCTATATGGTTGATAGGAATTTGCGTCAGGAAAAGTGCACAATCTTTTTCCTAAGCCCATCACATCAACTTTGAGGTATTAATATACAATGTGTAGAACACTCAGTATAAATATGATTGAGGCAGTCCAGTAAATTACGAAGTTATATGGCAAAATGTATATGGTTGATAGGAACTCGCATCAGGAAAAGTGCACAATCTTTTTCCTAAGCCCATCACATCAACTTTGATGTATTCTAATGCTAATATACAATGTATAGAATAATCAGTATGAGTATGATTGCGGCAGTCCAGTGAATTACGAAGCTATAAGGCAAAATCTATATGGTTGATAGGAACTCGCATCAGGAAAAGTGCACAATCTTTTTCCTAAGACCATCACATCAACTTTGAGGTATTCTAATGCTAATATACAATGTTTAGAATAATCAGTATGAGTATGATTGCGGCAGTCCAGTGAATTACGAAGTTATATGGCAAAATCTATATGGTTGATAGGAATTTGCGTCAGGAAAAGTGCACAATCTTTTTCCTAAGCCCATCACATCAACTTTGAGGTATTCTAATGCTAATATACAATGTATAGAATAATCAGTATGAGTATGATTGCGGCAGTCCAATAAATTACGAAGTTATATGGCAAAATGTATATGGTTGATAGGAACTCGCATCAGGAAAAGTGCACAATCTTTTTCCTGAGCCCATCACATCAACTTTGAGGTATTCTAATGGTAATATACAATGTGTAGAATACTCAGGGTAAATATGATTGCGGCAGTCCAGTGAATTACGAAGCTATAAGGCAAAATCTATATGGTTGATAGGAATTTGCGTCAGGAAAAGTTTCGGTTTGTAATAGATGTGGGTTGAAACGCCTGCGGACGCCACAAACGTGTTTTGCAGGGATGTCGGAAACACAAATCAATGACAATACGATGCGAAATGATGTTTTTATATTTATATAATGTCAATAATACATTGATAAAACGTGTATACAAGTTAAAACTAATTATTTGACGTATTTTAAAAGGCATATTTGAGACCGTACTGTACATTATACGTAGCTAAGGCTTAACATAACGCGAACAATTAAAACTCCGAACATAAAAAGTGCATAATCTTTTTCCCAAGCCCATCACATCAACTTTGAGCTATTCTAATGGTAATACACAATGTTTAGAATAATCAGTATGAGTATGATTGCGGCAGTCCAGTGAATTACGAAGCTATAAGGCAAAATGTATATGGTTGATAGTAACTCGTATCAGGAAAAAGTGCACAATCTTTTTCCTAAGCCCATCACATCAACTTTGAGGTATTCTAATAGTAATGTACAATGTGTAGAATACTCAGTATAAATATGAGTGAGGCAGTCCAGTGAATTACGAAGCTATAAGGCAAAATCTATATGGTTGATAGTAACTCGTATCAGGAAAAAGTGCACAATCTTTTTCCTAAGCCCATCACATCAACTTTGAGGTATTCTAATGGTAATATACAATGTTTAGAATAATCAGTATGAGTATGATTGCGGCAGTCCAGTGAATTACGAAGTTATATGGCAAAATGTATATGGTTGATAGGAACTCGCATCAGGAAAAGTGCACAATCTTTTTCCTGAGCCCATCACATCAACTTTGAGGTATTCTAATGGTAATATACAATGTGTAGAATACTCAGGGTAAATATGATTGCGGCAGTCCAGTGAATTACGAAGCTATAAGGCAAAATCTATATGGTTGATAGGAATTTGCGTCAGGAAAAGTGCACAATCTTTTTCCTAAGCCCATCACATCAATTTTAAGGTATTCTAATGGTAATATACAATGTTTAGAATAATCAGTATGAGTATGATTGCGGCAGTCCAGTGAATTACGAAGCTATAAGGCAAAATCTATATGGTTTATAGGAATTTGCGTCAGGAAAAGTGCACAATCTTTTTCCTAAGCCCATCACATCAAATTTGATGTATTCTAATGGTAATATACAATGTGTAGAATAATCTGTATAAGTATGATTGAGGCAGTCCTCTAAATTACCAAGTTATATGGCAAAATGTATATGGTTGATAGGAACTCGCATCAGGAAAAAGTGCACAACCTTTTTCCTAAGTCCATCACATCAACTTTGAGGTATTCTAATGTTAATATACAATGTGTAGAATAATCAGTATGAGTGTGATTGAGGCATCCCCCTAAATTACCAAGTTATATGGCAAAATGTATATGGTTGATAGGAACTTGCAACAAATAAGAATTTATTATATTTTTTCTATGCACATCACAACAACTTTGAGCTATTCCAATTGTAAAATACATCGTAGTGTATAATATTTATGAATATGATTGAGGCAATCAAGTCAATTATCTGTGGAGAAATCTGAGGTATAATCTGAGGAGAGGTAACCTTAACGAAAGGGAAACAAAATGAAACTGCTTTTTCAAAAAGATAAAAATTTAAATAAGCTATTTTATTTACTTTATAAACATATCGTGTATGAAAATAATCTATTTACACAACCTTAAACTATAAACGTAAGCAAAACATGTTGGAAAACATAAAGATAAAAAACAACTAACTAGAATAATATCTAATTTGTTCCATTATACTGTAATGTTTTACCGAAACTCTGATCCATGATTCCTCTGGATCAAATAATTTTATTTGTAGTTTTAGATTTTAGTCTAGGTGTCCGAATTTATTGTACCGATTAGCTTATAGACTTTTCATCCTATTGTAAAACGATTTTTTATGTTTGTTTCAAGACGTTAGTGTCACTGTACGCTTAAGTCGACAATGTATTATTTTATTTTTCTGTGTGAGTTTTATGAGTAGTTTACTGTTCCACTGTATTACAATAGTTGGATAATTTTATTTGCTTAATCAATGTTTTATCACCCCAGCCACAGAAAACCAGCGGAATAAGTGAATTTCTATTTGCTCGATTGGATTTTCATCAAAATATCTCCTTAAATAGTCATGTTTATTCCGAAGTTAAATAATAACCTAAGTTTAATGAGTTATCACGCGAGTTGCTACAACGAAGGGTAATTTTATTTGTAAAATGTTAATATATTATTACTAAATAAATTTATTTGCCAAATTTCATACAAATGTGTTCATAAACAAGCAAACTGCAACGGTTTAATTATTCTATGTAGGTAATGTATAAATAACATGGAAATTTAAATTTTGCATGTTTTTCATAAATGTTTTTCTTTAACTTTAAGCCTTAGCAACTATTCAACATAATAAATGATTTGTTTTTAAGACATTGAAAATGGGTTGAAAAGAATTTTATATAAAATTTGTATTACTTCAAAATTTAATAGATACGTTATATAAGGTAATAAAGCCGATTCTTTTTTTTTTTAAATTCTGTCAAATCAGTGGAGATAGATATCGAAGTTTAAATAGATTTCAACTGTAAACACCATAGCCGGCCTTGGATGGTGCAAACAAAAAATTGATGATAAAATAATTCCCCCTTTTAATTTTTTATAATTAACATAAATATTGTAAAATTTTAATACTTTTAAATTATTCTGTATTTTATACCCAATGTGTGGGCATTGTACCTAAGGCCGGCTCTGATGAACACACGACTAACACAAAAGGAGACTAAAATATTCAAGAAAAACCAATACCTAATACTAGTACATCTGATGTACAAACAGAACTACATAGAAAGTTACCAAATTACAGTGATAAAGTAAAAAGTTCAAGATTCGTTATAATGAAGATTTTGAGGAAATATTTACGTAAACAAACTGAATAATAATAACAAATGCCCTTATGATTTTGACTGTATAGTTCGGCCGCTTAGAAAACGACTTGCGCGCTAATGCTAAACTAATGCTGGAGGAGGTCGCTTTCTAAGCGGCCGAACTATAGTAGCAAATTTAACACAGCTAGAATGTAGGAGGATTAAATTTTAGGAGGATAGAGGAAAAGCTCTAGTTTTGTTGAAGCCAGCCCGACCGCGCGCCGATCCGTTTTGTGTGTGTGTGGGGGGGGGGGGGGATTTTTAGATACCTGCATTACAATATAACGTTTTTAAGGCAACCGTACACGCCAACCAATTAGGACCGTTAGAATGTCATTTTAGAGATTAAGTTACTGAAATAGCAGTGAAGTATTTAAAAGATTTATATAGGTCTACATAAATCACGCAAACAAAATTAATAACTCATATTATGGAATCGGAATATTAGAAACCTACATAAGAGGAAGA